TATTCCTTTAAAATATATTTTTGGCAGCATTTTTTTTTTTGAATTTTTATTTATTGTACTTTTATTTCGCTCTACAGTGACCTTACTGTTTATTTGCAATTACAATTTCTCCCGAATCCATTTCCAGATGTCCCATTCTTCAAGCCCACTTTTCTTATTCCTTCCTTGTTTTCCTTCTTATCCCCTAATTTCATGGGATGTTTCTAATTTGTCGTTTTTTTTGTTCTAGGACGTTCATCCGCTCCATCAGGCAACATATTTTATCCGGCACGCTTTCGGAACACCGGCCCTTTCTTTGCCTCTGTCATTCCTCTTCGGATCGATCGGTTAATTTCGCACTCCCTTCCGATTCGGTTAAGTGGACGTGAAAGAGGAGGAGTAAGGATAAGATTTAGGGGATCTTCTGTTTGCTTTTCTATGAATTTTTGGGATTTCGTGAGGTGTTTTTAGAGACTAGTAGAGTTGCAATTTCAAAAGCATTTTTTGATGATTTAAAATTGGGAAACAATTACAGGGCCGGCAAATGAGACTTGGCCCAAGCCAGAACTATGATTTTCGAGCATTTATTTGGGTCTCTATGTTGGTTTTTTTTAAGAAATCGACGAGATTTTTGGGTCTTATAATACAGATCATCATTCTGTTGGAGCCGCAGTGTAAGATTTTTCTATCTGAACGTTGTCGAGGACATTCTTTTTTTGTAAAATTACCATGTTTACTACTTAGAGACAGTTCCAGGCCAAATATATTTTTTTGGTTCTTTGCAATTCTTTATGCAGAAATTAACTGTGCTTTAAGCCTATCAGAATTGTATCTGGATGATTTTTTCCTAGCGATTTTTCATAATGTCTATAACTTTTCCTCGTCTTCTCGACTGAGGAGTTAATTTTAATCGATCACCCATTATCAAATACTTCCATCATTGATCTCAATCCGCCTCGACCTTTAACCTCATCGCTCATTCAATTAAATCGAAAATTATCCCAAAGACAAATTGCTCGCAATTATTTCGCTGACTTAAAAAGAGACCCATAATTCATTGTAATATCCGAAACAATAACAATCAAAGCCAAGAGAGAGGGGAATTGAGACAAGTCTGAGAGAAAACCTTGGCCAATAAAACTTTACGTTTTCAAAAAAAAGGTTTTGACTTGCATTTTGCAGAAACAACTGAGAAAAATCGATTTTTGGGATGACAATTCACAAAGCTTGACACATAACATTTCTCCCTCTGTAAGGTTTTTTTTGCAATTACAATTCTAATTTCCCAACTAAAATTCCGATTTTTTCGGTTTCACTCCTCTTGCTCCCTTTAGTATAATATCTTATTTCCTTGGCGTCGAAAAGGCACATTCATAAGGAACGACACGTCAAACGCATCGAGCATATTCCCCCCCTCCTCCCCCACCTATCTTCATCATTCAAACGGAATATGAATGGAACAGGTTAGGGGGTGTCATAAAAATGTCAAAATTCCCTCCGATTTTCCCCCGTCTTGGCCCATTTTCCGGCTTTTTTTGATTATTTTTTTGGACGGAACGGCCGTGAAATTTATTGGTATACAGCTCGGATTGTTTTATGTGAAATTGAGGTGATAATATTATAGGAAAGAAGAGTCTTAAAAAGAATATTGGGGCACCAAGGCGTCTGGGACTTCGGATTACGGAAAAATGAGTCGAGATTTCTTTCGAGAGACCAAACTTTTTTTGTAAAACTTGACGCAACTTTAAAGTAGAATCTTTCAGTGACATTTCTTGCTCGCACTTGGCAGAAATCATTAAGACTTTGGGCTGAAACCGGCAAAAATGGTATTTTTTGCAAATAAATTCGCAAGAAATGACGTCTTGATTAATTTACGGCCAAATAACAAGATTTTTGGTTCTAATTAGGTGCTTCCGAAACGCCTTCCTTGCGGAGAATGACCGGAAGTTTCTCTTGAAGTGACCAAAAATCTTGTTTTAGGGGTTCTTGATATGGCAAAATTTTTCCAAATGGCTTCAAATTGACGCCAATTTTATACCATGCTAGAAATACAAAATTGATAAATTTTTGGACCTCAAAAATCACTTCCTGATTTCTTTGGGATTTTTAGGCTCCACATTTTTGACATTCGATAGCTTCTCTCTCACTCTTATTTTCGTACTTTTTGATCGCCAGAGATCCATTTACGGCCTTTTATGGGGATCGCGACCACTTTCATAAATTATGTCACGCAACATTCTTGTCTTTCCTTTATTTTCAGCTCTTTTATAGCCCATTATCACCGCATAACAAATGGCCATGCATTTTTTTCGCCTAACAACTCTTCGATCTCGCTGAAAATCTCTTTTTATCCGACAAACAAAAACATTTTCGGGGTTTATCAGAGTGTTTGGGGAGATCACGAAGCTCTCTAATCCCCGGGAAGATCGCGGCTCTTCACGTTAATTAGGGGTTTCATGAGCGATTTTTAAATAAACAGCGAAATTAGAGGGGATGGGGGTTCGTTTAATTTGATTTTAATAGAATTTCCTATAAGTGTGGGGATTTATTATGACAGGCTACGCCCTATCTCGTAGGAGAAGAACTGCGATTTTGATGACAATTGCCAAAAAATAAGACCACTATCATCCAAAAATATATTTTAAAGATTTTTAGCTAGCTGAAAAATACAAGATTTTTTGGATGTTTATAATAAAATAAGCGCAAAAAAATAAAGAAAAAAATTGATTTTTTTCGAAAAATACAATTTCTTTTCAAAACGTGAGCAAAGATCCCAAATATGATTTACAAAATATTAATTTAAATTTACGCCAAGCTTATCAAAAAAAATTTTAATATTCAAGAGATTGTTGCGATTATGTTTCCTTCCACTGCACAAAAAGGAATGTTTCTTTTAATTAAAATCAACTCTAATTCTTTGCTGATTTAGAGACGTCCTTTTCCCTGGCGGAGAGATAATTAATTGAGTGAGTGAGGAGGGACGAAAGACGATAGGGCTTATTAATGGCCCACATCACACTTTCGTCTGGATCACCGGAGGGGCGAAAAAAGGAAAGGGAAGATTGAGAAATTGGCTGGGGAATCAATGAAATCGATTTTGAAAGGGGAGAGATCTATGTTGGCAACATAATTGTTAGCAAATTTTTCTTTAGTCGTAAGGCATTTTTATATTAAATAAAAATTAAAATAGGGCTTGAAATTTTTGGTGGTATAAAACGCAGCAGAAATTGAGATTTATTTTTTTTACAAACTTGTAATTGGTACCTTATGCTTTTCAAAAAATTGCATTTTTTTATGAAAAAAGTGAAAAATAAAATGGTTTGATCCGTCTTCTCTTTTGTCCGCGCATTCCTCTCTTCCGGTAATTCGATACATTTTTTTATTTTTTATTTTTTTTTGTATTTCCAGCTGACTTTCCGAACGCCCCATTGATCAGAGACGGTTTTTGCTTTCGAGAGAAAATCGTCGCGTTTTTTTCGGAACGGTTTTCCACGGAAAGCATTATTTAATTAATGGTTTATGGGGTAAAGTTGGGAAATTTGTCGCGGAAACTCGATTTATTGCTCTTGAAGAATAGAGAAGGGAAACCGCAAATTCGATGAGAGGGTTTTGTACCAAAAATCGGGGTTAATTTTTTTGAAAATAAAGGTTGAGTAAAAATCTGATTTTTATGAGAAAACCCCTTGATTTTATTTCATTTTTTGGCAGAGTAACCAAAAATAAAATTTGTGAAAGCATGAGAATTTTTTTTATTTTTTTTGCTTCACAGAATTCATCAATATTTTTTGATCAAAAAATTCCAAAAGAATAATTTTTCGTAATTTTTGAAAAAAAAACTTGTTTGTCAGCCATGTTTCATACTTTAAAACGCATTTCCCCGCAAATAAATTAGTAAAAGAAATGTTACACCATATTTGGTAAGAATTATGAACGGTCAAACTTGTTAACGGTCCTTTATCTTGTGATTTTATCGGTCTTCTCACATGGCCTTTATCAATAATTTTTTTTCTGTTTTTTAACATCCATTTTTAGTAATTTTTCAATTTTTTCCGGTTTAAAAAAAAACAATTTTTGATTGAATTATTTTTTTAATTAAAAAAATTAATTCAATCAACAGTTAAAAATTAAAATTTTCATATTTAAAAAAAATCCATTTTCATATTTTTTTCAAATTTCCTTCCTTCTTTTAGCCGCCCTTCTGTAACCCGATCCTTATAACGCATCGCGCCTGTCATTATATCGCTTTCCTTTTATCCTCGTCAGTAGCCCTGATCCGAAAGCGAAAACATTTGGGCGCTTATATTTTCCTCTTTGTGGGTCACTTGATCCCTTTTCGCATGGAAAGTGCGCTGCAAAATTGATGGACTCTCGGACTTGACGATCGATTCCTCCCGTCTCCTGCCCTTAGGGCTTTAAAAATTTTTGAGGCCGTTAGAAGCAAGAGAGAGGGAGCGGATTTGAGGGTCAAGATTTACGGGATTTTAATAATATTTTTGAGATTTGTGGGAAACGGGGGATAAATTATGGAGTGATTTGTTAAAAACTTATGTTATTTTTTGGCGTATTTTACAATATATTTTTAAGCTTACTGTAAATGCTATCCACAATTAATATTTACATTTTTTATCATCAAATTTTAGGTTATGGTAGAACTGATTTAAAATTCGTTTTTTCATCGCTCTAGGGCAAATTTTATCCACGTATCTTAGCATGAATTTTTGACACAATTTCGTGATAACAATTTTTTCGCTGTTTCTTTGTCATTTTTTTCAATTTTTAGCCGAGTATCCACCAACTTTTCAAATTTACCCTTAATTTCCCGCTTTTCAGGTTCACGCACATTTCCACGTCACTTTTTCTACTCTATGTGGTAGATACTGGTAGTTTACACCACCACCGACCTCAGAGAATCCCGTCTTTATCACTTCTTGGCCGATTTTTTTCGTTTTCCGAAGCTTCGGCCACTCCGAAAGGTTGACAAGACGCTTTTGGGTTGAACGGGTGTCCCCCATAAATGCACCATGGGGAATAAGTGCTGTTCGCATGAGAATCCCAATAAACGGGTTGTCCCCACAAACAACAATGGCCACAAGAAGCAGAACTTTTTCACGGCGCTCTTCGCAAAGAGCCGATTGGACGCTTCGACGTTGGCACACAGTTTCCCACCACCGGTAGGTTGTAAATTTACAATTTGTGTTAATGTTAGTAATTTTTTATTTTTGCGGAAAATTAATGAATGTTTTTAGCCTTTATGTTTGCTAGTTTTTTATGTCGTAAAAGTTTTTTTTGCAAGAAATTCTTTTATTTTTTCAAATTTTTTCAGGTTGGCGGAGAAATGCCTGGAGGGGAATCCTTCTACAAAGAGCCTCGTCGAGAGCCGGAGCCTCGAAAAGATTCACAACTACTCAACAAATACGAGGTGATATCAATAATCGGGAAAGGGTCGTTCTCTCAAGTCCTCAGGGTCCAACATCGCCTTACAAAACAGTTTTACGCCGTCAAATTGGTCAGCTCAGACTCTGGTAAGGCTTTCGAGTGCATTTTTTTTATAGAAATTCACTTTTGGAGGGGTGCAGAATTGTGAAACGGAAATTTTTTTTGCACAGTGCCAAAATGTTTTGTCCGCGCACGAAAATTCCATCGCACTGTGCAATTTTCTTTTAAAACTTTTTGCACTGTGCAGTCGAAAAATAATTTCTATTTTAAAAATTTTTTTTTCACCTTCATATTTCAGACATCAACGCTGTGAACAACGAATTATCGATATTGAGCAGAGTCCAACATCCGTTTGTGATCAGATTAGAAGAGGTCTTACGAGGAGCCAATAAGCTGTTCATTGTTATGGAAATGGCTTCTGGAGGGGAGATGTACGATCGAGTGGTGTCGAAAGGACGTTATACAGAGACTGAAGCCAGGTCAGAAATATTTTTGAAATTGCTTTTGAGATTTATAAAAAAATTTTTTTTGAATTTTAATTTTTTGCACGGTGCAGCAGAAAAAAAAAATTTGGAAATTTTATAAACATTTATTTTTAGACAAGCCCTTCGGATGCTTCTAAACGGCCTAGCCTATCTTCACGACATGAAAATCACTCATCGTGACCTTAAACCCGAGAATCTTCTCTATTCCGACACTCGGCCGGACGCTCGCCTTCTTATCACCGACTTCGGCCTGGCCAGTCAAGCCAAACAACCCGGAGAAAAAATGACTGAGACCTGTGGAACCCCCGAATATATTGCTCCGGAAGTTTTGCTGCGGGTACCCTACACGGATCGGGTGGATATGTGGGCAGTGGGGGTGATTGCCTACATTCTGATGTCGGGTATTATGCCGTTTGATGATGATGTCAGATCGAGGTTGTATACGCATATTATTACCGCCAATTACGTGTATTATCCACAGGTGAGTCGGAAGGGTTTCAATTTTTTTTATTCGCTCTGTGCGGAGCATTTATCTTTTTTGACCGCACAGTGCAATTTATTGCACAGTGCAATATGTCGTACAACATAGTAAAAAAAGAGAATAAGAAAAAAATTGTTTCGTATTTTACCTTCACTTTTTCAGTACTGGTCCGGTGGTGAGCATGCCAAAATGTTCGTCGATTCCTTGTTGGAATTGAATCCAGATGTGAGGTTAACGGCGATTGATGCCTTGAGGCACGATTGGATTTTGGGAGAGAATAAAATCAATCTCAATGTCAGTATCAAAGCCAGACCGGCTTCGGAGTTCAATTCCATGCAAAGGGTAAGCCTTCGGGAAAATAAGATAGGGCGCAGGTCGCCACGACTAATATTGAAAATTTTTAACCTAGGGCCTTTCAAAGCAATCAATTTTCTGTTTTTTCCGAATAATGTAACAAATTAAAATTCAAAATATTTTAGACAAAATCCACACGTTCGATCCGCTCGGTCACCAGATCTGACCATGGCCACCGTGTTGATCCACGCGAAGTGGACAAACTTTCCCGCGAACTCCAACGTCTGGCCAAGACTCGGACCCGGGACTCAAGTGCCTACGAACAACAGACCAAAAACTACGGTGTCCTCTAAGGAATCAAGAAAAATCTGCCTCGGACATATGCAACTCTTACATTGTCTTTCAAATTTTCTTTTTTTTTTGCATTTTATTGGAATTTTACGGGTATTTTCCGAAATTTGGCCTTAGGCATGTAACTTTTTAAGCAGAAAATTGTAGGTAATAATGAACAGGAACAATGAGCTTATGGTTGTACGTACATATAATTCAATTGTAGTCACAATACTCCCCCCAAATGATTGTAATCCTAACCAAAATCTAGAGTTTTATTCGAAATAAAGTGGAAAATATAAAAGTTGAAATAGCTTTGCAAACACAGTAAAGACCAATGAACGTTCTCTTTGATAGATTTGTATCCTACCAAAATATGTCGCACAGCATCATTGATGTTTGGGTGGGTTGCATTCACATCCCCATTTCAGGCATTTTCCTCCAGGAAATCCAATTCTCCGACATCCTGTATCACAGTAATCTTCTAGGCAATTTCCTTGAAAATCCGTTGGATCTAAATGCGCAAATAAGAGCAAAAATGTGTATAACGAATACAGAGGGACTGAAAAATTAATTGTTTTACAAGTATGTGCTGTACAATTTTATCAAAAAAATACTCTTTGAACCTCTGAAATCGAATTGTAAGCAAAGTTTTTTCGTTATTGTAAGCTTTCTTTGTATGGGAATGCATTGTAGAGAGGTTTCACTGTAAAGGAAAGGCCTTTAGCTTTTTTAACTGAAGAATCCCATGTGTGTAAACTAACCGTTTACTCTACTATAAATAAAAAACCTACCAACGTCTATGACTCCTTGTTCGGACATTTTGATAAGAAAATATATAGAGCTCAGAACTAACCACAATTTCATCTTTTTCACAAAAGAATTCCGACTTCAAAACACCAATTTATACACTGCTCCACGAAATGATAGACGCACCCTGTTTTTAGCGATTATCTTCCTTGTACTAAATGATATCGAATAATGTTCAACAGATGAAATGTGACAAATTAAACGAGAAATCATGTCCCGCAGCAATTTTGGGACAACATTTTGTCTTGACTGAGATATGACAATTTTCGACTTTTTTGGGGTCCACAAAATGATAGACGCAATTAAGTAATTTTTTGTTTATTTAAAAGAATTTTGAGTCAACCTGCTGTTATTACACTTCCTCGTGTTCTCTGTAGTATTAGAAAGGTAATTACATTCATATCCGCCGTACTTCATCGACGGAGTGGCCTTATGAGCCATTTCCGACCTTGTGCATGAGGTAAATATTCGGTTTGAAAAAAACTGTAGGTTAGGCCGTTTTCTTGGGCGAAAAACTAGCTAATACTATTAAGATTATACGTGTAGATCTCACTGATGAAAAAAAACGGCTTGCTCAAGGATCCCAAGGATTTTCTTGGCATATCATCTTCAACAAGTAGCTACCTTAATACTTTTAGACCCCCGAAATAACAAGGCGAATAAAGAGAATGGCAAAATTTGATTTGCAAATTCGAACTGAGCATGCCTGAAAACGTAATGTTTTAATCATCAGCCGTTACAGAATAAATTTGGTCGGTAACGTCGTTCGACAAAAAAAAGTTCACAAAAATAGGCTTGTTTTTACACGTTTATCTTTAATCAATCATCTGTCAATCACCATGACATTTAAGCAGGCAATAAGTTGCGGTTTTAGGTTTGTTAACATGCTGAGTTTAATTTTCTGAGCAAAAAATTGCCATCGATAGTAATCTTCTGTACCTTTAGAGCCTTTGAAGGTTACTGTAGAAGGTATACGGTAACTTAATGGTCGATTAAATGACTTCAAGCGAATCGGTATTGGTTTATTTTATGTCTTATATTTGCTACTAGTAATCTATGATGGTTTAAGATGGTTTTTTGGCGAAAGCCAAATCGTTAATCAATTTTTTTTTCAAACCGAATATTTACCTCATGTACAAGGTCGGAAATGGCTCATAAGGCCACTGCGTCGATGAAGTACGGCGGATATAAATGTAATTACCTTTCTAATACTACAGAGAACACGAGGAAGTGTAATAAGAGCAGGTTGACTCAAAATTCTTTTAAATAAACAAAAAATTACTTAATTGCGTCTATCATTTTGTGGACCCCAAAAAAGTCGAAAATTGTCATATCTCAGTCAAGACAAAATGTTGTTCCAAAATTGCTACGGGACATGATTTCTCGTTTAATTTGTCACATTTCATCTGTTGAACATTATTCGATATCATTTAGTACAAGGAAGATAATCGCTAAAAACAGGGTGCGTCTATCATTTCGTGGAGCAGTGTATGAAGGGATTGGCCAATAAATATTTATAGATAATGATAAGCATGTCCCGTCATACGCTTATGTTGTATTTCTCTGTCGAAAGCAATCGAATCACATGGGTTAATTTCAATATCTTACCAACCAAACTGTTTGAAAATAAATTTTTATTTCACCGGTAATATCTCCGAAAATTGTATGTTCAATCAACATTTAGACTTTTGCAACAAGTGGGACAGTAGCATTGTATGGAAGCTGAAGGAAGACCAGATTAACGCGAAGAAATAGAGAATAAAAGATAAAGGTTTGAGCTCTAACGAAAAGATAAGGTTACAGTTAAAAGAAATTAAAAAATTTTCATCGCAGCAGTATGAATGGGCAGTAAAAAAGAGGATTTGAGGAATAATTTACAGTTGGAATTTATCGCCGATAATTGTGTGACCAAGGGTTGGGCTGAGAATATGAGAAATCGTTGACTCTGGACTGATTCTTCATGATATCTGTGTACATTGGGCTCAGCGATTTGGGAATTGGCTTCTAAACACGGTGACAAGAGAAATTATTTTGTTTGTAAAATACGCATGCATGTCTGACGCGGTTTAAAACATGTTTTCAACTCACTCCATTCAGATTGACGGGATCCTGACACCTTGTACAAATTGGGACAAACAATTTTTCGTAATCAGGCACGCAATAAACACGGTCATTTGCATCGGAAGCAAAGGGAATCCCGTCCAAGCACATATTACAATGATAACACCGGAAACAAGTCGGATGGAAACTTTTTCCCAACGCTTGAAGGATCTGAAATAGATCTTGTAAAAGCTGTCTTTATGCTATGCCTTTCCTCTTTAAATTCAAGGTAAAACGTAAAGGTGTAGTCCCTTTTCTCTATTTAAAAGCCAAACTTACAACATCGTTGATGGTGCTAAAGCAATTTTCACATTTTGGCAGTTGACTCCTTTGCACATAAATATCTTCACATTTCGATGGAGATTCGGAGCTGTCATCGCTCTGAAAATGAATAGAGAAGTTTTACAAAGAACGGTGATAATCGACAGTGACGTTTTATATGTCCTTGAACAAGATTGTCAACAAACAAAAAAAAGTATTTTCAAATTGCTCACAAAGTAATAGGTAGAAGCGGAAGATCGCCCGTCACTGTTGGCTGTGTTCTTCTGCCTTTCCATGTGCTGTTCCAGTCTGACTTTACGTTTCTGAGTTTCAGCTTCAATCAATTCCAGCTCTTTCAAATGTGTGAAGTTCTCAATTGTCTGTGTCATGTTTCGATTGGGTACTCCACGTTGAACCGAAGGGACAAAATCAACCAGTCGTTTCATTTGGGGCTTGGTGTTCAACACTGACCTCAACGGCTCAGACTTTTTGGGTTGTGGGTTCTCATAGTGGTGCTCAGTTCGTTCCTAAAAATAATCTGTTTTGTCACTGCACCAAAAGATACCACTTGGTGTCTTATAACCGCAACTCAGCCGAGATATATGCATATTTAACCATCTTTACAGACGAGAAAGACCCGAAAATATGGAGAGACGATCAGAGAAAAATATTTTCACTGATACCAAATGTAGATCAAGATTGCAGCATAAAAGCAACATCTCCAACTGTGAATTCCCTTACACAGACCTACTGCTTCAATTACTTACAACTCTAACCGGGATGCGTCTTTCCTTTTGCACGGATTCGAATCTTTTCTCCGGTGGAGAATAAAGTGGCTCCGGCCTGGGATCAACCTTCCGGACAGGCGAAGGGGACGCTGCAGATCTTGGTGATGCCATATCAATGTTTGTGGGAGAAGTCAAATTCTTGTAACGATTTATATCTTCCGATGTAAACCAAGGATTGACTGGTCGGTTGGCTCGAAGAACCTTCAAATATTTGTTAGTTCAAAAATGTATTTATTTTGACAGGCGAAGGGAAAAAATAGAAAAAAATATATTTTTGCGATAAAATACGCCAAATAAAGAATTCATACCGACTCTCTCAATTTTTGTGCCTCATCTTTTGTGATGACTTTCTTGGGATCTTTCGGTGGCGGATCCTTTTCGCTCCTCTTCTTGGCTTCAAAGTCTTCCAACTTTTTGAACTGCTCATATAACGTAGTGCCATTATTATTATTTCGTTGAGCCCGAATATTCAAACTATTCAATTCATTCAGCAATCGACGATGACTGTCGTCCGCCATAGCTAAAATACGAAAAAATTTAACATAAAATTTGAAAATAAGGAAGCCCAAAGCTCGTGTAAAATACGCCATTAAGAGTAACTGTTTCATAAAAAATCCTATTTCACCTACAAAATCAAACGGAGTTCCGTAAAAACAAAAAAAGCAAAATAACGCCTGAGGCAGTGGAGATTACAAAACGATAATCCGCGGGAATATTCTCGAAATTGCATGGGTAAACACATTACAATAGTAAAGCAGTAGCGATTTACATATTAATGAAAAAATAACCAAAAAAAGTACATTCAGAGCCATATTTCACTGCGAAATTAGCCGTAAAATCCCCAGCCAAAATTTTTTTTGTAAAATCCAGCAAAAGCAATTTCCGTGTTCAGCTGCAAAAACATATAAAATTACCCGAAATCTGATATAAAAATTCAAAAATTGGGCTCTCGAATCTCTCCTCCCCGTAAAAGAGAGCTAAGAGTCTCGAGAATTTTTGTCGCGAAAAGAATGGATGAGTACATACATGCCCGAGGCTCTGAACTGTTTGCTCACTCCGTTTTTGTATCAAGCGCGTAAAACGAAAAGAAGTGGAAGAATGGGAAAATAATGGACATTAAAAGTGGTTGAGGTTTTGGCGATAAGGGAATTATCGCAAAATTCCGCGGATGGCATTCGGTTTCGAGACAAGGAGAGGTCGAAATGAACGGGAATGTTATTGTGATTCGAAAGGAATGCCCGTAAAATTAGCCACGGTTATAATGAGGGGTAAATAAAGGGAGACGAGGTGAAAGAAGGAGAGGGACCAGAGAAAATCAGTGGGAAACATGGAAATTTTCAATTTTGTAAGAACATATCACGACCTAATACATCGGAAATTATGTATAACAAACCATTGCACAACTGTCGTAAACCGAAACCTCTCTATAACAAACAACTTCAAATTTCCCGAAAATAAATTTTAAGCGCAAAAAAGTCCCATGATTCGTCGCACTTGTTGCAGTCCTGTGACAGTATTCAGCAGTCCGTAAAATCAAGATAAAATCCCAATCAATCCAAACGCCAGTCAACATAAATCATCCATCCTTTACCCTTTCCAGAAAAACTTTTTTGAACTCCCCTCTCCCTCTGATTTCGAGTATTACAACGACGAGATGCGGATCGTTGCATCCCGAAAAACCACCTCACCTCAACGAAAATCCCATCTATTTTTATTCGGCACCGTTCTCCGCGGAATTCAACTTTTTTTATTGCCGCGAAAAATTTTGATTTATTTTTGTAGGGAAAATATTTCCAACGTGAGTAACCACCTCAAGGTGACGGACGGGGGATAGGTCAAATGGTTGGGCCATAAAAAATGCAAATATTCGGGAATTGGATTCGAGAGAAAAGAGCGGGTTGAGTCACGGAATGACCAGTGGGATTATAGGCTTATAAAAGGTCAAGAAAATGAGATTAGAGTACAGTATCATAACCGGAGCTAGGCATCCGCAAAATGTGATAATTGTGAGCGTGGCGCTTTGAACTTTTCCGTTTCAACTTTTTGTTTTCCCTAGCATAACCTCAACTTTTCATACGAAAGTCAATTTTACTGAATCAAAAAAATTCTAGACACTCTCCATGTTTTCACGCTTTTTAAAATCGCCGAAATTTCGATATTGAACATCCCCTTCCAACCTTGAATCCGAATGGTTGAGTAAGGTAATTGCGGGATGACCCCATTCGAATGTTTTCGGATGAAAATGAAGAAGTCAAAACGCAGAAAAAACGCAGACTGCATAAAAACGCGAGTCGAGGATTCACCGGGAATTAGCGGAGAGCTTATGGTCTAAAGCTGGGATTGTAAGAGTAAATGAGCAAAGATCACGTGCAAAATATTCTGTGACCACGGTATTCGAGGAGGTAAGTATCTCAAAATGTACATAATAAGATGTAAATGGACTTTTGAAAAATAGTCATTTTTCTTGGATTGAAACACTTGGAGAAACAGTCAAAGCAGTTACTTTTTTAGACAGATCTTAGTGATTCAGTGGCCAAATCAACTTGTGTGAATAATAATTGAGGCGGTCCATGCAAATCTTGAGCAAAAAAATTCATATTTTTTTAATGTAAAGCTAAATTCCCGGCAATCTTCATCGCAATCCGAGCTTTTCACATTCGCTACAAGTTAACTCTACAAGCAAAATTTCCCTTCATGAATCAGCCATGCCCTCCTGACCTTCCCAAAAAATAAACAGCGCCTGGAAAAGGGAGACCTCGGACAAAGGCAATAAATATGTAAATCCTCCGGTATGGGTCCTGGAAATCGGTAAAGAAGAAAGGGGGGTAATAAGAGCCCCGTTTAGAGTGTTTATCGCTGACTCATTCCCGAAATATTTGCACAGGCATTCCTGCACGAGATGTTAATGAAAGGCGGGTAAATAAACACATCTAATAAGCGTCCACAATGTTCTTGACCTTCTCATCAAAGTCATGGAGATTAGATCAAAGATAAATGATTTTATAAATAACCGAAAAAGGCTTTAAACTCCGTTCCAGAATGAAATTTGCGTAAAGGCGCGCTTCTCGAACATTGAAGCCAATTAATCGGGAAAGCGACGCATACGCGTCAACGATCCGACAATCAGAGCAGATCGCTAAATATTTATTTCCCTTTTTTGGAAACAAATTTGTCAACGGGTTTGGGGAAAAGGAAATTTAAAAGTTGGAGGAATTTCATGCAGCCTAAGGCATTGGCGAAATGGTGGCCCTTAGTTTGTGAATTATGACCTGAATTACGAAATAGTTAGAAAAATTCAATGCCGCTGATAAGAGAGCAACTTGAAAATACGCCACAAAAGGCAGATAGGAAAGAATGCTTTGAGGCTGGCAGTGCTCAAAGGCAATTCTTTCACAATTTCCTCCGAATTTTTTGAGGTAATCTAAGCAGTCTATTGTGAAGTGATGAGATATGGTCTGGTTCACAACTTCTTTAACACAGTTTCCCATACAAAATGGGAGCTGATCAACAAAAAAAAAATATTGTAAGGACAACCGATATCAAGCCCAATCAACTGCGACATCCCAATCTCTCAAATAAATAAAACCACGCAGACAATAACATCAAAGATCATCATGATCCTCCTCTCCATTTCCTGGTTCTTATCGTTTGTTCCGAACAATAAAGAGTGACCGTTGAATATAAAATGTATACATCACCCAGTAACCGTCAAACAAACCAGATATTCCACGTCAAAAAAATTGAAGATGGATCGATTCGGATTAGCATAATGGGAAAGAGGGATGATGGGAAGATTTGCGGCAGGTTAGGTGTGAATGACATGTGGGAGATATCGGAGATTACGGGAAATTGTACCGCAGAATGTTTTGATCAATGACTTATAGGAGAAATAAAAATAAAATGGTAAAAGAGCCCTAAATATAACACTTTCACTATTAAAAAACCCCATCTCCCGTTCCAATTTTTGGCAGCTCTAAAAAAATTCCTACACTTCCACAGCGAACCCGGAGGCTTCACTGATGCTTATCAGCACAAACAAACCCGTTGATTTCAAGTTCTCCGCTCGTTCCAATTCCCCATCCATAAGCCGGAAAAGAATGCGAAAGACGAACGGAATCTGGAGAAAAACGCCATTTTTTATTAGATAATTTCACAAGTTTAAGGTCATCAGCGAAAGATCCATGCGAGCTGTTTGCGGGGCGTTATACCGGCTGTGTGAAAAGGGAAATGAAAAGAATCAGAGAGTAGTAAAACTCTTGGATTTATTCTTTCAACGACTTTGTTGATGGAAAGTAAAAGGAACGGTTATGACTAACCGGCAAAACATTGTTTACTGATTGATTCCCTAGAGCTCTCGGCAGCCTGAAACACAGCCATAACCTTAGAAGTGTAACCAAAATGACTACTATAAGTCATAAGTTTTCTGTTCCCCTACGATATCGGATATCGCACTCTCAACTTATACAATTATAAATCCGTGCGAGTGAGAGTCGTCGAACTTGACGAATGCATATTTCCGCTGCTCTCACCCGTAACGGAAGGTGACTGAGGAATGAATGAATACCTTGAGATAAAGCGCGCAAAAACTTTCGCTTACAATAAATATTTTCGCGCTTTAATCCCACCCGAGGTAAAGGCTCAATTAGAGGCCACCACGACCTTCATCTCTCGGAACAATGAGGACGAGCAATTGGCCAATTAATCGCAACGGTTCCCACAACGAGCAGAGGAATTGGCTATTATATTTTGGATCCGACAACAAGCCAAAACATGCGATTTCGGGAAGATGAGTACAAAGACAGAGGATCTACAGAAATAATTGAGTTCTAGTAACCGATGGTTACAATAATACCGGCTTAGGACTGTCAATTTTAGCAGCTTAAAGGCAAATCTCACGCAAAATTCTGGCAAAATCCTAAATCCTAGCCCATCATTTCAACTCACTTCAAAATTGACGTAATTACTTTGTTTTCACCTTTCCAAAACAACCTTATTTCACTATTACGATAAACAAGGTCTACCTGGAATCCATTCTTTCGCTTGTTTTCTATATTCTACCATAAAGCCTGCAATTTCAAGTCATTTGACTCCCACAGACGTAACTCAGGATGCGTAATCGGAGAAAACAGACGATTACTTTTACTAGGAGGCAATATATCCCCTACTGTTACTAAAGCACAAAAATTTTAAGATGGCGTTAGTTATTCACATTTTATTTATATGGCGTTGAGCACCGTTGAAATCAGTATTAGCACTTGAAAATTTACACCCGGAAAATCGAGTATTTGGCAAGGTTAAAAGTTACAAATCAGTCAGAGTGAACTCTCCGAATTTTGTGTTCATTTTCGGTTTGGGGGCTTTGTCCAGCGTCTTTTGAGGAGGGAACTTGTAATTGAATGGGGGAACTCGAGCCGCCGATTTCTGGCCGGTGGTCAGACGTTTGGGCTCAGGAATTCGGCCATATGCGTAGCTGCTGAAAGATCAGTCTTATTCGAGCGTTGAATATATACAACAAAGCCTCTCTATAATAGATAATTTCAGCAATCTCCACTTAGGATTTGAGCCCAAAAAAACTCTCCGAAGATCGCTGAAATCGACCGTTCGAGACGGCCTTTGCATGCCTAGGCTCCATACACCATAATCCTCTTGAATACCCTTAAACCATACCTTTTCTGCGTTCCATTTTTCACTGGTTTCAACGAAATACTCGAGCAATCAATAACCAATCTCTCCGCACTCAACTCAACATCAATGTCAGATGGCAGTTGATGAAACGACGTGTTGGGCAAGTCAACCAAATTGAAATTGTCTTCAGAAATATTGTCAAACTCGTTTGACTCATCCGGAGGCTCCAGATTAGACGCGTCTCGAAGTTTTTCGGTGGTGTTTGGATGCACTAGGATGGAGCTACTGAAAAGTGTACTTGAGCTATTGTCCTTGAAAAAAATAAGGGAAGATCGTCAGTTCGAAAGTGCAATTACTTTTTCATTTGATCGCTGGGCATTCCTTCCACGGGATTCCGATTTCTCTTTGGTTTCGGGATGACTCTTGCAATACATTTATCCAGAATTCTCTCTCCAGAATCTAGAATTGCATTCACAGAGTATAACACATTAATCGCTTCACTTTAACAACAATTTCTAAGCTCCAAAGAACTTCTCTTCTTACCTGAGCTCTTCCCAAGATTATTCTCCTGCTTCTCCCTCAGCCTGCTGGGCTTTGGCAACGCTGAAGCGATCGCTGATTGCAGTAATTTCTTCTCTTTCTTCTCCACTTTCTCCTCCTTCTTTTGCTCAAAGAATTGGCTCTCATCGTCGCTGAATTTGGAATAGTGACTTGGACTGTCTGGCAGATCTGACGGCGATGAGGGTGATTGGTTTCCACTGTTTCTAGTCGTCGTCATATTACTCTTCCAATTCGAGGGGACATCGCCCGAAATGGATTGAAAACTTCCATTTCTAGTGGCCAAAGTGCTGTCGCTAAACCCTAGGCCAGCTTGCAGCACAATCTCCGGTTCGGCTGCCGGATTTGTTTGGTCAATCTGCGCAATACTCGGTGCCATATTTACAGGTGGTGTTGCAAGCTTGGGGCTGTTTTCTCGTGCTCTTAATGTATAAAAATCCGTTTTTCTTGGCAACGTGGATTGATGATGTTGTGTTCGCCTCTGCAAGAGCGATCGTTGAGGATCGTCTGGCCCATAGGATGAGCTCATTCCCCTTAGGCTATTGAAATATCCGCTTCTTCCGTTCCTCGAATTCGGCATTGTCATTGCATACGCGGCTATATGACTGCTGTTCAAGTGGGTTAAGACCGTTTTCACCGCGTTTCTGACGTCCTCTCTCGCGGAATTCTTCAAACTCTCCAATATTACACCTGCCTGTTCGCTGTTGAAAATTCTCATTTGTGTTTTTTCATCCCTCGCGACTAGATGACACAGTGCGCCCAGGGCGTTAATAATCACAGTAAATGAGCTCGAGTTGAGGAGATCGATGAGATGACGGACAATTTTCGCTTCATGCGCTATTTTCAATAAATGCGGCGAGGTGGCAATGATTGCCGCGATGTATTTCAAGACGCCTGAGGCATTTTCAACAAAGGCTGTGGCTTCGGGCTCGGTGTTGAGTTGGGCGACAAGATATGGGATAAAAAGTGGCGTTTCGCAGATCGCTCGCTTATTTTCGGTCGAATGTCCGGCCAGATTCCAGAGCGCGGCAAAAGTCGAGTGTAAACACTTTTGTTCTTCATGAGAATTTCGGTCAAGTTTTTGTTTATAGAGTTTGACTGAGGCCATGGCCAAAGGCTGCACCGTTTTTTGAAGGGCCAACATCATCCCCATGTCCGCATTCCAGGACAGATTTCGAATAAGCGCGCCATATGCCTGCAAAATAGGATTCGATTGGATTACGTTTCTGAGAATAGAAAGGGAAAGCAAAACAAGAACGAGGAGAGAAATGTGGCGAAGGCGGTAAATAAGCAATCAGCAGCAAAATGACACGGGAAATTCAAGCAAAACAAGTGAACACAAAAATTTTTTAATGCTGAAACACAAATCACAAAACAAAAGTGTTTATGAAGCACTCCACACATTAATACCTGAGTCATTTCCGGAATTTCATCGATAACCTGAGTCACAGTCTCCAAAAATCCATAATGAGCACATAATCTTTTTTTACTTTGGCTATTTCCAAAGGTCAGGTTCGTCAGCAAATTGCCAATGGCCCGAATCGTATCGGTATAGGCCTTTTCTCGGCGGATATTGTATACGTTCACATATAAAATTAACAACTCTCCAACGGCACCAACAAGACCTAAAATTTGGAGGGAAATTATATTATCCATAGCCAAGATTGATGGTAGAAAAAATATACTTCTAAAGCCCGAAAAATAAAACAAAACCATACCTAGACTAGCTTCCACTCGTCTGATGTCCTCTTCGAAGCTCATTTTTAGTACCTTCCATATTGCACTATGCGTTTCGTTGTATTTTTCGTCCAGATCAAGTTGAATGCCTGACTCCAATGCTTTTCGCAAGCTCAATACCCGCATAAATATCAATTTGGAGTCGCATGTCAGCTCAAGGTATCGAGGAAGCCTGAATACAGGTTTTTAAAAGGGTGTTATACATCTTTGAATAATTTAGGTTCTCCATAAGGTGTCCGAAGAACGCCAATATTTAGAAAAAAATAAACCCAAAGCTGTCAATCAATAGTCAGAAGAGAAAAACTACAGTTGTGCGAATTTTACATGACTATTTTTTAACCGGAAAAATCAAAAAATATTGCTGTTTAGCCCTAAAATCGAGAATAATCAAAAAAATGTCGAAACCCACCTGCATTCCTCAATTTCCGCGCGACAACAGTTCTCCAAGTGTGAGAATAGACCATCGAGCTCATTAAAAACATCCTGACTAGGCGAACAATCCAATGGAAAGTTGGATAATCGAATAATAACACTGTCCAGATTTATCACATCCATCATTTGTGGTTCGAAATGCTCGGTCTTTGGCCCGAGAGTCAGTCCATCACTCTTGTTATCGACCTTTTTGTCTTTCGCGAGAATTGGAAAAAAGAAATATTCTTCGCTTGATGCGGAATGCCAAGGAAACTGAAACGGTTTGTTTTCGTGGCGAGACGAATGAATGAGGGTCACGGAAAAATAATTTACCGAAAAGATCCTGAGGGTAGGTGATGTAAAATTCCAGAAATATCTACATTTCTTTAGATTTTGACACTTTTACGATAAATTAATTTCTTATCAAAATGGTATGGATAGTATCAGATGTCCGATGTGTTTTTCCAATGTTCGTTGCATCAGAACCCGGTTGTTTTTTCTTATCGTTGTAAAGATCGGTCCTTCTCCGTACCATTTCGTGTTTTCAAAGCCTGAGTTTTCATTGGAATGGTCAACGGAAAAAAATGAATTGTGAACGGAAGCTGAGCCGGTCGTTGACCTTCAGCTGATTCGGGCTCGTTTCGCTTTTGCGAAAATAAGGAAAGTGCCTTATGGGCGAGACTGTAACTGATCATACTGAAGAAAAAATGTTTTGACATCGACACAATCTGGGGGGAATTTTAAGATACGACGATAATGGATCAAAACAAATAATGTTCAATATTTCAGCTGCGTGTGCAATCAAGAGCTGAAACCTTTGGGAATTATTGCGTGGTATGTATAAGTACTATGAATGTGAAATTTGAAGAAAAACGGAGAGTCACACCTTTATCCCATTACTTTCATTTTCGCCTACATGTTCTACAAAGTCAACTTTTCAAGTTCTGTTAATTCTGGCCTACAATTTGCTTGCCTTGCCCAAATATACTATTACGTACATATTCGACTATCTTGGCACGCGAGAGACTATTTAAATCAAGTTATTATTTGAACTTGATGCAGTCGAATGTGGTTTCTACCAGTGTACATGTAAACGTGAGGTATGGAATGTCTCGGCGAAAATCAAGGGCGCTTAGCTTGGCCAAAGCTTGAATTTACAGTTTTTAGCTTCAAAATTGTGCTTGAGTTTTTTTGCGAGTTTTGACGCGAAAGTGAGTGATTCTATGATTGTTGTGGCGCGAGAAAGTGGATGAAAAAAACGTTGACTGGCGAGAACTTTGGGTGTCGCTTGGAACAATATTCTTTGTAGGCCTTTGTGCACCTTTTTCTAGTAGACCTTCAAATTCAAAATGGCAAAAATTGTAAGTGTCGATGGTTTCTGCAATTCACAACCTAAATATCCCGAATATTTCTCACAAGGGAATGGTCCCAACGATCCGTGGGATCCGCAGATGAAACCTTGATATTCTGAAAGAGCAGGTAAAATTTAGTAGGAATCCGTTTTTTCTACTTGCCGAATAAGTCTGTGCGACGAGAAATATCGACGAAAAGATCCGACCAAAAACTCGAAAGAGAGAAAAGAAAAACCGAAAGGCCTTGGAAGGCGTCACCAAATAGTCTAGTGGAAAAAGTTCCACGCACAAATCTTTTGGGGGAGGGAGGCTTTGGAGGTTCGAGTCCACGCGGAGCGGATATCTCCGGCTTTTGAACCTACATGTTCATTGCTGTATCCTACAGTCATATAAAAAACTTTTTTTGTTTATTGACCCGCTTTACAGGGTTTGTTGCATCGGAGCAGTGGAAATCTCTGGCCATTACCTCTTTTTATGATACCACCAGATCCGTTCCAAAGAAGACAAATTTATGCAGATTTATACCTTCTGGGCAGAATTTGAGAAAAATAATCTGGGCACTGGTTAAACACGTGTCCACGGCCATTTTTAACCAAAAAAAACTCAAAATCGATTTTTTCGTAAATATTCACGCGGTCTACTACACGCTGACGCAAGGACCCAAAAATTCTCTTTTCAACTTTTCTTGCAAAATTTTATGAAAAGGTGAGATTTTGGCAACATCCTTTTTGGGAAACCGAAAAAGATCTGCAAGATCCTATAAAACCTTCCAGAATCGAGTAGAAGTGTCTTGAAAATACCAGTATGTCGACATCGGGCTTATCAGAAATATTACCGAAATGTCAACTTTTCATAAAATTTTGCAGCAAACCCTGTAGAAAAGGTCGACAAACAAAAAAAAAATTTTTTAAGACTGTAGGATACAGCAATGAACACGTAGGTTCAAAAGCCGGAGATTTCCGCTCCGGGTGGAATCGAACCTCCAAAGCCTCCCTCCCCCAAAAGATTTGTGCGTGGAACTTTTTCCACTAGACTATTTGGTGACGCCTTCCAAGGCCTTTCGGTTTTTCTTTTCTCTCTTTCGATTTTTTGGTCGGATCTTTTCGTCGATATTTCTCGTCGCACAGACTTATTCGGCAAGTAGAAAAAACGGATTCCTACTAAATTTTACCTGCTCTTTCTGAATATCTAGGTTTCATTTGTGGATCCCACGGATCGTTGGGACCATTCCCTTGTCAGATTTTTTTTCATAATTGGGTATTAATCGAAATCACAAAGTTACCTAATGGTACGTCTTTAAGGTCGAAATAACCTTTTCAATACGCCTTGTGCCCTAATTTACTTTCCACTCTCACTTTACCATAACCAATTACCCGTGCTCATTCATTCTTTTTCGGGATTTTTTGCACGCTCTGTTCCAAAATTGCGGCGATCATGAGCCCATTACAATGTCGGAGACATCCGGAGGTACCCTGCGCCCACAAAAAGTTTGACCTTTACAGTACCACGGGACTTTAGACCCCACATGTTTTGTACGAAAGGAATGTATTTTCTCTTCCGAATCTTTTCAATTTCTCCTTCAACTTTTCCTTCCTTCCCTTTTACGTGGTGGTGTTACATAAGAACGACCTTCAGGGGAAAATTCGCGCAAAAAATTTTATAAAGACTCTCGCGAGAATGTGGCGCCCAGTGCCAGCCGCCGCGATTTACCGCGACAGTAAATTTACTGCGTGAGCAAAAACGAAAATAATATGGGGGGCGGGCGAAGGGCGGACTGATCTAATAACAGGGTAAGTGCGCGAGAAAAAACACAAATTTTAACTTTTGTGATTCCTTTTTATAGAGGAGGGGTTTGTTTGCTGCAGGGCCTTGTTTTCGAAAGGGCTGCAGGAGAAATGGACGTTACAGTGAAAGTTTATGGAGAACCTGTGCTCAGCGAAGTACTAGGATTCAAAAAAATGGGTTGTTTTATTAGATGTTACTGGTATGGCCTTGCGTTGGCCGATTATTCAAATTTCGCTTGTTCTCTCGATCTCGGCTGCAGTTGGAAAGCGCGGATTAAAACTTCCGCTTAAAAATCTTCCCCATATGAAACCATGATTTTTCGACTTGCGAATTAAGAAATTTGCTACTTTTTTGCATGTTCCGACACAAAATTTTTGCTGCAAAATTTTCTACTGATCCAAAGTTGATGTTTTTTGACCTAGTGCTTGAAGATGTCCAACAATCTTTGAAAGTTAGGAACAAAGTGAGGAAAAAAATTGAGAGAGACAGTAAAAGAAGAGAAGTTCTGCCGTATGTCTGGAAAATAATGTGGATTCCTCGCAGCAAAATGTCTCGCCTCGCCGAAAAAATCCCGAGCCACGGCTAGCCGTCGCAGAGCGATTATCGGAGCTTCCAAGGCACGACGAATTCACGTGGTTTTCCCGACAGACGGACGCCGTACGTAATGAAAAATTTGAACCCCATTTTGTTCCATGGTTTGTCGTACAGAGGTTTCGCTGAAGTTTTCTTTTTTAATGTCCAACCTTGTTTGCATTTTAAGGACAAATATTTTGTTTTTTTTTCTGAACTTCAATCCATGATTTTTGATCTTCAACATCCCCTTACTGTATTGCACTCTCCTTACAACTTTCGAAAACATTACATTTTCTTGACGTTTCATTTCGCACATAGTAATGTTCGTTATTTACGATACATTTCTAAGTATCGGGTGCGACTTGCAGACTCGGTTTATAGACCGCATAATTAGTCGTGGACGTATATACAGATTATTATTTGTTCCGCATCCTTCGTACTTTTCTATTCTACTGGCTGGCGACTTAACAGTCTTTCTTTATTTTTTGGAATCTTGGTTTGTAGGGAAGTTCGCCAAGTTCAAAGAGTCAGTTTTGATGAAGCATCGCTCAAATTGAGGTGGCAAGGAAATGCGAAATATTTACTCACGCTTTGCAGAATAGTTGAACACTTGTCGAAAACGGTCGTGTTTTGTAATTTTAGGCAAAAAATCGATATCCTTTTTGACCTGCGTAAGTGCCAGCGTAAACATGCCTAGTCGAAAAATGTTATGTTTGCTCTCTGACCGAATCTCCTAATTTTGCGTGATTTCTTACCTGCATTTCTCAGCCGAAGCTTACTTCAAATTTTTTCGTCTAACCTGAGTTTCTTATACATGTTTTTACGTCACTAAATCTATCGGAGCACACTTGATGATTTCTGTTTTCAGATGTCATCAGACTTCTTCACCCCCTATCTACCAAAGCCGGTTCCAATAAATCCAACCGCTCAACTTTTGTTTCAACTAGCTCAACTGTCCAGCCAGCTGAGTCAACGGGCCAATTTGCAGCTATATGCACCGGCAAACCCTCTACAAAGCAACATGAGTAATTTGACAGTACCTGCCAGTAACGCCTCTTTACTGGCTCTTCAATCACTAACTCAGGCCATGTTAAACATGTCGGGTGGCTCAACTTTGAATGCTCATAACTTTGGTCACAGTTCAAATGGCAGTATGAAATTTTCTAATGCTGCAACTACTGGTACAGTAAACAACGGGGCTACTTGTGGAACCGCTACTTCGTCATCTTCCGGTATAGCAAGCAATATTTACCAAGGACATCAAATTTCCCCAAGTTTTGGAAAAAATCCCATTTTTTCGAAGGAAAACTTGGTTGGGAATACAACACTTTCTACAACTGAAATCGGGAGCAGGCACTGTAGTATAACCCATTTCTATCCTACCCCATCGACATCTACCGTTATGGCAAACGAAATTTTACAAAGTCGTCAAATTGGCCAAAATTGTGCGAAAAGTCCCGATTTTGCGCCGAAGCATCTGGATTTTGCCTCAGCGGACTTGAAAACTGCGCCACATTCAATCTACCTTCCCCAGTGCTCTACCCCAAGAATCGACCAGCTCTCTAAAAAGCCCAAATCTCAAGGCAGTCGGCTCTCTTATCCGAGGGAGTTCAAACTGATGGTCATAAACCATTATAACGAAAATGGCCGCAATAAATACCGGACTTGTAAGCAATTCCAAATCACAAAGTCAATGCTGAACGGATGGCTTCAACGAGCCGAGAATATACGACAAAGTCGACCGGGATCCATGAAATCTGGAAGGTCTGGGAGGAAGCCGCACTTTCCGGAGGTGGAAGAGAAATTATTCGAAATTTATGGAAAGGAAGAGGACTTCAAGAACAACCAATGGCTCAGAGAGACGGCCAAGAAGTTGGCAAACGAAGTCAAGTTTGATAATTCGAAGGGGCAATTCAGCGAAAGATGGTTGGCAAATTTTAAGCGGAGATATCAACTGGAAAATGAGAAGGGCTGGAGGGAGAGCAGGAACTCGTTGACGGAAAGTAAGTATGAAATAAATAAAAACGTCTTGTAGGTAATTTAGTACATTTTCTGTATAGCCAATCGCAAAATTTTCAATCTTTGTTTAGTCATGAAATTTTCAAAAAAAAAAAAAAAAACAAAAAAACAAAAATGTCGTATATCGCATAGAAAAAACGTAAAAAAATGAAACATTTCGACCCAATACGTTCCAAGCCCTTTTTCTAAACCCTCCCAAAACCCTTTCAAAATCATAACCAATAACGTTTTTTTTCAGCCGAATCCCATTCGGACACGGAATCCGAATCCATGTGCGGCGCCGAAATCGGATCCGACTGGGCATCCGGCCTGAAGGAATTGGCGGGCGAGCTGCTGGGCCAGCCCCAGCCCCCGATCCACGGCTTCTACCGCCGCTTCCCCGAGCTCCGTCGCAAAACGCCGGCCGCAAAACGAAAACGGACAATTTGAGGGTCGGAAAAGAAAGGGCAACTTGAAGAGAATGGAGAGGAAATTGAACTTTAAGACCAGTTCAACGCTCTTCCAAACAGCTGATTTTATGATTTGATGTGGGAAAAATGGACGAGAGAACAAGATGGACAAGATATTTTAAACTCGAATTTGTGCAGACATATCTAATTTATTTGTCGAATAACCTCGAAAGTCAAGGAATACGTTGTAAATTTTGTATCATACATATATCTAGATTGCATGTCTATCTCACAAAAAATAAATTATTTTTGAATTGAAACGATTGGAAATGCAGAAATTAAAAAAATGATGACTCGAAAAAATGCTGATGTGAGATTTCCTTGAAACTCGGCTCAAATTTAAACTAGTCTTTTTAGAACATGTATACAACTCTTTCAACTTGCACTTTGCATAAACAACCGCAGGTCTTAAGCAGAGAAAATACGGAAAATACGAAATCTCTAAGCCAACTTACGTATTTGTACAAAACACAAGACTTTTTTACACTAAAATATACGATTTTTTGGCTGATATATGATTTCTCCAAACGAATTCTTAAACTTATAATACATTTTTCTTTTTTATCAATACTTTACTCTATCTTTCTCTATCGCTGAAAATCATGGGTGACTTAGCAAAAGATAAGCTAAAACTTTCAGGAATTGATACGTGGTCGACAAGCATCGCCTGTGTTTTGAATGTACTTTAAAGTGACAGTAATTCCTAGGGTTAGCTGCAAAACAATTTTTTATCCCATTGACTTTTCGTTGTAACGTCGGCAAATCGTATCCAAGACGTGACTTTTTATCAATTTTATTTGTGCTCCTACAGAAACGATTTCTCCGTTTTCAGAAAAAGTCCAGTACTTATCAAGAGCATTTTCGGAACACACTCTCCTGATCGATGGGGGTTGTTTTTTATACCATTTCCATTTTTTTTTTTGACTCCGAGTCATCAAACGTATTATCTATGACAAATTTTTTTCTTCAGGATAGCTTTTTGGATTTTTCGGATCTAAAAGGTTAAAAAAGGCTTGACCAAGTTTATTAAACCCTTTTTTTCTCCCGTACTTTGCACATTGCTCTAATTTCCCGGGTTTCTTTTTATAAAAGACCCCCTTCTAGACCCGCTTGTTGCATAAAGTTGTTCTCGTCGTACTATAACTTCTGTAGTGATCGTTTCATGACGCCATATTTGTTGTGTGATTCCTGTGTGGAAGCCGAGCTTTTCGACAATTCTATAATATCTGTTTTTCAGGTCCAATGAATGTCATCAAAACTTTTTCATCGAAAAAGCCTAAGAATTCCGTCATCACTGACGAAATTTTTGGATTTTCTGTTGCGGAAAATTATTTTCCAAAAAAATCTCACGTAATTTTGCGTTATCAAAAAGGTTCGTCGTTCATCTTGATCGAAATCGTTCGTTCTTCCTCACTCTTTACCCTTTTTTCCAATCAACTTTTGTTTTCTTTCGAAAAATCTTTTTTTTCCCAAACATTTGCTCGTCGAGAGTTTTGAGGGCACTTTGAGGACGAGAAATGAATATTTTTTGATAACCTCATCGATTTTTTGCTTTCTTCTGCCTTTTTTTAGGTGGCTAATGTGTTCATTACTTATTTGACATCGAATTACAGCGAAGTTACGTGTTTTTTAGGTATTTTAGCGGACATTAGTGTCTTGATTTGATATTAGAGCTAAATTTGGATACTTTTGCCTAGAAACTGATGTGTTCTGGCTGTCGTCATCGAATTACATCATATTCTTTATTTTTTTGCCAGATTCTGCAATTTCTGCAACAATAGTAAAATTTTTCCATGGATTATATCAGAAAGTGTTGTTTTGCCTCGTTTTAATTGAAAACAAACCTTTTCGAAGACATGACATTGTCTAGACATATCAACTTAATTGGGCGGGCTGTGTTCTTTCATTTTACGCCTCTCCAGCGTAATTTTAGTTATTTTCCGACCTGTTTTACCAATCATATTATACTTGGCCATGTCCATGCTAAAATATTTGCTATTTTACCCTCCAAGCCGATCTAAAAGGTCTCAAAGTGTTTCTTCAACTGTTTACTTCTCTTATCTTGCGGTTCGCATCGATTATTTTTCTAAAATTTAACCCTGTTTTAGATGTGGAGCCTACTATGGATATACCTAACATATGTGATTGGTGTGATTGTAACACTGGTAATTATTCTCTCACTGTTTGGCATATCAACTGGCGTCCGTGAGCGTGCTGCTCAACTTCTTTTGGTGGTATTTGCGGTAAGCTTTTGTTTTTTTTGTTCTTGGAGTTTAGGATCAAGTTAATTCGATAATGGCAGGCTTAAAGCAAGAGGATTTCGACGCTATGTGTGCGATTTTAAAGTATAAGCGTTATTTTTCTTATTGTACTTGCGCAAAATAGTCGCGTTTTGCCAAAAAAATCATCGAAATTGCCTTAATGTAATCCTGGAAATTGAAGTTTTCAATTTGAGACCAAAATATACTGTGAAATTATTTTTTACAAAGTAATTCCAGGCTATTTCGAACCTTGTCTTTTTTTTATCAATAAAAAATTTATTCATATAATTGCCGTTAAATAGCATTTGCGCAAAATAAGGTAACACTTTGTCCATTTTCGTCTAAGAGTTTCTTCGAAGCTGTTGGCAAGGCTATAATGAAGACTCCGCGTTTCACACAGCATAAAATCCAAAAACTATAAGCATAGCGCGCTTATAGGGCCTGATACAGACCTTTGGCCGGCGTTAAATTCCTTTCGGACTTGCCGTTTTTTCCTTGCGGATTCGAACGGACTTTAAGGTTTATATTGAAATTGTATTCATTTACCCCTGCACTAGGCAGGGGCGTCTTCTCTTCGCTCGAACCGCGAGGAAGACGAAAAAAATGCGGGCCGCCTGAGGGCAGAGAAAAACGGGAGAGCGTAATGAAAAAATTGCGTTAAAAACAAACAAACAAGACACGAAATACATCAAAAAAGATAAGGAAAACTTGCATTACACTGAGCATTTTTAGTGGGCAGCTCAGTTGGAAGATGAATGCGAAAATTGTGAGGATAATGAATCCGCAGCCGTTCCTTCCGATGAAATCTCTGAGTTTGGTAGTGGTGGGATGGAAACGCACAGGCCTAGAAAGAGGGCAAAGGGAGCCGCAGATCATCGTAAGTTTATATTACACTTGATGTATTTGAGGAGAAATTTTTGGAAATTAACGTGTAAAATATTATAATCGTATTTTAAACTCATTCCGAACGAATTAAGACCTCATTCAACGCCGGTGGACCAATTCGGTGGACAGGAAACTCCATCAATCCGACTACGAGACCGATCAGGAAGGCGAGACCGAACCCCATCCCAAAAAGAACACTGTAAGCACAATCGTCAATGATTCCATGGAAATTATGCTGGCTGGAGTTGAATCCATCATCGAGGATGAGGTAACCAGTCGCTTTAAGGCAGCAGCGCTGCCATCGTGGAATTTGTTGAGCAGAAGTCGAACTGGCTATGGGCACATAAAGTAAGGTCTATTTCGTTTAGTATTGTGGTTTTTAGTGGATGTAATGAGATTGATGCATAACAGTATGATGAATTTAGGGTATTTTTGCTGTCTTTGGGGGATTTTTTGAATTTTGCGGAAAATTTACAGAATTTTTTTTTGTGTTTGTACTACAATTTTCATTATTTTTTTCCAAAATCCAAATTTCGATATAATTTTTTATCTTTTTGGAAAAAATAATGGTTTCCCGTGTTTTAGCTGGAAGCTCTTGGCCCTTTGGGGTGCCGGCGTCGGCTTCAGATACGTGGTCTTGCTTCCAGTGAGGTTCATTTTATTCTCGATCTCACTTTTGCTTTTGCTCTTCAATTCTCTTTGGATTGGCCTCATTCCTAATGAAAAGTAAGTAAATTAAGCCTTTATGGCATCAGAAATTTGCTGAGGAGACTAAATTTATATTGTTTTAGCATCAGAATCATCTGCAACAAGTACAGTATGCTGACGTTTTCTCGAATTTTATCCCGTGCTTTCTCATCCATCATTGTTTTCCATGATAAGTAAGGATTCATTGAGCTTTGCTGGTCCTTTTACACCATGAGATATCTGAAAATTCGATTTTTTCAGACAGAATCGACCAAAATCCGGAATTGTTGTAGCAAATCACACAAGTCCAATTGATGTGATGATTTTGAGCACAGATAATGTATATGCAATGATTGGACAACGCCAAGGAGGAATTTTGGGACTGGTCCAAACAGCGGTGAGCAGGTCTGCTCACCATATTTGGTTTGATCGGACGGAAGCCAGGGATCGGAATACGGTCAGAAGGACTTTGAAGTGAGTAACTTAAAACTAGAATGTTTTTTAAGTTTTTTAAGAATAAAATTTTAGGTAAAAATTAGGTTTGAAGTTGATTTTAGTCGACAAGATTTTTTGTGGAAGTTTGTTATCTTTTTTTGCACTAAGAAGTGCCAAAATTGGAATAATTTTACCGTATTATTGAGTTAAATGATGTAATGCTACAGAGAGCACGTAGAAGACCCCCGAAAACTGCCTATTCTCATCTTCCCCGAGGGCACTTGCATCAACAACACCTCCGTGATGATGTTCAAAAAAGGCTCGTTCGAGGTCGCGGACTGGGTCCATCCGATCGCAATGAAATACGACAATCGTCTCGGCGACGCGTTCTGGAACAGCTCGGCCCAGGGATACTTTGCTTATTTGATGTCCATGATGACTTCTTGGGCCCTTATGTGTCAGGTTTGGTATATGCCTGCGATGAAGCGGGAACCCGGCGAAGATGCGGCGGTTTTTGCCCGGAGGGTAAAGCGAGCGATTGCCCAGCAAGGAGGTTTGGTGGACCTGGAATGGGACGGAAATTTGAAGAGAACTATGGTCAGTTGGGGGAGAAATTTGCAGGGATTAAGTAGATCTGAGATGGGAAAGGTTGAGCTTTAAGATTTTCGAGATTTGAGGGTATACAAATAATTTGTGATTCAGGTCCCAGACAAGCTGAAGAACGCCCAAAAAGAACTGTTCTACCAATACCTTCATCGGACCACATCAATTGCCGGTGAACTTTCGGCAGATGAGATTGAATTCATAAAGAAAATCCAAGAAGTAAGCGCAAAAAGGATTGTTGACATCCTTGGGGATGTAACTGATGGATTTTTGTTGTACAATTGAAGGTTTTATGGCATTATTTTTTGCAGGAAGACGACGTTCCCATCGCCCAAGCCGTTAATGAATTGGAATCCAAAGAAGGCCTCCATCTGAAGGGAGAGTAGTCCAAACTGTGTGAAAAACGTGTCAATTTCTCGAAACTGGTATAACCTCTGTAATTCTTGTATTTTGTATATTGAATTTTACATTTCGTATACTCTAGAGCATATTGAATATCATAAATAATTTAATTCGACTAATGACCTGTTTTTAAATATTTTCCTTTGTTATTTTTGAGTTATTTTGATACCTTTTTCTTTTTATTATACATAAGGGAATGTATAATACAGGAAAATGTGTCACTTCAAAAGAAACGTCGCTTTCTGGTCTGTGAAAGATGCATTCTTGCTGCATGGTCCAGTCGGTGATTGTTTGACAAATTTTTTAGTGAGCATAATATATATTATATATGTTTTCGCGGGCAGGACGTTTCGGTGATATGCTTCTTGGGTGTGGTTGGTCTTCCTTGATATTCCATGGATGAAATTTTGCAGTCCAAACTTACGTAACCACTTTTGCTTTCTGTTTTTTTTTGTAACTTTGTCTAAAGTTTTGTCTCTTAAATATTGTTTTTTGTTGCCAGTCGTCATGTCTGGATTTTATTTAAAGGACCTTTCCTGGAAATTGCACTTGTAAGCCTATAAGTCGTCGCAAAACCCCACTAAACACTCCTTGATTCATTACGGGACGAATTTCATCGTAGAAAAGTGATTTTACGTGCGAGTCGCAGCTTTAGACCAGCGATGTAGAGAATTTTTTCTAATGAGGTTCGTTTTAAGTCTCTGAATAATATGATATAATTATATAAGTCTTTGCTTTTCCCTTTTTGTTTTTCTTTTGCTTAGCTCCTCTCTGTTGAATTTCGATAAGATTAATTGTATCTCTCTTTCAAGTACATACAGCAGTTTCTCCAACGAAAACTTCACGGTTTGCCTGCAAATGCTAACAGTATAATTATTATATTATATATACGCACGCAAAGTTAAAATAAATATAATTTTCGTTGTAACATAATTTGAATTGTCTATAAATTTTTTTTGTTTTTGGGGAAAACGGTCGAATTCTTTTTTTCTTGATATTAAATATTAGGTTGGCTAATAAGTTTTTGAAATTTTTTACGATTTCTTCTTTGTGCCAAAACTTTTTCGCGGTTGACCAACAATAACTGCTATATCCATGCTTAGTAACTGTCACATAGTCCCTACAATACCAATGCTGAGCGACCTCCTCAGCAGGCATATCAAAGCAGTAAGCCTTAAAAGTTTTTTTGGAGTCACTTTTTGGATCTTCAAATGTATTAAAGCTTCTGCCCTGAAGACAGTGCGCCAGTTTATGGAACTGATGTCTGTTACACTCGTCAATGTTCAGGCTGTAAAACTGTCGGGGAAGTGGATCCCATTCGAAATGTTTGGAAACTTTTTACTAACATCTTTGTGTCGCATGGCTTTCCGCGTCATCCCGATATCCCAAACGGTTGATTTCGTTTTGCCCGCTGCCGGCAGCTGGCCAAGGTAGCATGTATAAACACCCTTCGTAACTGTGTTACCATTTGGTAATAACGGCAACAGCGTAGGCCTTTCACAATTCCAAGAGGGACTCAAAAATACCCTCCTGGAGATGGACCGTTGCTTGGATCTGAACTTCAGAATCCTGCACGTCAAATCATTGGCTCTTGTTTACATGGTTATAGTACAGGACATACGTCTCATTAACGAGCACTTGTTGGGCTACTGAGATAAATTTTGGGCTAAAAGGCAGCAGTTTTCAGATGGACTCCCTGTTGAAAACCGGTCAAGCCCTAATGATAAATTTGATCAAATCTTCATATTGAGCGCAAAAGATGGAAATGTTCTTGCGTCATGTGATACACGTAAAGCTGCTCTGTGTATTAATTCACATTATCTTTAATAGCATTCCTTAACTATCTTCAAAATGGTCCCGCGGTCTTATTATGAACTAAAGTCATAGTCGCCGTTAGTGAGCCTTTAGGACCAATACACTACCGTGGCACTGTTAACGATGTTCAGGCCTTATACACTGTTTAGTTGGGCTATAGAACCGGTGGGTATCAGGCCTCTTTAAGAGCTGTAGAAGAAACCACCTCAAAATATGATCTTTTTCAACATGCCGTTATAAAACCTTAGCAAAGGCTGTGACCTGGTTGCCTCTCTACTTGACAGTACTCAAGCTCTACTACAAGTTATAGTTGCTGTCCTTGCTAAACTGACCCAAAAAGACCGTGGTGATACAGAGAAAAAAATTTCAAAAACTTATTAGCCAACCTATATCGGGGCTTTGCCAGTTCAGATGAAAAAACGGCAATTCGGCGGAGAAAAACATTAACCCATTTAAGAAATTATGGTGAGAAAACTAAAATTGTCGTTCATATACGGCCCTTACTAACCAAAAATATGATTCTTCTTATCGGCAGACGCAAATTTTCGTAATCTTAATTAAATTGGTTGATTTTTTCCGCCGAATTGCCGTTTTTTTCATCTGCCAGTCGCCTGAAGACATCATAAGTCGTATTTCGGCACCAAAGATACCATATGTTTCGGTTTTAGCTAGATTTGACCCTCCGAAGATGAAGAAAAATCGTCCGCCGAGGTTAAAAAATGTTTCCGCCAAATCACAAAAAATTGAAATAAATGTCATATTTTATCTATTGGATCTTTTTCCGCCCATTTTCTTTACACATACAACGATTTACAGCCTGATTTATATGAAAAGACAACATTTTTTTAGATTCAAAAACTCCGAGGCTTTCCTGTATAATAAAAAAAAATCGGAATGGACCACCGAGCGCAAAGTTATTAATGAATAGTTTTTCCCACATTTCTCTGAACACCCTGTGCATAAAACGAACGATTTCAGAGATTCGAAAACAATGTCATTATAATATATAAGTAGTATATTAAAAAAGCATAAGAAATTTAGAATATACATTGGTGAATCTTTTGTGCAATATAATATATTCCGATACGTCATATGTATATTTTGAAAATTATCACCGGAAAAGCAAACTGTATTTTATATTTCAATATACGTAAAAGCATAGAAAAAATACATACATAAAATAAAATCCCATGCAACAAAACCTGTCTGTAACGAACAATTTCAGAACAAAAATTTTTTGCTCCCTGAGATTTGTTGCACAGCGATTTCACTGCGGTTCCAGAAGCCTGCCAAACTAATTTACTGCCGCCAAAAATAGACCCAAAAGGTCTGACGGAAAAAATAAAGCTATGAAACTCATCTCATCGCAAATCTTCCGCCGGTCCTTTTGAATCGGGCTGATTTATTCTTCGCGCGTTTTGGGCAGGTGTTGACTTTTCGAAAAAATGTTTGGAGGCGCTCATGGAGAGAGTGCCATAATTTAGCATTTTTTTTGCGGAAAAAATATCATCGATTACTCGACAAAATCGACAATGAATACGAATAAATCCTTGCCTAATGCAACAGATAGGAAATTCATTTTTATAATTGACTTTTTTTTCAAATTGATTTGAACTGCTTGAGTTAACAATTGTTCCATTTATACGACAAACCATAATTTGGAACCATTAATTGCACTACTTATCAAGGACTAGCTCATCAAAATTTGAGCCGATTAAGTTGCTGATAAGCCACTAATAATTCAAAAATTTAAACTCATAATTTCAAGAACGGTCTGGGAGTATTACTTTGAAAAGATGTGGTCTTTCTGGACCATACTTCTTATTTCCTTAGGCGTTTCGGGATTACCGGATGAATATATAAAAAGTAAGATGCGTCAGAACAGTACTGTATTTTTACTGTGAAAATTGTCCTTTTTAGAAGTCCAAAAAGACCCGTTGAACGCTTTTTTAACAAGCCCTTTTGACAAACCAAGATACACGCTCAACATTCATACCAATGACAGTTTACCACACGACGTGGTTGTTCATTCATATGACATCTTATTGGAGCCTTTTTTCAAGTTCCCCGGCTTCAGCTTCAATAAAGGTAAGATGCCTGGCAAACTATGTCTATAATGGCTTTAAATTTATATGTCTTCAGACCTTCTCTACACCTTCAAAGGAAGTGCTTCGATTGTTTTCTCCGTGCTGAAACCGACCTTTCAAATTGAGTTGGCTTCGGCCGTCAAGATCTCGGAATACTCCCTAACCTCCGGACGTCAGCGAATTAGCCTCTCAAAACTCAATATCACCGGTGAAAACCACCTAACTTTACACACGACTCAAAAGTTATACCCGTTGAAGAATTACACTCTGCATTTCCGTTACAGTAATGAGATGAGTCAAGCCTCCAGAGGAAGTGTTTATTATTACGAATATAACGATAGAGGCAATGTTGCGACGTAAGATAACATAACCGAAAAAGTTTAAATTTTACTTACAGCTCTTTGGTGGCCAGTATTTTCGAAACCATCCATGCAAGAGAAGCCTTCCCTTGTTTTGACGACCCGTCGCTCAAGGCAACTTTCAAATTGAGCCTGATCCATCCGAAGAATGCCAAAGTTTACAGTAACGCGGAAATTGGCGAGCAACATTACTTTGAGTAGGTGATTTAGACCTATTCTTATCGCATGCAAAACTGTCCAAAAAACATTCTACTGCGATTTCAGTGAGCAACGGAGTCTTACCCGTTTCAAGCCAACTGCAAAGATGTCCACCTACCTCTTGGCTTTTGCTATTGGTGATTTTGTCGAGAGTCATGCAACTTCCGCCAGCGGAGTAAAGGTAGAGATACGAATAATACTAGTAAAAGGAATGTAGATCCGCGCCATGGCCGTCAATAAATACAGAGGTCTCACCAATGAAGCCGCAGTTATAGGTGCTCATTGTGTCGACACGATGGAAAACTTGGTCAGGGTGAACTATCCGCTCAGCAAATTGGGTACGGTTCTTTACTCCTCGTCTCGAAATGGCGGTATTTCTTTTTAGATCACCTCGATACGGTCGAATTTTCGGCTGGCGGAATGGAAAACTTTGGCTTTATCATCTACGGAGACATTGTACCGTCTTCTTTTGGTCAGACGATCGCGGAAAGCTATGGGCAGAAGAGTGTGATCTGTCACGAAACTGCACATCAATGGTGAGAAACAGGATGACGTTGGCAAGGTTGTTGTTATAGGTTTGGAGATCTGGTAACTGCCCAGAAATGGGGATGGGAGTTTCTCCATGAATCTTTTGCTAACTACTTCGAAGCCCATACTGTGGGACAGCTGGACAAGTATAGGTATTTTGTGGTAAGTCGAATATCTATGAGCATCTTCTGGGTGTAAAAAAATTGTCAAAATTGCTACACAGGGTTCTTATGTCCAATAACAAGCTTTGTTATCCTTTTATTTTTTAGGAGATATCCCGTGTCCCGGTCATGATGGAAATGGTGGAACAATTCTCTGCGGGAAGTCATCCAGTAGCCGACAATACTAGCCATTTTGATTGTGAGGTGTTATAATCCGCTTGCTTACGTTCCTCTTTTAGCTATCACCTACGACATAGGTGGAGCAATTCTGAACAGTATCCGTAACGTCTTGGGTGACAGAACCTTCTATAAAGGCTTGAACATCTACCAAAGAGAGAACGCCTATGCAAACGCAAACCTCGATGTCTTATTACATAGCTTTGAAAAGGTAAGCCGATCTGAGGCAGCCATTTCATCGCTTATTTCCAGGCAATGGACACTAAATATCTATGTGGGAATCTTACTTTCACAGGCTATGCTAAAGACTATTTCCTTCAAATCGGAGCTCCTATCGTCAATGTTGAACTGGATGACAACAACGTTCATGTGATTACACAAACCCCATTCCGCAAGAAAAACTTGTGGAATGTCCCAATCTTTGTCCAAGATCTCGATACTGCAAAGGAACGCCTTATTTGGCTGCTGAAAGATGGGAGTATTTGCAGTCCGCTGTCGACCGAAGCAAATGCTAAATATTTCTTCAACAACAACGGAAAAGGCTTTGCCAAGTTCAACATTAACCAGACAATACTCGAAGCTGTTTACAAGCACGAGAAGTTTACCGGATTGACGAAAGAAAACCATGAATTTGTGGTGGCAACTGTAACAAACGACTTGGAGAACCCTGAACTGGCGAATGAACTAATATACAAGATTTTGAAAGCAAACGGAAAAGTCAGCCCAAACTTGCTGCGACATCTTTGGACACATAGCAAGGTGAGACACGATCATAGCAAGAATAATCTTAAGTTCTAGTATTACAACAAGACCTTGGAACTGATCAGCAACAAGTTCGATTACAAGAATACGCCAGAGAATTTGTAAGTTGGAAAAGTTTTCTTTTGCTCATTTTGTTTTACTCTCTTCAGAATTCTTGGTGAGTACTTCTTGGAGCGAGCCGTGCGGGCAGGAATTGAAAGCACCGTAGACAAGGCAAACCAACTGTTTGAAAAGTTCACAAGCGAGTGTAAAGAAGGGAGTGATGTTGTGGAATGCACAGAGTAAGTATTTGGAAATTGCCGTACTTGCCGATAAGCACCGCACGTGAAACTGAGATAAGCTAAAAAAAGGTGAACAGATTGGCCAAAAAAGACACAAAAAAACTTTTTTCGGAGAAGAAATGGGGAATTTTTTGGGCGAGAGAGTACGTTTTTGCGGGATTTCTCTGACTTCTCTGTGAAATCAAGACGAAGTGTAAAAAACCGATAGCGAAGAGTCTATTCCGGTCACCGGACTCCTCAGATTTACGTGCGCCGCGCTTGTGATTAAAGTCTAATATTTGCCGGCCTCTTGGCCGAAACCGATCAATTACAATGAACTTTCTGAAATCATCAGCAAGCCAATGTTGCATTTTAGTTTACTAGTGTAAGAAAAGATCAAATCAAAGGGTTGATTACTTTTTACCATGGCAATCTGTCGGTATCGATTGTAACCGCCGACGGGTATTGTTCAAATTCAGCGCAATTGATTCCTCGAACAATTCTGAAGAAGCCATGCTCCTTGTTGTTAGGTCCCCAGCTGTTTGCAACACGCCAAAATTTTGTTCCATTTTCAACACCCCAGCCAATCAACCTGACTGCATGGTACCCACTTTTGGTTACATTGGGACCCGGCCTGTAGATACCATGGTTATACTGACCAAAGTCCGAGTAAATAATCATGGTTATTGTAAATGGTCCGTTCTTCATGAGTTCATGTTGCATCGATTCGACAAGTGAATCATTTTTGGCAGTAAAACTGACAACCTCCTTCCCAAAGAAAAGGTCTTCTTCGTAGGTTCGATTGTAACCTGGTCGGCATTTAAATGAGCATTGAGTGCCTTGGAAAAGTTGAGCGCTTTTGAAGTCCAGAATCTCATCGGACATTGCGACAGGATACGGCTGACATCCCTGGTTTGAGTGGTAGTCACCACCGGTTGGAAGGCCGTGCTTAATGAATCCCTGTTCACCCTTCAATGGGTAATCTCCACACCCGCAACTAAAATTATACGGCGGTCATTCAGAAAAAGCACGTAAATAGCATGTACATATTATATACTATTACAGACTTTTTGTTAGACATATAAGCCCTTGTCTGTTGCAACTCACCCCTTTCCATCGCAGTCGACCATATGAATGGCGGAAATGTTAACTTTTATCCTTCCCTTGGTCGCAATACAAATGCGATCAGAAATTGCCCCCGCAGTGGCGACAGCCCAGCAGGAGTTGCATTGCCCTTGATTCCATATGTGATTTATCACATCGGCACATTCTGGCCACTTTTCAGCGGCTTCGAAGGACTCGGGGATAGGGTCCAGCGAAGTGAGGACCAGTTGCGCCACTAGGGCTAAGATTACAAAAAATGCAAAGCCAGCACTCATTGTGACTCGGTATGCGAATGAACTGACCGCTCGTATATGTACATTCAACTTGAAAATGTTGAACTATAAACGACGCTTTGAACAATAGCAAGCGGAAATACCAGTTGATCAAAGGAAATAACAATTAAAAAATTAAAGACCGAGAACATAACATTTTCTTTTTCAGAATTCCGCCGGAATGGCGTAAAGCAGTGTACTACAAGGGAAGCCGAACTGACTCTGGTAGGAGCTTCCTCAACAATTACCGCAAACGTCTCCTTGCACATCCGTTGAACGAAAGACTGAAGAGTGAAATCTACCGTACTTTAGGCCTGTAGATGACCGATTGGATTTTTGAATAAAAATTTTAATGACTAAGAATTGGAATTATGAGTTACGGGTTGGAACACTTATAATATTTCTGTTGATATCTTGCAGAACCACCATAGTTCAGACTTGCCAAATAATAAAAGTTGTAAGAGTTGAAGTCTCAACAAAAGGGATCTTTATCGGTTGTCAAAATAGCATTGCAAAACTGCAATGACGTCTTTTGTGATTTTCCTATTATTTATAATACAATTTATTTGACCAGACACCTGGAACATACCGAAAGACATTGCCTATTGTATTAAAATTTTTACAAGTTTAATTGCTATTTTAGACCTTTATTTTCACAAAAAAATTTCCTAATAATTGTTTGCTGTAACGTTGCTGGCGTAGCTGTTAATACTGTGTAGAACCACAATGCTGTGCTTTTTCGGAGGTTCGAATTTGAAACACCAAAAAATTCTCTGCAATTTCCGCAGGGTAAAATCGTAATATGGCTTGACAAAGAAGATCGTGAGTAATGCGTTGCAAGCACCGTATGTAGCGAAGAGGAAGAAGCCGATATCACCAGCCATTTTAGAGGGATCCGATCCCACATAGCGGCAGATAACGCCATACGAGACGGGGAAGAATATAAGGACTATTGGGACGACTAGCTGAAAGGCAACGATTAATTAGATTATCGAAGCGTTTGGGCTGACTACTGGCTTATAAGTATGTCGGGAAAATAATGGGCTGACTGGTATTTCTAGCCCTCCTTACCTGTGCAGCCAACGCAAACGTCAGCTGTTTCTGAAGCCGATAACTTTTCTCCGTCAGCGCCGCTTTCTTCGATTCCAATGCCCTGAGGATAAAAAAGACGAATGCAATTTGAAACAGCTCCATTCCAGCCAACGCCAAGACAACAAAACCAAAAAGGAGGATTGTAAACATTTCGAAGGGATCCACATAAAGTATCGGGTATGGTGACTCGGGAAAGGTTTGATTGTAATACTCAACTTTCTCCCAAATCTTGGCTTGAGGCACTGCCAGCAGCGTAAACAGGTACCCAACAAACAAATTGATCGGCACTTTAACACCGTAGAATAAGCACCAACAGAAAATGGAGAGTAGAAAGCGGTTGAAGCATTTGTTGTCCAACATAACAGACATGCGATATGCAAGGCAAAAACATTGCGCCAGCATCATGTTACTGCCGGTAACGATGACTACGGCGAACTGAAATTAGTGATATGGCCAAGTGCTAGCTAGATATGTAGGATTAGGAATATATCGCTTTGATAAGGTGGGAGTGAGTAAAAGAATTGGGACGATCTATTCCTAAATGAAAGCCCTGACTTGCTCTGCACTTAACCTTCACCAGGACCAAAAATGATGACCTTACTGATAACCTTGCTCCAGTGTCCCCAAAAAATCGAAAAACTCCACTGACAGCAGCCCCACTAACTGGAAATATCGACTGAGGTCCGAAAAGAAAGCCATAACTTATTGCAAACATCATGTCGTGTATCTAAATAAGCAAAGCGTCAACACAAGATTCTCTGACATTGCTGACATAAAATTAAAGTTTTTTCTATGTAATCTGTTACCGTAAAATTGATCAAAAACTTCTTGTACTCCTTCATCGAGGCCGGTGATCGCGTCATGACCAGAAAAATCACATATACCGGCAAAACAGTGGATATAGCAGACAATAAAAATAAGACAACTTCGAGCAGCGAAGTCATAATTCTCTAAGCCATAAAATTGTAGAATTTTAAGGGAGACTGTTACATTACATTTACCCTAAAACACCTGCCGCAAACCGCGAGAGTTTAGAGATTGGAATCGCGCTTGTCTCATTTGTTCTTAATTCTTATTGCAGGAATTGGATGCTACAGAGTGTGTGTGCAAACAAGATGTTTGGTGTTTACCAACTTTTACATGCATTAACATATAGAAAATAAAAGTGCAGCGAATGATGCATATGGATCTGTGGAAAAAGTTTTGATGCCTTGTAAAACTCGACCCGTAAACTTAATTTCGAAAATAAATTGTTTTAGTAATAGTACCTTTAATATATAATAAACCTAATTTACAATTATTATATACATATACAATGAATACGTTTACAAATAAAATCGTTCAGAAAAAACTCTTGAGTGCGAAGTACATATCTGCTGGCTTCTAATATACATACGTAGCCGTCCGAAACAATTTTGAAACCCCGGGCCGACCGTTCTTCCCACCGGTCCGCCAATTTTCGAAACACTGTCTACCGTGCATTACAGCTGAAAAAGATGTACTTCTGTACTGTAGAAATATGAAAATTTATTACTTTTGATGAGTCTAGTACCAGTTCCCAAACAAAACAAAGCAAAACATTTACAAAATGTTGGATGCACCTGAGATTTGCGACAATATTTGAACATAAAATTTTGAATAATATAGGATAGTAAGAAGGCTTTGAAAATAATAAAAATAAAGACAAAAAATGAAAAGAAATTATTGCTGTGATATTGCATCATGGCTAGGTGATGCTGTACAAGGAGACTGCTTGACGGTTGGTGACTGCGGTGAACGGCCTGAAACTTGCAAGTACTTTATATGAAAGGCAGTTTTTTTTTAATAAAGTGATTATGAGAGATTTCCAGCTCGTTCTTCGCGATCAGTAACAAAAAAAAATGTTTTGTTTCTGGAAAACGCAAGCTATTTCAGTTAGATAAGTCGCAAAAAATAGCAAAAACAGCCGTGAAAAAAATTGCTGTGATTAAAGCATGCCGTATTTTACAATATTACTAATTCTTTCGTCGATGATTTGCTACCTGATTTTTGTAATACAAAGGCCTGACTTACTTTTGAAATTGGAAGATGTATGAACTGGGATTGGTGGAAGATTTAATTGTAAGTTGTTTGCATTCCCATAGAAATTCCCTTGACTTGGAACTGACCGTAATTTCGGCGGTCCTAACAAGACCAATGGAGACGGCTTCGAAGGCAAATGAAGAGGTCTGAAAATTGAGATTCGGCATGTTGCTATAAGTCAAGACTCAAAACAATTTTGAAAAATATTTTCCTGCTTACAAATTGTCTTACCGTGTCGGCAGCAAAAGGATTCTTAGTTTTGTTACTACTGTCCTTCAACCTGCGACCAGCGGTATCTCCAGCTTCGCCGAACAAATTCAACATAACAATTGCATCCTTGGGCATGGAAGAAGCACCCGTTTTGACTTGGACTTCATAGACAACATTCAGAAGGGGAGGGCGATCCGGCCAAGCCACCGGGAATTCAACAACCCCATTTTCAGGGCTTATTATGACATTTGCGACAGGGAAGCGCACCTCATCGCCGTTGGCGTTGTCTACCAAACGCATCTGAACCACATTTCTATGTTTACTTTAGGGGGATCGCTTACTTTCATGATATGTAGAACAGGATTAGTGGAATCAGGCTTGTGATCCGACGGGAACTTCATAAATTTATTGGGCTGAACGGTGACTCGGACTTTGATGAGGGCGGCCAGCGCCTCTCGACGACGCTCTTTGTTCTAAAGAGGATAAATAAGAACTAAGCCGTGAACTCATTGATACAGTAAAGTTCATGATGTTCTTGTGGTGTGTACATGATGTCTTTCCGCAGCAAACAAAAACGGCTAACGATAAATAATCAGGATGGGTTGTGAAACTTGCTGGTGGAATTTGATTTTGTTTGTTGAAAGTAAAAATATTTGCATTGCTATCACCGTGAGTACAACATGAATCAAATCGAAATAAAAGGGCTTATTATTTCATCTGAATTCTATCGGATGACTCTTTGGAAGATGGTCTCTTGCACCCCAACCAATTGCCGGTTTCTTTCCTTGCCTTCACCTCCCTCAACCACCCTTCCAAAAGTCCCTTTAAAAGTCCCTTCGCCCTCACCTGGAAACTGATCATCCGATCAATGGGTGTTTGTGAGATGGGGTGCATTTCGGTGACAGAGTTTTTGCCGCACAGTGCAACAGTGGGCATGAGATTTGAGTGTTCGGAGAGTGCCATGGACAGAAACCAGGCGGACGGTGAGCGATGCGGTGCCTTACTCTTCCGGATCCGGGTCGGCATCCCTTCGAGGGCTAAAATCTGCACTCAAAAATCGTCGTAATCCGAGATTTCGCGAGATTTTTTCATTTTCAAATTTGTGATCACGATGAATATAGCGTGTAAAATGAGATACGGAAAAATTAAAAGAACTAAAAATTGATGTATAATAATTGTATTTGAAATACCGTAACCGAAAGTGCAATATTTGCTGATTGCAAAAATGTCATAAACCTACCTGAAAGTCGGAGTTCCAAGACATACGGGTCTTCTTCGGTGCCGCGAGGCCGAATCCTCGCCGCATTCAACGAGTATTTGAACGGCACATGCAGCCCTTCCCTAACCGTCATCTCACCCAACAACCAGTAGTTACCAGTTGTGCCAATATTGTGAGGAGGGATCACTCCATTCACTGCTTGGCGATCCCAAATTTGTTGGAGAACATCGAATCCTTTGTAGATTGGCTCGGCCTCCGGTTTTGGTTGGAGATAAAAGCGGGCGCTATGCAATTTTCCGACGGAAAGGGCTTCGAATTTGAAGGTAACTTCCTGAAAATTGATATTGCAATACATTAAAACTATATCTTCGCTTGACATGTCGTGTCATGCTCGCTTCCTTACCGGCTTCTTTGATTTGCGATCCACATTGGCAAAGTCGATGAAGATGCATCCAGTCTGGCCCAAATCCCCGATCAACTCCATTCTCCCAATATTCTCAACGTAATGGAGACACGAATCAAACACTGTGATCTTCCCTTCGTAATGAATCACTAAAAATGTAAATCAAAAATACTATTCGGAGGACTTACAAGGCAACGGTTCGACTCCAATCTTGAAGGTCATAAACTCTCTGAAAGGCTGATCTCCTTTTTGGGTGTGATGCCATTTCAGCCACTTTGCACAAGGGATGACACACTTTTCTTGAGTGTCCAAGTCACGCAGCTCAACTTCTTGAATACAATAATTCGGCTGATCGCCTTCTCCGTCGATTTCGACACGCAGTTTAAGGAGCTCGCCGATCGGTCCGAAGTCGGCCTGGAAAAGGTTATGATTATAAACAAGGCAATTACAGTGCTGTAACTGTCTGTAAAAATAAAATTTTACCTGAATCATAGTTTCCGATGGGACGTTCTGCAGACTCTTTTCATTCGGCAATACGACTGTGCTCGAGCTCATTGTCCCTGTTCCGACCAACAATAAGTTCGAAGAGGTCCCTCCATTCCCAGCGTGATCTCCGGACCTCAACACAACTTCCCAGCGGCCTCTTGTGGTTCGTTGAGCGGCTTGTGGAATGGTGTACATCTCACAAAATGCAGTCAGTTTTACAGTTCGAACTAATTTCCCATCAACCTGGCCGGAATCGAACCACTTGTAGACTTGAAAGAGGTAGCCTCGGCCGTTGACTGCATTTTCAGTAACCACAATTGTGTCGATAAAAATTCCGGCACCTGAAAGAAAAGGGTTTAAAAAGTGAATCATCTTTCTAACATTACGCAATGTAATGTCCGCTTATTCGCTGTAATTTTTGAGTTTTCTTACCGTATCCTACTGAGTCATGACCAATGGTGATTCTTTGCAATATCCCAACAAACGCGGATTTGATTTTCATCCGAAACGTACTAGCCATCTCTCGATTGACCTCTTTGTCAGTCACTTCCAGCCAATTTACGTACTGGTTTCGGATATAAACCTTCTCTGATTCGCCCTTCTCTCCGAAGAACTGAACAAACAACTCGGTCTCTGAATCCGCCGCCCAACGATTGCCCAACTTCACAACAACAGTATAGGATTCAACTGAAATTTATAACAATCATGAGGTTTTACATGATTACTTATTTACCATCACCAGGATCCACACTCCTCTTCAACAGGAGGTCATCCTCATCTTCAGTAGAACCATCAGTATTCGCTCCTTCTAATTCGTTGACATCTTGAAGTTTGAAGTAATATTTATCACTTCGTTGATCTGGATCTTTTTTTTCCTTCTCTTCTATCCCATTTTCCTCTATTTTTGTAGGTTCTTCTTCAATTTCAGGGAGTTTTTGATCTTCTGCTTGTTTGGAAGTTCCCGGATTTTCATCAAGCTCATTGGAGTCTATCGTATCCTCGATTTTATCTTCGATTTTCTCTTCCTGCTTGCTTTGCGATGTTGATGGCTGAAAAAATATTTTAGCACTTGCTTCATGAGATGCTTTGCTATTTAAAGAAGCTATTGTAAGGCGTTGTAACAACCAATTCTTTATTTTTTTCGTGTTGACCTGCTTCTCGAATCTTTACAATACACTTACTTTGTGGTCTTCTTCGTCTTTATCATCTTCCTTTGGTTCGTCAATCTTCTCTTCATTGTGGTTCTCATCTTCCTTGTTATCATCTTTTTCCAAGCTTTGTTTGCTTCCCTTCCTTTTAGAAGAAGATGTGTTAGGTTTGCTTTGAAAACCATCCTCGTCAACCTTATTTTCTTCCTCATCTGCCGTTGTAGCTTGTAAGCTATGAGCATCTTTCACGTTTTCTTCATCATCACCACCAGCAGACTTCGGTCCATCGGGATGTATGGCTGCCTCTTCTTTTTCGTCGTCGTTCTCAACATCACTGCCAATCTCAGCATCCAATTCCTTTTCCTCATTTTCTTTTCTTTCATCTGCAAGAAATATCCGATCATTTTTGTTGGAAAGTAAACATACTGCATATACTAAAAGGTTTTTCCTAGCAGCGGCAAAAGAAAGCACACAAACTATAAGAATTTTGGAATATTATCATTACTTACCCCGTAACCTTTTCCTTGTCAAAAACCCTCTAACGCCTGCTTGGATGGCCGTTACAGATTTCAGCATTTTTTGCATGTCTTCGCCAGTACCCGCTGTAATTTGAAGTCATTAATAATTCCAAGGCCACTCATAAAAACTTGAAATGTTGACTTACCTCTATTTTCTAGAACCCCATCTCCTCCATTATCCATGTAATGATCGTAAACTTCCTGAGGCATCTCTGGATAGTCGTCTTCCATATCGTCCATCTCATTTTCATCATAATCTTCACCTTCCTCTTCAATCTCATCATCCCCTTCATGACCTGTGTGGTAGTTTTGTTCAGTATGATTCTCATGAGTGTCGCTTGAATTATGGCTTGATTGTAGATGATTAATGGACCTAGGCCTTCCTGAATCACTATCCGCGGTATGGGAACGGCTGGCTAGCCGATCTCCCTGATTCTCCTCTTTTTTCTCATCTTTCGTCGGTGAGTCGTGCACGGCTTTGGCGGCCGACGCTATTGCCGTCGCTGTGACAGCCTTGGCATCGGCTACGTGTCTGTCCCTTTTGGGAGGGTCCGGATTTCTCGAACGACGTGTTTGTAACGCGTTGACATCTCGTTTACTGGATAATCTTGTCGTCGTCAACGGCAGCTTTTCACTATTCCGAACATACCGCGGCTGTGACAAACTTCGGCGGGCTCGTTTACGGGCCTGGTCGGCGGACGGATGGCCTTTATTGGCCAACGCCGCTATGTATTGCTTTCGAGACTGAGTGGGTGCTATGGCACTGGTTGAGGGAAGCCGGTACTTTCCGGGCCGTTCGATACTGTTTTGTTGCTGTGATAGGTAATTGAGAGAGGCTAAAAGAAAATGAATAACATGGTTAGTACAGGCTAATGGCACTGAAAACAAGACACTTACGCCTTTGTGCCCTTGAGGTAAATCCATTCTCGGCGGACGTGGAGTAAATCGGAGGTAATGAGTTTGACAACTGCCTTGAGCTTCCCTTCTCTAAGTCACTGAACGAACGGCCCTGCAGGACCAGCTTCTCATTGCGCCCCACGGCAATGACCCGATTATCCCGCAGGTCCAGCAGCCGCTCCATGCTTGTGATGCGCTCGCCTTCGTAGGTGTAGATTTTGAAGATGGCGACGCCCAGGGCGTGCGAGACCTCCTCCAAAATAACGTCCAAATCCAGCGGCTTCGAGGGATTCAACAGACAGCGGTGGATCTGGGAGGGGTTCCCATTCAGGACGAAGTACACCTAAACAGACAGAGAGTTAAGACCGAGAGAAGTCTGCCCGTGGCTGGGTATTAGGTGTGTGTATTGTGGGGATATTGAGTACTGAAGGAACTCTTTCACTTATCCGATAATTCTTTAGATGAATTAACTTTTAAGTCGTGGGTAATAACGGCCGGCATTGAGGGAGTGGAATGCGAAAAAAGTAAATATGTACATAGCAGGGGTACATGGATTACTTGCAGAACTATAAAACGTGCCAAAAAAGGCAAGTTTGCTACACAAAGCTAATAAGAAAAGGTACAAAAAGTTCTTTATTTAAATGACGTGACTTTTTTTCTTGATTTCCAATGCAACCTTTCAGTTTGGCATGTCTAAGAAGGCAAACGCTACAGAGAAATCTATGGAAAATCTAAAAGATTCAGGCGCTAATGGATTTTTTGCATGATATATGAACTTACAAGCTTAAAACCGTTACGAATCGGGCTGTTGTAAAACTGGAAAGCGAAAAAATCTGCTTTTCGAGCATTCCGGAATAACTAATGAGAGCCAATATACAAATGTAAAGATTCAAATGGTTTGTAGCCAAAACAAAAAAACGCACAACCCACTCTCCCTCGCTACTTACCGTTTTGGAGGTGGCTGGGTAAAAGGTCCCTCCATAGTACCTGCCGGGCATGCGCGTTAGCCGGATCTGATAGCGTCTTTGGCTGCTCTGAAAAGCGAAGTAAGCCCCCAGCCGCTATTTTTACATAAAAAGTAATTGAGTTGGACGCCATTTGTGGTCTTTTTTTTCAAAACTAATCACCTGTTCGGATTTGCTGGTCGTTTGCTTGGAGGACCGACTGCCTTTGAGGCTCTCCATCTCACGCGACCGCCTCTCCAGGTCATAGTAGAAGTTGTGGTTGCGGACGGTCTTCGACGAGGACGCCACGTACCTGTAACCATGCTTGTAGTAGATGACCTGCGGCAGGGCGTCGCTGGTGAACGGCCGCTGCTCTCCGGACATTCCGTGGCCGCCTTAGGTCATGCTCAAAGGAAGTGCTAAAACTACGCCTGTAACCGGAGGCCAGAGTTCGATTTTCAACCTTCGGCTAGGCTGTGGAAAACACGTTGAGGGTGGAATGGGTATTCAAAACATAAATAAATTAAGGGCCGCTTGACTTTCGCCGAGGACGCGGGCCTTACCTGCAGCTATCCCGGGTCTCAAAGGAACAAAAAGTGGGAGTTTATAACACTAATTGGGAATACCGCTGCTCTTTGATGCAGCCAAAGCACATTAACGCTTGTGTCAAAACTGAAAGCGGGTTACGATTTCCGCACGGCCAGTTTCGGGAAGTAACATAAATATTGTGATGAACAACAAGGAAACTAACAGGACGGACATTGGGCCTTTCCGTGAAGGAGCCGAACTCTGCTCGCTGAAGTGCCCAAATTACAGCGATCACAGGATTAGTTGGAAGTGTAACAAAGCCGAACTGGGAAAGTAATTGGAAGCCCGTGAGGGAGGTAATTGGGCTCACTGCTTAGCAAATCTAAGTTTTATCTGTCCCACACAAAGCGAAGACGAATTTTCAAAAACAAGATGACTTACAACGGGCTAGAAAGAACAAGACACACCTACTATATCTACCGGTGGAAAGATGTATTCTAAATACTTATTACTTTATCCATGGCGACCCAAACGACATATAAAATATCTTTAGTAAACGTCGTCTAAATCACCAACGAGAGAAGTTTTGAAACCCCATCGTTACCTCACCCGTCTAGTTAACAAAATCAAGACGAAAATTCGAAGCTCGTCGGCATAATCTTATCTCCCGGACAAGTGCTGAGGCTGAATAAATTAAATCGCGTGCTACCGCCGTTTTTTCATCTCGTGTTTGTGTTCGCACTAAACCCCGCAGCACCTATTTTTCCTTCACAAGCCCCAAGAAAAGAGCGAAAAAAGCTGGCGGCCGACTGAGTTAGGAATTATTAGTGGTAATCCGCCGTAATTGTCAAAAAATCCTCGGGATGAATGGGGCCTAATTGCGGCTGTAAGGGCCAGGCGTCAGAGGGGGTGATAGCAGGTTTATAAAGAGAATATATATAGTACGGAGACCTGGAATTGCGAGCTTGGAGCCGGGCTCTATAGTGCAGGGATCTCGGATGTTTTCGAAGTAAAAGAGTGTAATCAACAACTATATTGGCACTCTTAGACCGGGCCGGCGACATACGAAAGTAAAATAAATTACAAACTACAATAAAAAATGAGTTTAAACAGTGAGACGAGAGTGTCGTGCTTATCGAATATTCTACTCTCTAGACTTTAGTTAAGTTTGAGACCGCTGAAAAGCAAGCCGTGGAGATCAGAACTTGGTGGAATGCCCGGAGCCGCTAGCCGTCCCTAAAAGTGTGAAAAACAACCGGCTTACTTTCCCATGTGCTTCAAGTCGTCCACAGTCTTGACCGGCGTGCGACCGTACGGCGTGTACAAGTGCCTCACGCCGAACGGCAGCTCAATGTTACTGTTCAGGTCGTCCAGCAACGAGTCGATGGTTCGGTAGCGTGCTTTCGTCACCGGAACGCGGACGCCCTAAATCGATTCGCAATTACAACAACAGCATGGTCGTGCGTATGCCCGAAGGAGGAGATACGCAGCCATAATTGGCGGCTTTGTATCCACGGGCACCTCAATTATCAGTTACGATGGCCAAGTATTAGGCCTAACAGGTTCCGTGTATATGGGGTTGCCATCTTGAGAGGGGTATACGGAAGGGCTTGCAACGATAATGATATTGTGGACGGGGTTTTATTTAATATGTCAAAAACCCTATGTATTGAGCCTGATGGCTTTTGACGGGATCACGTAAAACTCTACGACTTGGATTTAGAATAAAGACCTGTGATTACCTACGTATTTGTATGCGTTCCATGGGAGGTAGAAACGTCTGGAACGGCCCTTATGGAATTACGCTTATATATATTTTGGTGCCTTCTAAATCCCCAACACTTACTGTAAAGTAAACATCGTTGTCCTTGTAGAAGAATACGGTCTTTGCGGAGTACGGACGTTGGAAGGTGCGGTTCTTGTTGTCGTAGGTCTTTACCATGCCATTTACCGGGCGTGGCGCTGTTTGCATAAGGAGCTGGAACTCCGGCGAGATCTGCTTGTGCCTTGTGTTGGGGCTGCGGGATTTCTCGCTTGAAGCCGTGACTTCAGGAGTTAAAGCTGAGCTGGTCGGAAGCTGGAAATAGTCAAGTTAATGTATCGCTTTTTTAACTTTAGAAACTCCGAAATGGGATTGTTTTTGTGGCGGTAAAATGCCAAGCAATCACTTTATTTTCATACGACCGGACGCAGTGGTTGATTTGGCGTATCAAAAAACCTCCAAGCCTTACACCAAAGCCGTCACTTTGTCATCAAAAAACTCGCTCCCTACCCAAAAACCCGCGCAAAACAGAATCCGCATTACGCGACACAATCCGCCCCATAAAAACGTACTCTGTGATTTTCGGGCGATTTCTCGGCCGCGTCGTTGGTCCATGTCTCTGAAATTGAAGTCCATGAAAAGTGAGTCAAAACCTTTGGGGCCGCGTACAAATGCGGTGGGAACGGCGGGGGTTTGAAAACCCCGCAATGTGAAAAACGGGCCCGAGAAAGGAATTAGATTTGAAAGGAAAAACCTGCATGCCCAAAACTTATTATGCCTGTGCTAATTAGCGCCAAGACAAGAGAATGAATGCAGGTAGGAATTTTTTCTGGAGTGTATTATGTATAAAAACTTTCGAGGATTAATTATGAGTTTGTCGGGAAAATAATGAGCATAATGTCGCTCCGTCGATCGCGCGTTGAAGGAAAAAGCAATTTGATTTTTCAGCGACACATTTCATTTTTTTGGCAGCGATGCGACTTCCGGTGCGACATTTCGCTCATTATTTTCCCGACAGAGTATTATATTATTGTATTATTTGAGTGCTTAGGGTTTGGCAATCCAAGTCATTCGTCACTTTTTTGGAAAGAGTTTTGTAATCAACTTTTTTTTTCGTTGACTACCTTGAATTCGGAGAGTAAATTAAAGAGCAAGGGTTGGGTGGGAAAATGCACGGAATGAAACAAGCAAAAAACAAAGATTCAAGGAATGCTGATGGATGTAACACCAGCTGCATTAGGGAATGCCAACAAAAGTGTTTTCCGAAAAATTTGAATGAAAAGGCCAATTTTAGGAAAGGTTTACAGAAACTGTGCCAAACTTTAACGGTTCTAAAAACACCAAGAATTCTTCCGCTTTTGTTTTCGTAAATTTCCCCTTATCAGCGCGCCAGGAAATCCCAATCCTTTCCAAAACAATTAACCGAAAGCACAAGTGCTGGCACGCAATTTCACCTTTTTCAAGAGCGGTATTTTTGAAGATTAAGACCTGTCAAAATCCGTAAAATATGGTAATTACTGCAGGACGGAGCTAATTGCAAGCGGGAAAACAGTGTTTTCACCGGTTTTTCACGGGAAGTCCTCAAAAGGCGATTCACTGAATTTTGACAAAAGTTGGTAGAAAGATTCATTCAAACCTCTGTACAGCAAAGGCAAAAAAATCATCGTTACAGAAGGGTTCGTTTTAAGTACAAAGGTTCGTGTTGGCCAAAAATTAATTCTCTGAACTTCTTGAAATTGTCCGTTATACAGACGTTTAGTTGAACGAGAGTTCGTTGTGTAAAGAGTCTACTATACGTATTATGAAAAGTTTTGTTCCTACATTTATGTAGATACCCTTCAAAAAACCTTAAGAGCAATCTGCATGCCGCATTTTAAGCTACCGCCTTGAAAAACACACTTGTTCTAAACCGCTGATAAAGCATCAAATTGAAATACTTACCCATCCGGATCAACGACCGACCTTCGACGTCCGTTCGCTTTTAAGGACAGGACTGGAACTCGCTTCTTCTCCCGTTAAATGGCGGTTGGAAGATGAGCGCGGTCATGTTGGGCACAATGTAATGGGCTCGTTTGAAAACATTCCAAAGACTTAATAAAAGGTTTCTGCGTTCCAAAAGCTTGAAAAAACGAATTTGAAAGTTATTAGGTCCGCGGTGATCATGTGGTTTGTCAACAGCACGACGAACACGGAAGTGCAAGAACAATAATTTAGGGGTAAAAGAAGAGAAGATTTTTGGATCAATAGGTCCAAAAGATGATAATATAAAAGGAACAGTGGACTTATCAAAACGCAGGTACAATGTATAGTTATTAGAACTTTAAAATTAGTAAATGAAAAGTTAAACGCATTACTTGGAACTACATAATTAGGGAGGGTATGTGAGAAATATAATAAATTTGAAGTGTTCAAAGCGCGACGCGCCTGGGATCATTTTTTCCGGCTAAATATTAGAGATATAGCCGAAAATATGGCATAATACTTGGGGAACATCCTTTGCAAACAGGGCAGTGCCTCAAATGGAACTTGGCACTAGCTCAGATTCCAATTAATTAAAAACTTCCCAAACACAAGCGAGATTCTTGGCTAGCGCCCTTCAGAAATTGCCGAGATTCTTTGAACGGCAACTGAAAGAAATGAGTACTGTATTTATGTCTAAAGGTCCTAGACAAATCATTATTTCGGTGTACAATATTAGCATCAAGTATAATTTTTTCGAGCCGGCGAAGAAGAGGTATTGGCCAAAACAGCATGTCGCCTGGCCGACAGCAAATAAAAACCCTGCAAAAATACCCCTCTTTTGACGACAATTTGCCAATTACTCGCCCAAAACTCCTTTTCTATCACTATTTTCTATGATAAATGACCCGGGACCAATGCATAAACAGCAACACCAAATTGTCCCAATTCTCCCATATCTTGTCCTTGTTTTCTCATAACACCACGAAAATACACCCCCATCGAAATGAATAGCCCCAAAAACTTCTTAACACCGTCCAAATTACGTACCATTGTTGCCGGAGCAACGGCTGAAGAAACAGCTGCGATCCCCGCCGAACAAAATACGCCGCTCCAAATAAGGGAGAATACACTTTTGAGGAGGGGAACAAGGAAATGGAACCAATCCTCATTTCTTGATGTAAAATTTATAAAATTTAGCGGGGGAGGATGAGTAAAGTTTAACAGTTTTCAGTGATAATTTTTAAGGGATTAATGTCGGTTGGAAAGTTTGAAATTTAACAAGAGAAGGGTTCCTAGTGCGACGGTCAGGTTTTCTTCAAACTTTGAACACACATTAGGTGTAAGTCACTTATCAATTCCTGAAAGTTTTAGCTTGCGGTTTGCAGGCGCCACCGAGATATTGGACAATCTTTTCCGCCGAAAACGCACCGAGCGGAGGATGAAAACACCTCCGGACCGTAGCCTCGCCAGTTTCATGAGGAAAAATTGTATTTTTTTTGGAAACGTTACATGCCCTTTGCGGTAGGAACGGGAGTACTAATTTTAATACCAAAATTCGCAAGAATTGTCACATTAGAGAAACTGATTATAAGCTTTTACCAAGCTTCATCAAAATCTCAGCCTCACACATACCTCCCTGCAAATAGCAAATCTGCTACAAACAAAAAAATATCATCCTTATCACCCCTCAGTATCTACGAGCAATTTCACAAAAGCCCAACAAACCACTGCCTAAACGTCTAAATTAAACTGCTCTCTAAACCCAACAATTAAGACTGGCTAAAGAAGAATGAGAAGTAGTTGTAACGGAGTATAACATAATGAGGGCTGCGCCTCAATGCTCCCCACAAAGCCTACACTTTAGGACTACAATACGGCCGGTGTCGTTTGCCCCCAGGGGATTTTCACATGCACTTATCGCGGGGGGAACACATGAAACGGAAGTTGTTTCACCTGTAACCTCACATTGTTAGTGGAGATGGAGTTGAGAAATGAATATTTTGCAAGTGATTAAGGCTTAACCAAATTTTGAAGAAAGGTTTTCTTGGATTCAGTTGCGTTATGCTTTCATTGTTTGTTTTTGTTGCGGGACACGCTGAAAAATTCTGCGAAATGTTTTTTTAATTCAGGATGAACAAGGTCGGGCGTAAAGATCAACCGTGGAGTGAGTGTTTCTCCTGTCCGGATATGATATATTCTATAAAATACATTGATATATGTAATAAATATGTGTTTTGGCCTTTGAAAATATTTATTAAATGAAGGATTGACCAATATTTTCGACATAAATATTTGTTTGAATAAACTTTCTTATTGTTTGTGCAAGCATGAATTGTTTTTGGCTTATCTCCATTTTGATTCCACCTTTTTAAAATCAAATGCGACAAAGTCATTCCGTGACGAAAGTCCCTCGTTTTGAGCTTTTAAGAGCTTCCTATATAGTTGTTGGCTCTTCATAACTTTGTACTTACATTTTAGTCGCTAAAAAAAATATAGAACGCCGTCTAAGTCGTGCAAAATAGGACTAAACTGAAAATATAATATCTTGGTCGGGCTTGAAATAAGGCCAAATCTAAAGACGTGGCGAATTAAGGAATCTAACCAAGTTGAAAAAATATTAATTTCAAGACCTACCCATTTGAAATGCTTTCAATTTGCCACATTTCAGCCGGCCGCTAAAAAAGGGGCCGCAGACATTTCCGTCGTTGTTATCATACCCGTCTTTATCATTTTCTCTCAAAACCTTTCCTGTTTTATGCACATATTTGTCTATTTTATGCAAATCCTCGAAAAGTAAAAAACACGTTGGGGTCGAGACTGCTAAAAGTTATTCTCCCAATAACTTTTATTATATTTGCCTATCCTTTCTTGTGGCTCGGAGAATGACTCAGACTGTTTGAAACATTTATGATGCATATTAATACTTCCTCCAAAGTCGCTTCGTTTTTCCATGGAAAGTCGAGGTATTTTATACGGATATTATGGGTGGTCGCTGCGGTTGCAAGCACGTGTAAGTTCTTGAACTTATTTTGAAATTTTTCGATGCTGATTGCGATGCTTTACACCTATTTAAATGGGCTGATTTTCGCCTAGTTATCTTCCCCTAGGCCGCAAACTCAAAATTAGTGCTTGCACACAACCAATGAATTGTTCTAAATTTTATGTTTTTAGGCATTCTGTTCCGAGCCAGTCTACCTCCTCTTCACCCACCGAATATCACTGCTCTCTTGCCGTCTTCGGAAACAATTCCTCGGAAAAACATGACAGAGCTTCTTGATGTCAACGATATCCCACCTTCCGAAGGACGTAAAGTGCCGGTTGTTGCAAAATTCAAGGACCAAAGTGTATCGTACTCACTGATCGCACCACTAGAAGAAGAATTCTGCCGGCACACCAACGTCTTGATATTGGTTATCTCCAGACCCGATGGATTTAGGAACCGAAAAGCCATGAGAGACAGTTGGATTTATTACGAGGTAAATACCATTTTTTTTTCATTTTTTTTGATGATTTTTGTAATTTTTAGGATAATCCTAAAAATGTTACGGTCAAATTCCTAATTGGAAGGACAAATAATACAAAAGTAAACTTGGGATTGGAGGAGGAAACACAAAGCTTTATGGACATTGTTAGATACGATTATACGGATAAGTAAGCAGCTTTTTGTTGATTCGTTAGAGCGCATTGAAACTAAGAAAAAATCGAGATTGGAGTTTTATAAAACATGCACAAGATCTTCAGCTAGAGCTTTCGGAAAAAAAAGAAGCTTCAAAATTGAAAAATTGGGATTTTTTAGGCTTCATTTTTGCGTAGAACGACTTCTCCTTGACGAAATGTTTTATAACAATCAAATTTATAAAGGCTCTAAAATCCGATTTTAGGCCAAAATAAACCTCTCTGCAACAAAGCCTTTTCGTAACATTTTAACATTTTCTTGGCCCTTTGCAGTTTGCTGTGCAATAGTTTTGACCGTATGTTTCTGCAAAGAACACCTCCAAAAATTTAACCGTTGCCGCCTAACATTAAATTTTTTAATTCCAAAGGTCCCTTACAACTTCACTTTTCCCCTTTCCAGATACGAACTCCTTCCCCTAAAAGTTCACGCCGCTTTTGCTTTCAAAGAAGAGTTCTGCCCGTCGGCTAAATATTTTATGAAAACGGACGATGATACAGTGGTGGATTTGAACCGAATGAATCATTTTATTGAGACAAATTACAATGAAAAATACCTGAAAACCCCGAAGATGTTTTTGTGCTCCGTTTATAGTGGGATGAAGCCCCATCGAGATAAGGGGAGTAAATAGTAAGATTTTTGGTTTTTGCTGACAATTTTTTATTTTTTGAATGATTTTTTTTTAAATTTTGCTCTGTTTTTTGACTGCACCGTGCAAAAAATACAAAAAATCTTGTTTTCTCAGCAAAAAGTTGCTGATTTATCGCCATGTTTCAGTTACGTTCCCCCTTCATTATACGAACCAGAAGATTATCCTTCCTTTTGCCAGGGGTGCACTTATATGGCTTCTAGCGACGGGATTCGTGCGGTTTTGGAGAAGACTGCAGAAACAAATTTCCTTTATTTGGAAGACGTTTTATTTACCGGAATTGTGGCGGAGAGTGCGAATGTAACCAGATATGACACCCTCAATTACGGGCATTATGTAAGGATTTATGCGTATCATGTAAGGGAATTATGGAACATTTGAAATTGCCTTACTAACAATAAAATTGTTTTTGGTTTACTTACTTTTTTCTGTTTTTTATTTATTTTTTACTGTTTTAGGTTTGTCTTCAAGGAGATACCGCAAGTGCGACACTCAGTTTTTTTGTAAATTTTCCACACATTTTGGGCATGGGTCATTAATAAATTCTTGAATATTTTACCGTTAGCAGCCGAGATATTAAAACGGTCTTTGCGGCTGAGAGAGTGCGTGGGACGCGGAGAGCGGTTACAAAAAAAATGTGGCCAAAATTTTTCCCAAAAAAGGCAAAAAAAGTATGTTTGCGGAAACTTCGTCGCACTTGGAATACTTCCCCTGTTATTAATTTGATTTCTTTTTCCTAAACTTTTTAATTTTTTCCCTCTCTTGCTCATCTTTCCTTTCAGTCCGTCATGCCTCGGGTAAGATGTGACCGCAACGACAACCCCGTTCCAATAGCCATTCTGGGCGTTCGACCCGGCTCTATGAATGCGACAAGGCAGAGGATGAGGACTCAAAGATGCTTAAAGCATTTGTATTTATAGGTAATCCCTGCCTTCATTACATTCGAAAATTCACGTTTAACAGCCAGCGAAGGAAAGCAGGACATATGGCATTTGTTTTGATATATTAAGTTGCGTTTATGTTTAAAATCTTTTATTATTATCCTAACAATGTATTAATAATGTTTAAACCTGAAAAAATTTAACTTTTTCTTCAGAAAACACTACCACGGGTAAGATGTGACGAACACGGGCAGCCCCTCCCAATTGCCATTTACGGAGTACGGGCATATTTTATGTACAAGTCATTTAAACGGATGCTGTTGCAGCAATGTGAAAAGGGATCATGACACACTCGACTTTTTCTTTAGCTAGTAATGTCAATTGTAATTTAAAATTTTATTGTATTTATAACTATTAATCGTTGTTTGGTTTGAATAAAACTTTGTTTTATTCTTTTTTGAGGACACATAATACATCTAGAAAAGCTTGTATTTTGGTGTCGAGGGGTTACAATTATCTTTATTATATATAGGCTAGTTTTCAGAGTTTGTGCCAGTTCTGTGGCAAGACAAGTTCAACTGCGGTATAAAAAAAGCTCTTAATTGAGTTGAAAACCTCCTCCAAACGCTTTTTCATGTCATCATTTTACAACTACAAGTAAAACTTCACGCTCGTATGTTATTTCGATTAGAAAAAAGTCCAATTTTTGGTACGATCCAATAGTTGGGAGACGGGTAATGCTTCTGCAAAGCATCAAATTTTTCATGAAGATGTAATCGGCAAGAACAGTCTTTCGCCTAGCCGACTCCTACCTACGCTTCGAGTTTTCTCTTGAGAAAGAAGTACCTTGAATATCTTAAAAGAGAGGAACAAAACTTGAGTTCTCCATTTTCAACATGTTCAGAACCTTCTGAGTGCCAAATATTAGAAAACGAAAAGTGCTATAGAAACTGTTTTCACTTTTTTTTTGAGTCTACATAAAACGATTCTTGCCTTTCTTTTTTCTTTTTGTCACTCTTTTTTTTAAATCAAAACTCCTCTTCAAATTCGGACCGGCAATTTTATTAAATATCGAATATTTACAAAACTATATACATGCTCAACAATTCAATAGGGTGGGAAATGGGGGCTTTTGCAGAGATGTGGATAAACAAATAACCGGACGTCCTCCTGGATCTCATCGAATCTCTGCATATCCTCTTCTGTCAATTCGAAGTCAAAGAGACTGAAGTTCTGCTTCAGTCTTTCTGGATTCGTGCTCTTTGGGATGACGGTGATGCCCTGTTGTACCATGTGCCTCAGCAAGATCTGGGCGGGCGTTTTGTTGTACTTCTTGGCCAAATCTTGCGTAACCGGATGATTCAAATTATCAGCATGAGGCCATTCGCCCATTGGAGCTTTGCGGAATCCCTCAAGTCGGCCGGGTGATCCAAGAGTGGCATAGCTGCTCACAACGATCTTCAGTTTCCGGCACAACTCAATGAGATTGCGGCGGCGATGGTGGATGTGCAGCTCGATTTGGAGGTTCTGCGGTTTGATTGAGGCCAGGTCATAGAGGTTCTGAAGTTGATCACATCGGAAGTTTGAGACTCCAATGGCTTTGAGGACTCCCATACGATAGTAACGTTCAAACACCCTCCAGGTATCGATGTGAGGGGTGAGATCAGGTTCATACACTCCGGGCGCAATCTCAATTCGCTCGTAGTTCTTGTGAGCCATGCCACAGGCGTTGTGCATCAAATACAGATCAATATAGTCGATCCTCAAGGCCTTCAACGACCTCTGGATAAAGTATTCGGCATCCTCTGGCTTGTGGCCTTGAGTGGGCAGTTTTGTCGCGATAAATAGATCCTCTCTTCGGACCTTCCCTGAGGTAATATATTCTTCCAAAACTTCGCCAATAAGCTCCTCATTGTAGTAGAGATAGGCAGTGTCGATATAACGATACCCGGTGTCCAACGCAAGTCTCAGCGCGTCTTTGAAAGCCACTGGATCTCTTCCTTGCCAAGTTCCAAGTCCAACTAGAGGCATTTTCTTTCCATTGGCCAAGACGACGTATTCTTTTTGCTCGGGAATACTGTAACGGCGCTCATAGGAGGGCTTGGCCACTTCAATCTCTGGTTCGAAGTTCATCCAGCTGGCAAAATTCTGCTTCTCTTCGGTGATTGGAGCCATGATTAGTAGCTTTTCAGTAGTAGTAGTAAGAAGTAATTATTGTATTTGATTTGAGTTGTAATTGAAGTCTGAATTAGCCCTTATATAGGAAGGTTGACGGTGGGAGGGCTTAAGATAATTTTAGCAACAAGGCGGAGCCGATTTCTAAAGATCAGCGGATTGATCAAGTGTCTTAGTAGTCTATAGTATTTCCAAAAACGTTGGTGGAAAGACTAGAGGCGTTGGAAAAACGACAAGCGAACATTTTTAGCCGTGAGAAATGATTGGCTAGAAAGGTCGTTAACGTCCGTTGTAACGGACGCTCTAGACATCTGCCGTTTACAACTTGCTTCTAGTTCCTCTACTCTCTATACAAAACGTTTCTTCTCTACTACTCTCCATGTATCACTACTTTTTTGTCGATCATCTTCAATCTCCGCCCATTTCCGCACAACTTCTTTGAAGATTGTTTTTGTCTAAAAAACTCGACTGATAAGAGGCGTTGCAACGCTTTCGGCTGTAAAAACAGAGCCCAACAGTGATTACTCACGTGCTTAGAATCATATAATTATGGTGGAAAATATATTTTTGGGCTATCTTAAAGATCACAAACATGGTTTGCTTGATCGATTAAAAGGTACGAAAAAAAGATGTGAATAAACAAAAAAAGAGATTTGAGATTTGATACACTAATATGTGGCTAAAGATTTGACAGTGAGCAGGTGACAAAAGTGTTTTAAATTTTTGAAGGTTTCAAACAACACATTTGAGGCTGCACTGTGCAATAAACCGACCTTTAAAAAGTGTTGGAACAGAGCAAAGATTAATGCCTTCTGTTCTGCATGGTTGTGGTAAGATTTATTTCGGAGTTCTTACGGTACTTTTTCCAAACTTTTGGTCACTGTACTGTGCGAAAACTCAAAGCTTGCAGAAAACGTTACAAAAAGTTAAAAAAATAGCATTTTAAAATACGGAACTCTTTTTTTTTATGATTTTTCTTTGCATGTTTTCCGATCAACTCCCCGCTACACGTTTCAACGAAACCCCGACACTTTAAACAACACATGGTCAAAGTATCAAGGAGACCTTTAAAGATTGTTGATCACAACAAACAAAGGCTTTTTATCAGCAACGTTATCGATAACCATCTAAAAAATATTAATTATTTTCATTTGCAATTTTTCCTACAAAAAATTTAATTTTTGAAGTAAAAAATCGTCTTTGCCAACAACTTCTTTTTATTTTATTCTCATTTTTATTTTATTTTTTAAATATTTTATTTATTATACTTTATACAAAAACTTGATTTCCACATGAAAATTGATCTCTGATTTTAAGTTGATGACTACGATAAAAAATCCTCGATTTCCAAATAATCGAAACTTACGAATAATAACGAAAAAAGTGATTGGTTTTCAGCTGATTATCAGTTGAAGTTTACAAGGCTTTCTGTAATTTTGAAGACACGAGTTCGATCTTTAAAGAGTGAATTGACGTTGAAAACGCATAAAACGAACCGTAGGTTTCGTAAGCTTTTTTTAATGGTGTTATAAGATTTTTTTCACATGAATCAGAGAATTGAATTTGGTTATGAATGGGGATGGAGGAAAAAAGTTCGTTATAGTAAGGCTTATTTTTCCATGATCTCATCCTTAGTTGCCAGTGTGTGATGTGGGGATAAGCATTCAGATTTTAATGAAAAATGGCCGATACTTTTTGGAAATTTTAAACTTGGTCGATATACGGTAGAACGGGTTGCTCCGTGTCCCTAAATATATAGAATTTTTATTTTTTCAAACAAAAATGTAACTTTTTCTATAAGCTTTTCCTCTCTTTTTTTGATTTCCCGGTGGTCCAGACCACCGAATGTGCACTTGGACCTGATCAGTGAACTGTCTTCATTTAACTACACTGCACTCTTAAAACAAACGGAAGATCAGTCGAGAAAACGAAATGAGAATCAGTGTGGTCAAACAGGTGATTGGTGCTAAAAAAAGTGTAAGAAATGATTGAAGGCTACAAACTCAAGATGACTGAAAATTCGGTCTTGGAAAAATGACTTTAGAGTTGTAAATTGTCGAAGTTCGAAAAATTTATTTTCCATGGCCTCTTCATTTTCAACAGCCTTCCGTGAGGCCATCAATTCCTAAAGCCTTTCACAGGGCAGGATATTGTAGTTTGTTCCCTTCAGTAAATGCCAGAGATGTTTCCAGATTTTCCACCGCCATTTTAATTTTTTTAGATATTATTTTGCTGCTCTCTGCTCTTAAAATTTATCTAAAACCAATCTATCAGAGGTCTTTACCTCTTCGCTGGTGGTCCCTGGTGCAACTTCAGAGCAACGCACTTTAATATTTGATATCAGAAATGTAGTAATGCCTATTATCGTGCCACAAAAATAAGTGAAAAGATCATACTGTGCTTTTGATCTCTTGTGTAAACAGGATTTTTGGAAATTGGTCCTCAAGATCATTTCGAAAATAAAATGGAAACCTACAGTTCATACGGAGTAATCATTATGTAATTCGGAGTCTCTGAATCAAAAATAAACCGCAAAGAACAGTTTGTTTTTGATGGAAGGAACTTTGAAAGATGTTGTTTTCTGAGAACCAAAATAAAAAGTGATCTATGATTCCAGCGGAGCTGGTGGAAAGTAAACTGCGCTTCCGCTTGTCTCGTTACACATGGGATACTAAAGATATCCTCAAAAAATCTACATCTTAGACAGCTTTGCAGAGATTGCAGAGATCTTGTAAGCCCGAAAACTCCCTAGGAATGACTTGCAATAATGGGAAAATATTCAATGATCTGTGCCAACAGGAACGCGCGAGGAAGCCGAAGATTCGTCAGAGACAAAAGTTGTCAATTGGCCTTGCCTCTGGCATTCTTTTAACATAGATTTTGTGTAAAACCCTTGACCTCGCAGAGAGAAATTTTCTGGGATAAACTCGGAAAACTACGAGTGAAGCTGCGGCAAAAAAATTCTGACGATGAGTGAAATTCTTGTTCTTTTCTGCAAAAAACAAGCTGTCATCTTGCATCTGTCCTATCATCACAATTTGTGCCAATTTCCACTAAAAGCCAGCCTTTGCCTCTCTTTTTATTAAAGCTCAACGATCTCCCTTGTATAACCAATCTTACTGCGTCATTGGTCTTTCCCCGTACCAAACACATTTCAAAACAACAACGTATCATTGCGTATGCGACGTTCCCAGTTTGTTTGTACTTTATATTTACGAAAGCGCGATCCTTGAGAATTGCAAAAACATTTTTGATAAAATTCACGTGAATCTTTCTCTTGATTCCCTTGAATTTGATGAAGAATTGTGACCGACTTACGGTATTTTCGCCAAAGTCTTTTTTTAGCCCGTCAAGGAATCTTTAAAAATAAATGCGCGGAAGATTAATAACCCGTTTTTTGTGGTGAAAAATCTATAAATGTAGCGATTTAATGGAATTGGAGGTTTCTAGAACACAATCAGAAATTTTAAAAGCCTTGTGGAAGAGCTTCTTGATAATGAATATCATGTGAAAAACAACAAACAAAAACATAAAAATTTTTGTTAGAGGAAGTTCAGTGCTGGGATTTGACAGTACTCGGCACAAGCTAATATTTTTAACGTATATACAGGATATTGGACTCGCGCTATGCAGAAGCCAGCGAGATATTTGAGTCGGGCCTCTCAGGTTGGTTGATATCTTGCTGGACTGTGAAAATTTCAGTCAGCAAAAACAATGTTTTATTATACTATATGATCATGAGTTTCGTCTTTCATTGACCAGTTAAAGTGCTACTGTAACATCACACAATCACATTACACAGTTATTTTTGTACCGCACCGTAACGCTCGTTAGTCGCCAAAAATAGTTATTACAGCCATTCCTTCACATGAAAATAGGATTCCTTTAAAGATGTGTTGATGACAACTACGGTTACTATAAATTGCATTCGACGTTGGTGTTAACGGAAACAACAAACACGGGTATTTTTAGCAACTTCGGTAGGAGCGGAGTTTAAATAAAGTTCTGGAAGTTCACGTGAAAGGAAAAGGCTGTAATTTGCGAAGGAAACGCTAGTTTTCAAAGCATAAATTTTGATGAAACTTGGCACAGATTTAGGATAGAATTTTCCAAATTACCATCCAGAATCCAGGAAAGCATGCATGCTCGCTCGATGAATGTGGAAGTTCCAATCCGTGCCCTACTTGATCATTTGAGGCAGATGTGACGCGGAACGACCGAACTTCGAGGATTTTCCCATGAGAAATTGTTTTCAATTATTCAAATTTGATTGTACTTTTCTACGTGGGGGCTTCCCTATAAAAGGCCTCCTTTCCACAGAATGAGTCACTTGACTCTTGAGCTCTCGGGTTGGTCGGTTGCTCAGTTGTCAGGCCTTTTCGACTAGCGCTAATTCTTTTTTTGAGTTCACGGAAAAACTTTTCGCAAGCTGGCTCACTCTTGAAGAAGGCATTCGCAGCTTGCGCCCGAAAAAATCGGGTTGCAAGAAATATGAGGCCCAGGTCAGGTTTAGGCTTAGGCGTAGTTTAGGCTTACCCTCAAACTTGGTTAGCTTAGGCTTAGTCAGCTTAGGCTTAGACCTAGTTTAGGCTTAGCTCACGCTGAGTTAGTTTAGGCTTAGGCCTAGTTTAGGCTTAGCCTCAGGGTTAGTTTGCTTAGGCTTAGTTAGCTTAGGCTTAGTTAGTTTAGGCTTAGGCGTAGTTTAGGCTTACCCTCAAACTTGGTTAGCTTAGGCTTAGTCAGCTTAGGCTTAGACCTAGTTTATGTCTAGCTCAGGCTTAGTTAGTTTAGGCTTAGACCTAGTTTAGGCTTAGCTCAGGCGTAGTTAGCTTAGGCTTAGTTAGTTTAGGCTTAGACCTAGTTTATGCCTAGCTCAGGCTTAGTTAGTTTAGGCTTAGGCCTAGTTTAGGCTTAGCCTCAGGCTTACTTAGCTTAGGCTTAGTCAGTTTAGGCTTAGACCTAGTTTATGCCTAGATCAGGCTTATTTAGTTTAGGCTTAGGCCTAGTTTTGGCTTTCCCTCAGACCTAGTCAGTTTAGGATTAGGCCTAGTTTAGGCTTAGGCCTAGTTTAGGCTTAGCCTCAGGCTTAGTTAGTTTAGGCTTAGGCCTAGTTTAGGCTTAGCCCAAGCATAGATTAGTACGTAGGCTATTACTATTTTTTGTTTGCAGTCTGCGGCCCAACCAGGGCGCAAGCTGCTAAGTTGCGAAAACTTTCTTTTTTTAGAGAGGGCCAGTTTGCGGAGTTTTGTTACTACCGGAGAAACCAAAGTTTCCATAAAAACCTATAGCTTCCGTATAAAACTACCAGGAATACAAAAAGTGTTTCGGTCTTTTCCCACTCTCTATTTGCCTTCTCTTTCGGATGAATATCTGCGCCTGGAACAACAAAGCCAGAACATTCAGAAATGAATGCGTAGAATTAGTCAAATCAGGTATGCAAAATTTGAAAAAACTGCGAGCTTCTAGTACTTCTAAAGCAAACAAAAATACGTTTTAACTGTTCTTTGCTCCTACAGTCATATACGAATTTTCAGTTACTACATGATAATTGAAAAAATATTGATCACAAGAGTACTATACAACTGACATACATCTTTGTATTCGAGTTGGTCGTTGATCAATAGCGATCAGTTCCACTACGATCAAAATGCAAAAGAATTTTTTTTTTCATCTGATTCACGTGAACGTCAACGAATCTTTAAAGGTTTCCAGCAATTTCTAAAAGTCGTTTTGCGATCGGTCTCCCCTTACAAACAAAGACAACTCATCGCCGGTGGACCCTTATCGGCGGCGTGTCGTTGAAATGGGCAGCAAGATTTAAAACGGACTTTTTTACAAAGTGAAGCATGGCCCGGACATTGTTGCGGTGACCATCACCGAATTTCTTCAAATTTGGCTCATAGAACACCCACAAGGCATACATCAAAAGCGTCAAACGTTTTCCCAAAATTTGCTTTATTTCGGGATTACTGTAACAATCTGCGTTTTGTAAAGCAGCCATTGTCGTGGACCGGGCGACAGCCCTACGGGGCTGAAACTTCTTGTCTGTATGTTTTCGAACATGGCCAACATTTTTCTAATTGAAACTTTTTTTGTATCTTTTCGTCTTTCGGTAGTACCGTAATCGTCATGATACCATATCGATTACTGCCGAAAATTGGGAAGAGTGTAACAAGTTTTCAAACCGGATTATAAAAGTTGGACACCCTTCCCGTAAAATAAAACAAAAAAATCAAAAATAAAAATATAAGTTTTTGAGATATAAGCGTTCAAAGTTGCTATGTTCGGTTACTGCAGGACCAAAATAGAGACGATCAATTTTTAAACTTTTCCATTAATCGCTACGGTTCACATATTAATAGGATGACATAAGAGGAATGTTTTCAAGTTAAAAAATTAATAATTGAGCGTTTATTTTAGGGTTTATACGAAGGTTACTGTAATTTCCAACTTTTGTTAAGTTCGCTAACAATTTTATTGGAATGACGAATTTAGACAAGCTATCCGGGTCAGAAACGCGCATACATCATGGAAGACAGAAATCAGAATCGTAATACTACCTATTCCTGAAATAGGGGGGATTACGGTAGCCGTACCCACTTTTTTCGCTGTTTGGCCGCGGCATTCTTTGGAGCTGCTAGTGTAACAACTTTTGAGGCCTGAAATTCATTCAGGATGGATAGAAGAGTATTTCAGCAAAAAATTGCGAAAATAAAAATATAAGTTTTTTGAGAAAATCCGGGATTACGGTCATTTTGGGGGGTTTTTGGGCCGTCTGGCCGCGGCATTCTTTGGAGCTGCTAGTGTAACAACTTTTGAGGCCTGAAATTCATTCAGCATGGATAGAAGAGTATTTCAGCAAAAAATCGCGAAAATAAAAATATAAGTTTTTGAGAAAATCCTGGATTACGAAAGACGAAAAGATACAAAAAAAGTTTCAATTAGAAAAATGTTGGCCATGTTCGAAAACATACAGACAAGAAGTTTCAGCCCCGTAGGGCTGTCGCCCGGTCCACGACCATGGCTGCTTTACAAAACCCAAATTGTTACAGTAATCCCGGACTGGTTGAAATTTCGCGAAACCCTTCTTCGCTTTTCATCAGCATGCTCAGGCTCTTTTACTGGCCAAGTTTCAAGAAATTTGGTGATGGTCGTTGCAACAATGTCCGGGCCCCTTGGAGGGAAGCTTCAGTTTGTAAAAAACTCTGTTTTAAAGTACACACACTTGCATGTGATGGAAAAAGTACTGTAGAGACGGCTTAACACTAACTAAAGTCCTGGCTTTTGTCCTAGCAATCCGTGGAACCTGATGGTACTAAAGACTGTAATACATCGAAAGATGTTGTTTTTGTGAGCTTTAGTTCTGATGGCACAATAGGACTCATCGGGATACAAATTTTTTAATTTTCCATGCCTATCTGGACCTCATTTTAGACATCAGATATCTCTATCTCCAAAAATTGATCAAAATTTAAAAGACCACTGTGATCGTTCTAAATTTACACTGTTGGAGTGATCTATGTCTATTTACCGGTTTTGTGTTCGATCCGCATCCATAAAAAACACTTGTTTATTATTGTGGTCAAAATTCGCATAGACTGACCAAAATGAACTGATTTCTGATTCCAATATAAATATTTACACGCTTTTTGCCCTTGATGATAGATAATTGCTGCGTCAAAACATGTAATAACAAACTCTTTTCTGTTCATCAAAATATTAAACGAAGTTTTCGTGGTGAGACCAAAATTTAAAGGGAAAATTAGGCTTCGTGATTTACAAATTGGCCTCTGGCTGGGTAAAATATTCGTATTTATTTTTTATATTTAATTTTTATTTGCCAATAATAAATTCATACCACAGTGGATACAGTGTTTACCACTTTTGTGGAAGGAATTACAGTAGCCGCATTAGGTTGATGACATTCGGATGAGGCGTCTAAAAATAAGCCGTATTTGAGAAATATTGGAAATAAAAAAGTAGGCTACCTCCGGAAGTTTCGCTCATTACCAGCGTCAAGTTTTCGTTAACGAAACCTTCGTAGTTCTTCACATAGCGACGGCAGTTTCCACCACATCCATGGAGACTAAATGATTTTTTATAATTTAGATATGACAAAATACGTATTCTTACATTTGAAGTCGAGGATGAGCGTTAAACATATGAAAATCATCACATTCGAGGTAAAAACTGCCATCCGAGTCGTCGGCATCCGCTTTAGCACATAGAGTTGTCTTGAATGTCCCTACGGAGAAAAGAGCGACCGACTGAAAGAAAAGGATGAGATTAGACCGAACAAAATTTGTATTTTCGCCTTGTTTATCAGAGTTAACTAGGGGTTCCTCTGTCATTTCCATATGACATAATTTTGTTGACTCTTCATAAACTTACAAATTTAAAAGGACTTTGAGCAACGCCATCTCCGCATTTCACATTCCCAGAGGCCAGAAGATGATCTGTACCGATCTTTGCAGAGACCTTGCATACAAAGGCCAGTAGCAAGAAATAGCAAGAACGTGAAAGCATGATTGACAAAATTGACACCAAATAAAAAAGAATTGTGTATTTGAACGTCGTTTATTAAGCTTAATTAAGAATTTATGCATGCAAGGAAGCCAGGTCATAAAATTTAATCCTTTTTTTAATGACTTGAAGCAGCAGCTAATGAAATAGCGTTATTTTACATTTACAATTGACATATGAAGTATTGCTACATTGCATTCAAGGGGAAACTTTAAAAAATTATTAAAATTTTTAACAAGTATCCAAATAGAGTCAACGTATGGCCCGAACATGGCAAATAGGTCGGGGAAAGATAATTGGCGCATTCCACGAAAATGCCAAATTGGCGAAAAACGACAGTCATTCAATGTGACAGAAGTAAATAATTTCCTTTTTTGAATCGTTGACATTAAAAATATCAAGGGAAGTTATAATAGCAATCTTGCGGTGCTCAGATTTTCTTGCAATTTTGGTAGTTAAACCGCAGATTCATTCCTCGTTGACGAGTTTTCCTGGAATGGAGATGGTACAAAAAGATTATTAAAGATTATAATGCAATTCTTTATTAATTTCAGCGGCATTCTCTTATTACACGACACTTCTTGTTTCGTTAATTGAATTGCTTACAATTAGCTGTTTAGGAGAGCAATTGTTAGCCAAGTCTGAAGTAAAAATTCGTATATTAGAAAAAGAATTATCCGATGCTAAACACTTTAAACTTGCCTCCACTACCCCCATCCAAGCTGTAGAACAAATCGTCAATGTAATGCTCACTGTAATCTCGGGCGTAGTAAAGACAGTATCCGCCGCATCCATGACGTCTAAAAGGATTTTTTATTGTGAATTTTTTTAGTATTATAAAAGATTTCTGGGCTTACATCTGGACCTCAGGATACGCGCTGAATGAGACGTCTTCGCATTCAATGTGGAAGCTGCCATCAGTTTTGTCAGCAATTGCGGAGCCACATTTTGTGGTGTAGAAAGTTCCAATTGAATAGAAAGATACCTCCTGGAATTACAAATACCTTGAAGTCAGCTAATCTCCGAGTCTGAACATTAATTCAAAATTTTCCGCAACGATTAAAATCCCCGTTGCTTAACGCTACTTCTTGACTTACAATTAGATATGGGCTATCAGTGGCATGCGGGTCGCATTTGGCATAGCCAGAAAATTCCCAATGGACCGATGGTCTTTTTCTACTTTCAGTGACTGCAAAAAAAGCTAATAGTAGACAAAGATATGTGATCCTCAGCATGACGCTTGATCAACAACTGAGTCTATGTAATAAAATCGACGCCTCATTGTGATTCTCCGTATAATTATACATAAGGATGTCAAATGGTCTCAATAAAAATACATATTTATTCCAGATCAAAACAAAAATTCGAATGTAAAACTGTTCTAAAACACAATATTCTTTTTCGTTCAAAAACTGTTTAATGGCTGTGAATAACGTGCAATTATGTATTTATTTTATTTTTAATTTCTCCGTCTTCAATCCCAATTTGAACATGAGCCGTCTGACCGTTCTGAAAGTTTATTATAGACTAGTTTTATATGTTCGCCACTCACCTGATGGATTTGCGGACAAGACAATATCGAGATGTTCGTGGACAAAGCCGTCGAATGACTCCTCGTGGAAATGACAATAGCCGCCACATCCGTGGAATCTAAAATTGGGTCAAACGAAAGTGGAACACATTACATAGTGAATTTTGGGTAAGTGTACGTCACGGAAGCGTGATCACATTCGACGCGGAAGGCGCCGTCCTGGCCGCTGATGGTTCGCTCGCCGCACCGATGGGAGAAAATTTGCTCCTGTGCATAGATTCTCATTTTCTGAAAAAATCACTACAGTAAATACGTGTGGAATGCCAAAGGGGATTCCAAATTTTTCAATTTTGTTTCGATGCCGACACAAGACACCTAACTGCACATTTAGAATTCAAAATACGCAACACTGGTATGTATGATACCACCTACCATGTAAGGAAACGGAGAGGTCAGGCCAGGAGCGCACCTCACACGGCCCGCCAATATCCAATGGTCCAGCGCAAAGGCAGTTGAAAACAGCAAAAATAAAACTTTTAGATCCATTTGCGATAAAGACTAAACGTTTTTAATAAGTCTCTAGACAACAGACGTGGAATGAAATTTAAAATAACGTTTTCCAATTTCAATAGCTTTTTGATGAGAAATGAAGGTGTAATTGGAATATTGATTTAGCTGGGAAATTTTTTTTCTATCAGATTCTCGGCTGATCAGTGGCTGGCCACCGAATCGGCTTAAGAACAAAGAAGTTTTGAAAGGTCATCATCGACACCAGCGTGACATTTTTTGTTAATAAACGCTATAATAAGTGAATATTTTGTACTACAGGGTGTTTCAAGAAATTTGGAACAAATGATTTGCTTATATCTTTGTGTTCTTTGAAGCTATCAACGAATTTCTTTTTGCTTCTAAAAATTGATAGCGTGCGTTTTTAGAATCTCAAAAAAATTTTTTTTTGGTCGGCGGAGGGCCCATTTCTCGGCGGAGAAAATTAGGGCCTTTTTTAAAAATCACAGCGTATTACGTGGCGGAAACGCCGTTGCAACGGCTGAAATCAAGTTTACGTAATACCTCCATCGATTTTACGGTATGCATTTTTTGCGTTTTCGATTTTACGCACTTCCGCGGATGCGCGGCGGAGACCTCAGATTTCGGCGGACGTCGTTTTGGGCCTTCGGCTTTTGCAATTCATGTTGGAAAAAGAGGTTTGGGTGATTTTTTGTTGTCATCCGATGCACAGATGGCAAAAATTTCGTGCTTTTTATCCCCGGCGGAGGAGTCGGCGGAGGCTTTATCAAAGGGTAAAAACAAAACTCCGCCGATTTGTCCGCCGGACCAAAAAAATCAAAAATCTTTGAAAGACAATGCTGCTCTGATGGATTCTTGTAGCTGAAATTTTCCCCGGACTCGTAAGACAGCTTTGACCCTTTGATAAAGCCTCCGCCGAATCCTCCGCCGGGGAAAAAAAGCACGAAATTTTTGCCTTCTGTGCATCGGATGACAACAAAAAATCACCCCAACCTCTTTTCCAACATGAATTGCAACAGCCGAAGGCCCAAAATAACGTCCGCCGAAATCTGAAGTCTCCGCCGCGCCTCCGCGGTGCGCGTAAAATCGAAAACAAAAAAATGCATACCGTAAAATCGACGGAGGTATTACGTAAACTTGATTTCAGCCGTTGCAACGGCGTTTCCGCCACGTAATACGCTGTGATTTTTAAAAAGGCCCTAATTTTCTCCGCTGAGAAATGGGCCCTCCGCCGACGAAAAAAATTTTTTTGAGATTCTAAAAACGCACGCTGTCAATTTTTAGAAGCAAAAAGAAATTCGTTGATAGCTTCAAAGAACAAAAAGATATAAGCAAGTCATTTGTTCCCAATTTCTTGAAACACCCTGTAAAAAAGCCGTGTTTTTTCATTAACCCCCATTTCAATGTCTGTGAAAAAAATAAATCTACTTTTTACACCTTTTTTGAACAATTTATGCATTAAATGTTGAGAAAATACAAAAATCAATCGATGGCCGCTGCAACCATTATCGTTCGTCAATTCAAATTGATCCTCACTCTTTTCTACAGCCAACCGCAGGTTCTGAAAATTAAGATTGGTTCAACGTCCAAATGCAACAAAACAATTCAATTTGGAATGCCTTTTACGTCATTTACCTCCAAATCTACGCGACAGAGTGAAGTTCAAGTGATATTCGGGCTCTGAATAGCCCTTCCACCAAAAGAGACACATGCCGCCGCATCCATGAAGGCTAAAAACATGGTTTTGAACGCATTGAAATATGCATATTATAGCTATGTAAACTAAAATGATGCGATTACATTTCGAGCTGCGGCGTCGCGTCGGTCGAATTGTTTTGGCATTCAATGTAGAAACTGCCATCGTCTTGTCTGGCCACGGCCGATCCACACTTCCGAGTGTCAAAGGTGTCGACCGCTAGGAGAGTTAGGACCTGAAAGAATTGGAGCTTATCTAGACCCCGTTCATTTCGAAAAAAGAAAATGTGAAATAAGGAGCTGCTCTTGTTGACTAATAGCCCTAAAATTGGACCTATATATAATATTTTCATCTGCAGACAGCCCGATCCTCGAGAGCACTACTTTAATGTGTATTTTAGGTGTTGTCTGGGAAAACTGAGGCCATAGAGAGGTGCACCAACAAGTTAAGGGGTTTGACTAGCCATCTGGCAGGGAAAATATAGTTTTTACTCCTATTGCAGATTCAAATTCAAGTCTAGGGCACTGAAAAAAATACCCAACTTACTATGAGGTAATCAGAAGGAGGACCTGCTGGATTACAATTGGCAAAACCGGAAAAAACCCAGCGCGTTGTATTCTGAGCCAGCCCTGAGCTCTCAACAACTGCGACAGCTAAAATCAGTAGGAAAATGGCTTTCACAACAATCATTTTTAATCAAAATCTCCAAGAACGTAAAGGTCTTTAACAGGCCAAAAATTAATTTATTCAAGGCAAAAATTACACCAAAATAATAATTTTTTGTGGCTTCATAAGGTGTTATTAGCACTATTTTACTAACTATTTTAGTTTTTTTACAACTTAGGACATTGATGAAATAATAACAAAATAATCGATAGACCTTTGGACAGTTGAGTGTTTCGTTAAACCTCAGTTTTGTCAGTTTTGTTGGGATAAAACTTGGGAGAGCAATTCTTTTCATTCGCCAACAAGTTTCTTCCCGACAATTCAAAGTGATAGTTGTCGAAATCGTAGGGACTGTGGAGGCTGTAGAAAACACGGCAATTTCCATCGCATTTGTGATAGCTAAACGAACGAAATTGAAAAAAAAAATAGAAGAATTGATGCCCAAGAAATATTTTAGCGCAATTTTAATACTGTCAACCCTCTAAAAAAAGGTTGGCAAACTCCAGAAAATGTATTCGTTATAAAAAAGATCCGTTGTATGGAACTTTACTTTGATCCAAAATTTATCCTTGCGAATTCTATAGTTTTCGTTATAGGGTTTCGTTGAAGAGAAGTTCCTTATACATTTTTATTTTTACGTACAAGCTGATCCGCACATCATTCCAATGACTAAGCCATCCCGGATCGCATTTATTCCAGAATTTTCCACTGGCCGTAATAATAAAGTTGCCGCATTCATTATCCCAAAAAATGCCAACAGCTGTGACTTCCATGATCTGAAATTTATTTGACAACCATATTTATAGTACTGTATACAGGGTGTTTCAAGAAATTTGGAACAAATGATTTGCTTATATCTTTTTGTTCTTTGCAGCTATCAACGAATTTCTTTTTGCTTCTAAAAATTGACAGCGTGCGTTTTTAGAATCTCAAAAAAAATTTTTTCGTCGGCGGAGGGCCCATTTCTCGGCGGAGAAAATTAGGGCCTTTTTTAAAAATCACAGCGTATTACGTGGCGGAAACGCCGTTGCAACGGCTGAAATCAAGTTTACGTAATACCTCCATCGATTTTACGGTATGCGTTTTTTGCGTTTTCGATTTTACGCACTTCCGCGGATGCGCGGCGGAGACCTCAGATTTCAGCGGACTTTGTTTTGGTCCTTTGGCTTTTGCAATTCATGTTGGAAAAGAGGTTGGGGTGATTTTTTGTTGTCATCCGATGCACATATGGCAAAAATTTCGTGCTTTTTATCCCCGGCGGAGGAGTCGGCGGAGGCTTTATCAAAGGGTAAAAAACAAAACTCCGCCGATTTCTCCGCCGGACCAAAAAAATCAAAAATCTTTGAAAGACAACTGCTCTGTTGGATTCTTGTAGCTGAGATTTTTCCCGGACTCGTAAGACTGCTTTGACCCTTTGATAAAGCCTCCGCCGGAGAAAAAAAGCACGAAATTTTTGCCATCTGTGCATCGGATGACAACAAAAAATCACCCCAACCTCTTTTCCAACATGAATTGCAACAGCCGAAGGCCCAAAACAACGTCCGCCGAAATCTGAAGTTTCCGCCGCGCCTCCGCGGTGCGCGTAAAATCGAAAACAAAAAAATGCATAACGTAAAATCGACGGAGGTGTAACGTAAACTTGATTTCAGCCGTTGCAACGGCGTTTCCGCCACGTAATACGCTGTGATTTTTAAAAAAGGCCCTAATTTTCTCCGCCGAGAAATGGGCCCTCCGCCGACGAAAAAAATTTTTTTTTGAGATTCTAAAAACGCACGCTGTCAATTTTTAGAAGCAAAAAGAAATTCGTTGATAGCTGCAAAGAACAAAAAGATATAAGCAAGTCATTTGTTCCAAATTTCTTGAAACACCCTGTACAGTAAGATCGCTGCAAAAAAAATCATGAAAAAAGAATTGCAAGAAACAATTCTTTTTGTTATAGAAAGGCCACGTTGTACGGAGGTCAATGCTCGCCTGAAATCGATAATTTTAATTCAATGCATGATTATTCGATAGACGTCTGAGATTGTTCGTAATTGACAGATTTTTTAGTACAGAGTCTCCGCATTACTCACAATTTCTGTCATGCCAAAGTTGTCCTCACGACCTTCACAAATTGCCTGTCCTCCAAAACTCCAAGCAGAAGTTTGTTGAATGCACAGTGCAAAGAAAATAAGTCCAAACATTTCAGAGAAAAATTGGTCTATTATGAGAAAAGCCTTTATTAAATTAAATGATTACAATGCCTTGAACATTTACCGCTATTTAAGGAATCATTGTTTGATCTTTTCTTAAAAAACGATTAAAAAACTGTCCTTTTTAATATACAAAAGTCAAACTCAATATCATATCGAATACCACCTCTATTTCTCCAAAACAAAATGTCACAATGCAATATTAAAGAGGATTTCTCAATGGAATACAGTTGTTGCGCGTCGACTATCCTAGTCCCCTGAATTGTATCAATCCCATACTTCCTGTTCGCATTCTCGATCAAATAAAGTCTCGCCTTCAGAAGTGACCTCTGCTCCAGTTTTTTCTCCCCAAAACTTGTATTGACGGCAAACTCCATCGCAGGAGTGGTAGCTGAAACGTCTACGATTAAACCAGCTAAATGTCGTGGGCGCAGCTTGGAAAAGCTTTTATGAGTAATTTTTTTAGAGTAAGAACGGAAATTTTGATGTTTTTGCGACAATCAAAAAAAAATCAGCCTGAAAGGAGTGTCTAATTAAACCTCGGGCGCAGCTTGGAAAAAAAACAAAATTTTAGAAAATTAAAACAAAATTTTAACAAAATTTAAACTCAAAGGCTGGGACTTACAGATAGATTTGAGGGACGTACATCCATCTAGGGAAAATACCAGCATAACAAGTGAAATTGATGTGGCCATCCCTCGGAAACACATGCCATCCACAATCCGTTTCGCCGGCATAGACTTTAGCCTTCTAAAAATTGAAAAGAAGTCATGTTTTCTCAAAGTAGACGTTCAAGAAGTTGAATAAACTTACCAACTTTTTTCGGCCTTTCATATCCGGATAGTTGGTACATTTTGCTGTAATATCGAACTGGAAAACGTAAGCCAAATTCACGCTAGCCAGTAGGAAAGCCAAGAGAAGAAGGCGAAAAGCAGCCGACATTGCGGCTATTGCAAAAAAAAAGAAAACAAGTGAAATAAATATACCGTATAGATGAAGTTCTTGTGAACTTTGGAAAAACTTCCGGAAAGCGGCCCACTCTCAAAAAAGAAAATTTTTCCGCACTAGCAGCTTGCGCCCTGGTTTCCCTGCAGACTGCGAACAAAATAGGAAACAGCCTAAGCCTGAGGCTAAGCCTAAGCCTGAGGCTAAGCCTAACCTGCCTAAGCCTGAGGCTAAGCGTAAGCCTGATATTCCTTGCAACCGGAATTGTTCGGGCGCAAGCTGCGAAGGCGATTTTCGAGAGTGGGCCGCTTTGCGGAAGTTATACCTGAACTTTTAATTTGAAAAAATTTAATTTTCCCGAAAATAAAGCCCAAAAATTAATTTGCAAAATGTTTATTATTCAAAATATTTTAATGACATAACAGCGCTTCGCCCTAATAGACCTGATTTGGACAGAGATAAGTCTCGCGACGATCTCCTTGATTGGAGAGTGGCAAATATAGGTAATTGTTGTCGGATTCGATCTTAAATACACGACAATGCCCATCACAGGAGTGAAAACTGGAAAAAGGGTTTGGTTGGATCACCTCAAATTTTTCAAAATTACATTTCATACTCCGGAGTGAACGTCCATTTTGGCCACCATCCTTCGTCACAATGGAGATCGAACTCTCCAGTTTCGTTGAGAATAAATTTTGCGCAAACGTTGTCCATTCCGGTGATGATTTCGACGCCCTGAAAAAAGTCCCCACAAAAAAGGAAAGAACTTACAATCTTTTTGTGCCCTTTCAAAGACCCAGAATTAGCGCATCGAATCCTCCCGGCAAAATGCATACGACCCACAATTGGGGTGGCCAAAAGAAAAATCCAAATGAACATCCGTGAATCCATCGCGATGCATTGGAGAAGCGCCGATAAAAATGAAGAAAATTTATACTTTTTTATTTTTTTTAAATTTTAAAAAATTTAAATTTTCTTAATTTGATTAAATTTGAATTTACGTGGGAAGCAAATTTTATATAACTATGAAAAGTCAAAATTCCAAAAGTAGAATTATTTTTCAAGATGCGCCCCAGCTTTTATTTGAATCTGGTTGCAACTTAAATTCGAGCGCTTTTCAACGTTGTGGATAATTTTAAAAGGAGACAAAGTGCTGCAAATGAGGCCAAGTTTAAGATAGGGTGTAGTCTGAAAAAAATCATGGTCGCGGAGAGCCAGTTAACTCGTAAAAATTCGATATTCCTCCAGAAACATCAGTGAAACTTCCATTAATTCTAAAAAGCAACCTTATGTAAACACGCCTTTCTTTCGAAAAATATGTAATTCGGTTTATTTTGGATATTCAATAATATAAATAGATCCTAGTAAACTTGTTGGGAACAAAAGATTGGAGGTCTGGTCCGTCCTTCGGCCGACAATTCCATTTCAAAGACAAACTTGTCGCGCACTTCGAATTCATGACAATGTCCATCGCAGGAATGGTAACTGAAAAAATATTTAATTTCGATTACTAACAAAAACCAAAAAAATTTTAAGGCGGATTAAAAATTCCATATATTTTTTTATAATTATATTAAAAAGGTCTGTCAAAGTTTCAAAAAAAAAACTTGCATAAAAACACGAGGCACATAAAACTTGGAAGCCAAAGGTCCGTCATCACAGACCAAGTTAAAAGAGCGGTCTTCGGATACCAGGAAGTCTCCACAATGATTTGGATTCGACAATCGACCGACAATGGACAACGAAAATACTTCGGCTCTCTAAAAATACAAATTTTGACTTTAAAATAGGTAGAAAATCAAACAAGGTTTCACTTTACTTCGGCTAAAAATAAAACTTTGTCTTAAAAATAGGTAAACAATCAAATAGTATTTCATTTTCTAGCCCACTCAAAAGAAGATTTTTTCCCAGCTGCGCCCGAGCCTTGACTTTTAACTTTTATTTACAGGGGAAGTACTCCAAGTGCGACGTTTAGATTTTGATGAAACTTGGCACAAATTTAGAATATTTTTTTCGGAAAACTATCCTTTTTCTGGCCCCGCGCTTCGCAGCTTGCGCCCCGGTTTCCCTGCAGACTGCGAATAAAAGTAGGAAACAGCCTAAGCCTGAGGCTAAGCCTAAGCTGCCTAAGCCTGAGGCTCAGCCTAAGCCTGAGGCTAAGCCTAACCTGCCTAAGCCTGAGACTAAGCCTAAGCCTGAGACTAAGCCTAAGCCTGAGGCTAAGCCTAAGCCTGAGACTAAGCCTAAGCCTGAGGCTAAGCCTAAGCCTGAGGCTAAGCCTAAGCCTGAGACTAAGCCTAAGCCTGAGGCTAAGCTAAGCCTGAAATTCCTACGTGTTTCTCAAATTCCTAACCGTGTTTCCGCAGTCAGCAAAAGTTGTGGGCGCGAACCGGAAATTCTTGCTTTTCGGCGGGGCCAGAAAAAGGATAGTTTACCTTTTTTTCTAAGGTATATGCAAGATTCTTAGCTCGCGCTTTGCAGAAACAACCGAGATTTTTAGATCGAAAGTCGGCGAAAATTTTGGACTTTTTGCCGAATTTCGGCACGGAAATTTTCATGCCTACTTCTACTGTAAAGGATAATGTTTCTACAAAAAATCAAATTTTTCCGCACGAAACTGCCAAAGTTATGGCCAAAAAGCGCTTTTTTCTCTGACCGCCCTCCACGTTTAGCCTGCTCTCTCGGCGGCAAAAATTGTTCGATATCTCGGCGTCGCCCGCAAAGCGCGAGCTAAAACTTTCAGGAATTGATATCTAGTCCATACCCGACGTGTGTGCAAAATTTAAAGAAAATCTGAGCGTCGCACTTGGAGTAATTCCCCTGTTAGCTAACTTTTTTTGGGGTTTCAAAAAAATAAATAAATTTTCAATGGAGTTCCAAATCAAGGACTGGGCGCAGCTCGGAAAAAATAGTTTTTTGCCGAAAACTGAGTTTTTTTTTTCAAAAACGTGAAATGGAGTTCTTATTCTTCTTTTCAAAAAGTTTTAAAAAAAAAATTATACAAGTCAGGTATCAACCCAAACTTACAATTTTCTTCTCGCCTGTCATACTCGCCTTTCCTTTGCATCCAATTTTTCCATGAAGATGAAACTCTCCGAAAACCGAAGTGGCCACCAGGAAGAGCAGGAGGAAAACTCGAAGATAAACCGTCATTGCCAACGACAGAGCAGCTGAATGATGAAAATGAAAAAAAAGGAAATTTTCTTCGAAATGCAAAAAAATAACGCAATTTTAGAAAAGTTCGAGACTAAAATTACAAAAACTGATGAATAATTATGTCGTGCAGTCGTGTTCGAGTGGCTAATCGGATTGATTAGAAATCAGTTGGCCTCTTCCCACCGACTCGAATCCTTTCAGGTGCGGAGAAATTTTTTAGAATTTTCTTTGTATGAAGTTTGGCCAGAATGCAGCGTAAAGATGCTAATACGAGAAATTTGTGCACTGTCAGCTTCACAGAATAAAAAAAAGAGATTCCCCATACTATGTATAAGATGAACTGTACTTTTTAAAAAGAAATTTTTTACTGTTCACTTTCATGCTACGGCCTATGAAACCAGGGAGAGGGCATTTTTTGAGAGATTGGCAAAGACCAATAAAGTATCGTAATCTTCAAATAAAACTTTTATTTTCTATGTCTGCGACAAAATATAGTGAGCCACAGATGACCTAAAAGATCTCTTAAAACTTCCGAACGCAAGTCTTATCGTCTCTGCGCTCTCCTTCGTTCTCCAAGTCCAAGGAGATATGAAATTGATTCACCAATTTTACCACGCGACATTGTCCATGACAGGCGTGGTAACTGAAAATAAACAAAGTAAGATTGCGGTGCCAAACTCTAAACTCACATATACACGATTGGGGTATAAAACTTGGTAGGAAGTGCACCGTCGTAGCACGAGAATTCAAATTCACCTGCGTCTGCAAGTTTGGGGCTGCTTTCGAGCTTGAAAGTGCCGCAATAATTGACGCTTAAGGCGAACTTGGCGAAGGTGTCGACCTTCTGAAAGATGGTTTTTCGTCAAATGTCACCAAAAAACTGCTTTACTTACGATAATGCTGAGCATGTTATCCTTGCATCTAATCCGGCCACTGAAGTGAAATATGCCAAGAACTGGTGAAGCCATCAAAGAAAAGAGGAGCACAGCTCGAAGATGGACCGCCATTGTCACGGCCCAAACCGATGAATGAACTTTGGAAAGGGGTTTTTCGCATTTAAAGGCCGCGTTTCACGAAATGCAGATTTCTGATCGTGAGAATTTCTTTCCCTGTTTTTGTTGTGAAACGCAGATCTTCGTCCCACAATTTTACATATGGTTGCAATGAATCGGGCTCTGCCCACGCATGTTCGAATCCTGTCGACCGCGGAAACTTTTTGGGGATTTTTTGAGAGGAGAATCAAAGGAAACATTTGTCTCCAAAACAGATTACTACGGTCCTAAACAAGTCATCTGTTGTATAATATTTTCGCTGTTTTTGCCAAAAAGATGTAAAAATATTTTCGGCCCAAAAATGGAAAAATTAAAATCTTTTTTATGAAAACATTTATTTTACTTTGTGTACAAGAGAATGCCATGGTAATAGATCATTCGTAAAAATCCTGCAGACACTCGGATTCGTCTCTTTCAATGTCATATTTTCCAAGAGTGATTCCATCGTCAAAATAGGTGGATTTCAAATGGAAATTGTAGTAAAGGCGACATTTTCCGTCACAGGCGTGGTATCTGGAAAAACGGTACGGCATTTAGTGACGAAAACACCGAAATTTTATGTTTTTGGCCCATTCTCAAAAAAAATCGTTCTCGGAGGATAGGTTACCCCTAACAAATAGGTTACCCCAGCGGATAGGTTACCCCACCGGATAGGTTACCCCAAGTTACGGATAGGTAACCTCGGAGGATAGGTTACCCCACGGATAGGTTACCTCGAAGGATAGGTTACCCCGAGGATAGGTTACCTGAAATTTTTTTTTTTTTTTTTGAAATGTTTTCGCTTCGGGACTTGGAAAAAAAGGACTTTTTGTGAAATTTGAAAAAATTTCAAATGTTTTCGCTTCGGGAGTTGGAAAAAAAGGATTTTTTGTGAAATTTGAAAAAAATTTGAAGTGTTTTCGCTTCGGGACTGGGAAAAAAAGATTTTTTGGAAAATTCAACAAAATTTTGAAATGTTTTCGCATCGGAAGTTGAAAAAAGGGTGTCTGACTGAATATTAACTGTGGTGCCGGCAGCACTAAAATTTTGTCTAAAACCAATGGTACCACCTGGTACTATATAGTACCACGTGTTTTTGGGCTCTACTAAGCATCAAACCACCACCATTACTGCCTCATGGCCAAATTTTCACTTCTCACAAAACAGTACCAGTTGGTACTATATAGTACCAAGTGTTAAAACGTGTTTTTGGGTTCTACTAAGCACCAAACCAACGCCATTACCGCCTTAGGGCCAATTTTGCACCTCGTACTAAATAGTACCAGGTAGTACTATTTAGTACCAAGTGTTAAAAATGTGTTTTTAAGCAGTACTAGGCACCAAAACAACACCATTAACGTCTAAAAGTGTTATAAGTCGAAAAATTTTCAAAAAGAATCCCTAAAGGCAGTAAGGTAACAGAAACCCAGTTTTCATATTCAGTCAGTTCATACTCAGTCAGCTCGAAAACCTTTCAAATTTTTTTTCAATTTTCACAAAAAATCCTTTTGTTAAAAGTCCCGAAGCGAAAACATTTCAAAATTTTTTCAAATTTCACAAAGAATCCTTTTTTTCAACTCCCGAAGCGAAAACATTTCAAATTTTATTCAAATTTCACAAAAAATCCTTTCTTCCCAAGTCCCGAAGCGAAAACATTTCAAATTTTATTCAATTTTCACAAAAAATCTTTCTTATTAAACTCCCGAAGCGAAAACATTTAAAAATTTTTTCAATTTTCACAAAAAATCCTTTTTTTCAACTCCCGAAGCGAAAACATTTCAAAAAAAATTTTTTTTCTTTTTTTGGTAAGGGGTAACCTATCCGTGGAGTAACCTATCCGGTGGGGTAACCTATCCGTGGGGTAACCTATCCGGTGGGGTAACCTATCCTCCGAGTTATGTGTTTTTTGGGGTAACCTATCCGGTGGGTAACCTATTCTCGGGGTAACCTATCCTCCCCAAATCAAAAAAAATATTTTTTGCGGTTCTTTTGTTTTCGTCATATCCCGAGCTGCGCCCGAGCTTCATTTCTTGTTCACCAGAAAAAAATCTGAACAAACTTTCAGATAGGAAATCGGCCCCAAAAAAGAGAGGTTTACTATAATGTTGGAGATGACTTTTACTCACAAATAAATTGCTGAGTGATCCGTGGTCGACGCCGTACAGCCATTATCAAATGTTCCACTCACATTGAGGGTTTGGCTGAAGCAATTTTGATCCGGCCACAATGCGTTCTCCCTGACCACTTTGAGGAGCTAAATAAATAGTTGTAGAGTCATAATTAACCTTACTATTAGGTTGGACGGAAAGTCTTTGCCATTCTTTATCCAATTTTGAAATTTATTTTTTTTCGCGCCAAGACCGAGTGTCAACCGTAAATGCCTAGTATATACAAGAGTACAGTGTGCAGATTTATGTGCTATGTGCCAACCGTTTGCTCCGCCAAAACGAGCTTTATTATAAGAGGTTTTCCGCTTTGCGGCAATTTCAGGTGGGGTCCAGAACGCAAGCTCTAGTTTCCAAATCGCTTTTGATGAAGCTCCGAAACTTTGTGGGCTGTGTCCAGTTGTCTTTCCGACTACGCTAAACACAATTGTATATCTTAAAAAAACCTGTCGAAAAAAATAATAGCTACTCTTTCAACCAAATCCTCAGCAAAGGCCCCGCTTAAAAACGTTTTCTTATTACTCCGCGCATTGCTGATGGTCTGTCTATATAACAGAGTTCAGTGAACAACATGGGTAGCCTTTTACGTGCTACATGGGTAAACCGGATCATAGGCGCCTCGGGTTACCCGTAAAAAGACAAAATTGCCAAAAATATATAGCCCTAGAGAAATGCGTGTGATTTGCTGACAATTAACAATGGTTACCCATTGTTTCATAAAGTAGTATTACGATACAGAGGCTCTATTTTCGACCCTAGAAAGGGAGGATTGGAAAGCTGATGTCAGCGCTTTTTCAATTTTACGGGTTGATCCAACAGTTCACCAGCGACTTTTTGAAAAACAAATAATTGAGTTCTGGCACGTCACGCAGTAAAACAATTGCCTAATGACGGGTAGCTGAGTGTAAGTGAGTGTCTTTAGTTTTGGCATATCATAGTTAAACCCATACAAATGCATCGGCAAAGCGGCGGTTGAAATTATATTCAAACTTGTTTGGTCTCATAAAAACCACGTTTTCTGGTTCGGTTTTGATTTAATCCCCGCCGGGTTTGCACATGTTAAGAGCTTCAAAAGAAGTCTTTTTAACAGTGCTAAAAGAATTTTCTAGAAGGCTTTGTTAAACAAACCAGCAAAAGATTTCTGCTTGTAGACCAAAGATGGGTAAATGTCTAAATTAAGTTCTCTGTTTGTACATGCTTAAGATGGCTGAGGGTTGTACAGTCAGATAGGGATGCCTGTCCCCTACCAACACCATGTATTAGTGTTTGCCTTTTTTCCATCAGTGCAAGGAAAAATAGCAGCAGAAAAAAAGGCAAAGACTTTCCGTCCAACCTAATATTTTCCGCTTTCCCACCAGCGACTTCTCATTTTCACAATGAACAGATCCTCGGTAATGCCATTTAATCCGCACGGCTTGGCACAAAGCAATGAAGAAGAGTAGTCGGATGATTGGCGACAACATTACAGACACGACCGATCCGATTGCTTTCAAACTTGTAATCATTTTTTCTCAAAATAGGTAAGATTTTCATATTTCGAAAGGACTTATGTTTCGTTAGAAGTAGGCGAAAAACCCACTCAAAAAATTTTTTACACGTTGCGTCCTATCCTTAGCCCAATTTCAAAATATTTTATGACGAATAGGACGTGGTGTAAGACCTCTTCCGTGGCTCAGCATGTCCCAATTTTAGTTCGTCCCAAGCTTTTCTATCACTTTCTAAAAGTCTGTAGGGAATGAAAGATCAAGGGCCAGCCAAGGAGAGCCAAGTCAAGGCTGCTCGGGACTTTAGCTGCAAAATATGGAGGTTTAGGAAAATTACGTTTGTAAATACACCCAAACAAATTAAATTGTACCGCATTCTGTAATGAAATAATCTATTTATTTCAGAATACATATTATATCCACATTTCACCTATTCCTCATAGATCTCTGCAGAACATTCGGCGTCGTCTCTTCTGATGTCATACTTTCCCAAAACAATATCATTCCAATCGATTCGAATCTTGTCGCTACGGTCGTTGTAGTAAAGCCGACATATACCGTCACAAGCATGATAACTGCACAAAATCAAACCAAAAACAATTGAATGTAAAAGAAAATAAAACGACTGGGTTGACCATTACTTACAAGTAAATTACAGCGTTGTCATTTGCAGTCGCGTTACATGAGACGTTGAACATTCCGCTGGAATCAATCGTATGATTTAGACAAACCAAATTGGAATAGAGAGCATGCTCTTGGACAACTTTGAAGAGCTGCAAGCTTGTAAGTACAGTATATCAACATAAAAAGGAGGCCAACTGCGGAAAATGTTGGTGCATGCTCAAAAAAATATGGTTCATCTTTTTGCAGGCCGTAGAATAAAAAAAGTGTTTTAACACAATTTTCACAAAAAAAGCAACTGGAATTCTGAAATGAACGCTTGATGTCTTTTTCGTCTAGGCCAGTCAGCAAAAAGAATAAAAAACCAAGGAAAATTATAAAGCCAAGGTTTTAGCAGCTCAGCGCAGCTAGGGGAAAAATCTTTTGGAACCTGCCAAAAATGGCAATATGATCGTGAGTAGAAAATTTTCATCTTCTGGCCTACTCCAAAAATAGTTTTTTCAGGCTACGTCCGAACCTTGACTTGGCATCGCTTCGAAAGCCTTAAACAAGCAACAATTTTTGAATCTGGACAACTTTCAGTCGGATCTATTAAAATATTATTTCATCTGCAGCTTTCAAGAATTAAAAAACCATTTCTTGAGTCTGTGTTAGAACTTTTTCCTACATAAAAATTTTCTGTTACCTACAATTTTCCGCTTTCCCTCCAGCGATTTCTCGTGCTCACATCGAACCTGGCCTTGGAAGTGCCATTGCGTAACTTTAGCGGATGTCAGAATGAAGAGTCCGAAAAAGCCGAGGGACCAAATTAAGGACCGCATCAAGGGTGCTTGAATAAACAATAACGATTTTCAAACTGCAAAAATAAAATTTACAAAATTTAAAAATACGAAAAAAGCAAAAATTATACCTTCCTTTGTCCTTTGGACAGCAAAAATCGACCAAAAATGGCCACTAATTCTTTCCCCGGTCGATTCGTGTGGTCGGAAAAATGGGTTCCCGCCGAAAGATCAACGAAATAGACGATTCCTTCGAACAGTTCGCCGCCAGCCTTCGTGAAGCTGCTGATGTGGACTCTCAAGACCAGATTACGTAATGATTCTACACAAATTTTTCCAATTTTTACCAATTCTTTTAGCTTGTATTTTCAGCTCCCGAGGCTACGAGTCGGAGGAGGGATGGAGCTGTCGCCTCAAGGACTATGTTTTCGAGTTCATTTTGGGAACTGGTGCCTTTGGCGACGTCATCAAGGCCCGGAATTTGGCGGAGAAAAAAGACTGCGCGGTTAAACTGCTGAACTACCGAGTCAGCAGCAAACGTCATATTGTAAGCCCCAGTAGATTGCTTTGCACACATTTTATCTTCATTGTTTTTAGCTCGACGAAATCAAAGCCATGTCTCGTTTGTCCCATCCGAACTTGGTCGGCAAATACTCGGTCTCTGTGATCAACCGGTCCACTATTTTCATCGTCATGCCGCTGCTGTGGAATCTCCGGAAACTTTGCGAAGAGAGTCGTGAGCTTCGGGTAAGTGGAGGTTCTCGCAGTGAGACCAAAATCAATTTTTTTATTTTATTTTTTTTGGGTTCGGCGTTGCAACGAAAAGTTGAAAGGCTTGCAGTTTCGTAATTCCTGAGCGATTTATAGTTTCGTAATTTCCTGAGCGATTTATATTACGTAATTTCCTGAGCGATTTATATTATGTATAAATTTTGGGTCTCGCCGCGAAATGTGTTTTTTTGAGCTCAAGATTACCCGAGTTCTTTTTATACATATTAATCGATTTTGAGCAAGCAAAGATATCGATTTTTGCTCAAAAATTGAACTTTTGTGTCCCACCACGAAAACCTGAAATCCCAAGAAAATTTTCCCAACCCTCAAAATTTTAGCTAAATATGGCCAGACTGTACGCAATGGCGTCGATTACCCAACTGAAGCCAGTAAGCCCAGTCAGTGAAAACTGTGCGGGCCAGATTGTCCATCAACTCCTGACCGGCCTGGACTTCATGCACAAGAATCGCTACATTCATCGCGACCTCAAAAGCGGGAATCTGTTGGTGAGCAATAAGGGAACCGTGAAGATTGGCGATTTTGGGTTGACGAAACAATTCGAAACAGGCCATTTCAAACTGGGAGAGATAAAAACTCCTGTTGGAACGAGCTATTACATGGCACCGGAGATTGCTTTGAGGTTTGTGAAGGTCAGCGAGAAGCCTTATGATATCCGTGCGGAGACTTGGTGAGTTTTAGGAAGGATACTTCCCAAATCAAAGCAGTTTTGTATGAACGGAAGTTTTCGTGGTGAGACCAAGCATTTTTTGACGGTCCTACAGCGAAACCCTTTGGTGACAAAATATTGAATTAAGAATGAGGTGCTTGTACTATTAGTTGCTATTATATCGAAAATGATGATTTTTAGGGTTACTGTGGCAAAATTAAGACTTTGTTTAGTCCCACCACGAAAACTTCTGGGACAAAAATTTTTTTCTAAGGCGAATTTGATTTTTTAACTGATCTTTTAGTTGATTTCCTAAATTATAATACTTTTTTTGATTTGTATGAGCCGTTTTTTAGATTTTCAAGTTGTCGCGGCGGGACCAATCTTTATTGTTTTTGTCCGCGGAAACTTCTCAGTTTTGAATCAAGAATTTGGAGCTAAGTTTTAATCTTGAATTTTACTTTAAGACTACTTCTATCGTATTTTAACTAATAAAATTAATTTTTGGTCCCACCACGAAAACCTGAAATTCTTCAAATTGGTTATTTTTGAATTCCAGGAGTATCGGGGCTATCATGTGTGAGCTTCTCTTGAACTGCCTTCCCTTTGCTCATTACCCAGCGCACGCCGAGGGGATGGTTAAGACGCTGAAGGCGGCAACCAAGGAGGTAAATCAATATAATCTTTTGGAATGTCGTATTGTATTTTACCTCAAAATTTGCGCTTCTTCCAGAAACACATTATTTGGGAGCTGATGTTCCCGCCACGGATTTATGAGGGTATTGCTATGGATTTATCACCCGCTTGTCGCGACTTTATCGACAAATGTTTGGTTGGGGACCCGGCCCAGCGAAAAACTTGTAGCGAGTTGTTGAAAAACAGCTGGGTCAAGAAGTTCAAAGGGAAAAAGGATGTGATCCAAGAGGAGTTGTTGGATGATGAGATCAAAAAAGGGGTAATTGGGAAGTTGAAGGCGATGAATGGAAAGTTTTTGGCACACAATGGAGGGGCCAGAAGGCCTTTGAATGTGAATATGCTGTTCAATCCGATGGGAACACGGGTAAAATACGTCAATTAAGGCTTGGTCTACATGCTTTTTTCACTTTGAAATTAAAAGAAAATTTCCATCGCACTGTGCGAGTCCCAAAATATTTTTTTTTATTGCACCGTGCAATTTTTTTTTCTTCTTTCTCTTTGTTGCACTGTGCAGATTATAATTTTTTTCTGCTTCCTGTTCGCATTCTCGATCAAATAAAGTCTCGCCTTCAGAAGTGACCTCTGCTCCAGTTTTTTCTCCCCAAAACTGGTATTGACGGCAAATTCCATCGCAGGAGTGGTAGCTGAAGCGTTTATGATTAAACCAGCAGAATGTCATGGGCGCAGCTTGGAAATTTTTTTTCAAAACAAATATAAAACACCAAATTTCAACTCAAAGGTTGCGACTTACAGATAGATTTGAGGGACGTACATCCATCTAGGGAAAATACCAGCATAACAAGTGAAATTGATGTGGCCATCCCTCGGAAACACATGCCATCCACAATCCGTTTCACCGGCATAGACTTTAGCCTTCTAAAAATTGAAAAGAAACCATGCTTTTTTCAAAGTAGACGGTCAAAAAGTTGAATAAACGTACCAACTTTTTTCGGCCTCTCATATCCGGATAGTTGGTACATTTTGCTGTAATATCGAACTGGAAAACGTAAGCCAAATTCACGCTAGCCAGTAGGAAAGCCAAGAGAAAAAGGCGAAAAGCAGCCGACATTGCGGCTATTGCAAAAAAAAAAGAAAACAAGTGAAATATACCGTATAGATGAAGTTCTTGTGAACTTTTAATTTGAAAAAATTTAATTTTCCCGAAAATAAAGCCCAAAAATTAATTTGCAAAGTGTTTATTATTCAAAATATTTTAATGACATAACAGCTCTTCGAGCCCTAATAGACCTGATTTGGACAGATATAAGTCTCGTGACGATCTCCTTGATTGGAGAGTGGCAAATGTAGGTAATTGTTGTCGGATTCGATCTTAAATACACGACAATGCCCATCACAGGAGTGAAAACTGGAAAAAGGGCGTTGTTGGATCACATCTTCAAACCAATTTTTCAAAATTACATTTCGTATTCCGGAGTGAACGTCCATTTTGGCCACCATCCTTCGTCACAGTGGAGATCGAACTCTCCAGTTTCATTGAGAATAAATTTTGCGCAAACATCCGTGAATCCATCGGATAAAAGCCGATAAAAATGAAGGAAATTTATATTTTTGTTGTTTTTTTTTATTTTCAAAAATTTAAATTTTTTTAATTTGATTAAATTTGAATTGACGTGGGAAAGCAAAATTTATATATAAACTGTGAAAAGTAAAATTCCAAAAGTAGAATTATTTTTCAAGCTGCGCCCTAGCTTTTATTTGAAACTGGTTATATGTAGCTTGAATTCGAGTGTTTTGAACGTTGTGAATAACTCAAACGGCAGCCAAAGAGCTGAAAACCCCAAGTTTAGGATAGGGCGTAGCATAAAAAAAATCATGGTCGCGGAGAGCCAGTTCACCCGTAAAAATTCGATATTCCTGCAGAAACATCAGTGAAACTTCCATTAATTCCAAAAAGCAATCTTATGTAAAGAAGCGTTTCTTACGAAAAATATTGAATTCGGTTTATTTTGGATATTCAATAATATAAATAGATCCTAGTAAACTTGTTGGGAACAAAAGATTGGAGGTCTGGTCCGTCCTTCTGCCGACAATTCCATTTCAAAGACAAACTTGTCGCGCACTTCGAATTCATGACAATGTCCATCGCAGGAATGGTAACTGAAAAAATATTTAATTTCGATTACTAACAAAACCAAAAAAAATTAAGGCGGATTAAAAATCCCATATATTTTTTATAATTACATTAAAAAGGTCTGTCAAAGTTTCAAAAAAAAAACTTGCATAAAAACACGAGGCACATAAAACTTGGAAGCCAAAGGTCCGTCATCACAGACCAAGTCAAACGAGCGGTCTTCGGATACCAGGAAGTCTCCACAATGATTTGGATTCGACAATCGACCAACAATGGACAACGAAAATACTTCGGCTCTCTAAAAATAAATCGGTGTCTTTCAAATGGGTTAAAAATCAAATAAGACTTCGTTTTCTAGCCCACTCCAAAAAAGATTTTATCCCAGCTGCGCCCGGGCTTTGTCTTGTAGCTTTTATTTAGCTAACCCTCTTGGTGTTTTATGCCTTCGCGGATCTTTTAGTTCAGTCAAAAAGTAAAGAAAATTTCAATCCATTCGGAAAATGGAGTTCCAAATCAAGGACTGGGCGCAGCTCGGAAAAAATATTTTTTTGCCAAAAACTGAGTTTTTTTTCAAAAACGTGAAGTGGAGTTCTTATTCTTCTTTTCAAAAAATTTTAAAAAAAAAATGATACAAGTCAGGTATCAACCCAAACTTACAATTTTCTTCTCGCCTGTCATACTCGCCTTTCCTTTGCATCCAATTTTTCCATGAAGATGAAACTCTCCGAAAACCGAAGGGGCCACCAGGAAGAGCAGGAGGAAAACTCGAAGATAAACCGTCATTGCCAACGACAGAGCAGCTGAATGATGAAAATGAAAAAAAAGGAAATTTTCTTCGAAATGCAAAAAAATAACGCAATTTTAGAAAAGTTCGAGACTAAAATTACAAAAACTGATGAATAATTATGTCGTGCAGTCGTGTTCGAGTGGCTAATCGGATTGATTAGAAATCAGTTGGCCTCTTCCCACCGACTCGAATCCTTTCAGGTGCGGAGAAATTTTTTTAGAATTTTCTTTGTATGAAGTTTGGCCAGAATGCAGCGTAAAGATGCTAATACGAGAAATTTGTGCACTGTCAGCTTCACAGAATAAAAAAAAGAGATTCCCCATACTATGTATAAGATGAACTGTACTTTTTAAAAAGAAATTTTTTACTGTTCACTTTCATGCTACGGCCTATGAAACCAGGGAGAGGGCATTTTTTGAGAGATTGGCAAAGACCAATAAAGTATCGTAATCTTCAAATAAAACTTTTATTTTCTATGTCTGCGACAAAATATAGTGAGCCACAGATGACCTAAAAGATCTCTTAAAACTTCCGAACGCAAGTCTTATCGTCTCTGCGCTCTCCTTCGTTCTCCAAGTCCAAGGAGATATGAAATTGATTCACCAATTTTACCACGCGACATTGTCCATGACAGGCGTGGTAACTGAAAATAAACAAAGTAAGATTGCGGTGCCAAACTCTAAACTCACATATACACGATTGGGGTATAAAACTTGGTAGGAAGTGCACCGTCGTAGCACGAGAATTCAAATTCACCTGCGTCTGCAAGTTTGGGGCTGCTTTCGAGCTTGAAAGTGCCGCAATAATTGACGCTTAAGGCGAACTTGGCGAAGGTGTCGACCTTCTGAAAGATGGTTTTTCGTCAAATGTCACCAAAAAACTGCTTTACTTACGATAATGCTGAGCATGTTATCCTTGCATCTAATCCGGCCACTGAAGTGAAATATGCCAAGAACTGGTGAAGCCATCAAAGAAAAGAGGAGCACAGCTCGAAGATGGACCGCCATTGTCACGGCCCAAACCGATGAATGAACTTTGGAAAGGGGTTTTTCGCATTTAAAGGCCGCGTTTCACGAAATGCAGATTTCTGATCGTGAGAATTTCTTTCCCTGTTTTTGTTGTGAAACGCAGATCTTCGTCCCACAATTTTACATATGGTTGCAATGAATCGGGCTCTGCCCACGCATGTTCGAATCCTGTCGACCGCGGAAACTTTTTGGGGATTTTTTGAGAGGAGAATCAAAGGAAACATTTGTCTCCAAAACAGATTACTACGGTCCTAAACAAGTCATCTGTTGTATAATATTTTCGCTGTTTTTGCCAAAAAGATGTAAAAATATTTTCGGCCCAAAAATGGAAAAATTAAAATCTTTTTTATGAAAACATTTATTTTACTTTGTGTACAAGAGAATGCCATGGTAATAGATCATTCGTAAAAATCCTGCAGACACTCGGATTCGTCTCTTTCAATGTCATATTTTCCAAGAGTGATTCCATCGTCAAAATAGGTGGATTTCAAATGGAAATTGTAGTAAAGGCGACATTTTCCGTCACAGGCGTGGTATCTGGAAAAACGGTACGGCATTTAGTGACGAAAACACCGAAATTTTATGTTTTTGGCCCATTCTCAAAAAAAATCGTTCTCGGAGGATAGGTTACCCCTAACAAATAGGTTACCCCAGCGGATAGGTTACCCCACCGGATAGGTTACCCCAAGTTACGGATAGGTAACCTCGGAGGATAGGTTACCCCACGGATAGGTTACCTCGAAGGATAGGTTACCCCGAGGATAGGTTACCTGAAATTTTTTTTTTTTTTTTTTTTGAAATGTTTTCGCTTCGGGACTTGGAAAAAAAGGACTTTTTGTGAAATTTGAAAAAATTTCAAATGTTTTCGCTTCGGGAGTTGGAAAAAAAGGATTTTTTGTGAAATTTGAAAAAAATTTGAAGTGTTTTCGCTTCGGGACTGGGAAAAAAAGATTTTTTGGAAAATTCAACAAAATTTTGAAATGTTTTCGCATCGGAAGTTGAAAAAAGGGTGTCTGACTGAATATTAACTGTGGTGCCGGCAGCACTAAAATTTTGTCTAAAACCAATGGTACCACCTGGTACTATATAGTACCACGTGTTTTTGGGCTCTACTAAGCATCAAACCACCACCATTACTGCCTCATGGCCAAATTTTCACTTCTCACAAAACAGTACCAGTTGGTACTATATAGTACCAAGTGTTAAAACGTGTTTTTGGGTTCTACTAAGCACCAAACCAACGCCATTACCGCCTTAGGGCCAATTTTGCACCTCGTACTAAATAGTACCAGGTAGTACTATTTAGTACCAAGTGTTAAAAATGTGTTTTTAAGCAGTACTAGGCACCAAAACAACACCATTAACGTCTAAAAGTGTTATAAGTCGAAAAATTTTCAAAAAGAATCCCTAAAGGCAGTAAGGTAACAGAAACCCAGTTTTCATATTCAGTCAGTTCATACTCAGTCAGCTCGAAAACCTTTCAAATTTTTTTCAATTTTCACAAAAAATCCTTTTGTTAAAAGTCCCGAAGCGAAAACATTTCAAAATTTTTTCAAATTTCACAAAGAATCCTTTTTTTCAACTCCCGAAGCGAAAACATTTCAAATTTTATTCAAATTTCACAAAAAATCCTTTCTTCCCAAGTCCCGAAGCGAAAACATTTCAAATTTTATTCAATTTTCACAAAAAATCTTTCTTATTAAACTCCCGAAGCGAAAACATTTAAAAATTTTTTCAATTTTCACAAAAAATCCTTTTTTTCAACTCCCGAAGCGAAAACATTTCAAAAAAAATTTTTTTTCTTTTTTTGGTAAGGGGTAACCTATCCGTGGAGTAACCTATCCGGTGGGGTAACCTATCCGTGGGGTAACCTATCCGGTGGGGTAACCTATCCTCCGAGTTATGTGTTTTTTGGGGTAACCTATCCGGTGGGTAACCTATTCTCGGGGTAACCTATCCTCCCCAAATCAAAAAAAATATTTTTTGCGGTTCTTTTGTTTTCGTCATATCCCGAGCTGCGCCCGAGCTTCATTTCTTGTTCACCAGAAAAAATCTGAACAAACTTTCAGATAGGAAATCGGCCCCAAAAAAGAGAGGTTTACTATAATGTTGGAGATGACTTTTACTCACAAATAAATTGCTGAGTGATCCGTGGTCGACGCCGTACAGCCATTATCAAATGTTCCACTCACATTGAGGGTTTGGCTGAAGCAATTTTGATCCGGCCACAATGCGTTCTCCCTGACCACTTTGAGGAGCTAAATAAATAGTTGTAGAGTCATAATTAACCTTACTATTAGGTTGGACGGAAAGTCTTTGCCATTCTTTATCCAATTTTGAAATTTATTTTTTTTCGCGCCAAGACCGAGTGTCAACCGTAAATGCCTAGTATATACAAGAGTACAGTGTGCAGATTTATGTGCTATGTGCCAACCGTTTGCTCCGCCAAAACGAGCTTTATTATAAGAGGTTTTCCGCTTTGCGGCAATTTCGGGTGGGGTCCAGAACGCAAGCTCTAGTTTCCAAATCGCTTTTGATGAAGCTCCGAAACTTTGTGGGCTGTGTCCAGTTGTCTTTCCGACTACGCTAAACACAATTGTATATCTTAAAAAAACCTGTCGAAAAAAATAATAGCTACTCTTTCAACCAAATCCTCAGCAAAGGCCCCGCTTAAAAACGTTTTCTTATTACTCCGCGCATTGCTGATGGTCTGTCTATATAACAGAGTTCAGTGAACAACATGGGTAGCCTTTTACGTGCTACATGGGTAAACCGGATCATAGGCGCCTCGGGTTACCCGTAAAAAGACAAAATTGCCAAAAATATATAGCCCTAGAGAAATGCGTGTGATTTGTTGACAATTAACAATGGTTACCCATTGTTTCATAAAGTAGTATTACGATACAGAGGCTCTATTTTCGACCCTAGAAAGGGAGGATTGGAAAGCTGATGTCAGCGCTTTTTCAATTTTACGGGTTGATCCAACAGTTCACCAGCGACTTTTTGAAAAACAAATAATTGAGTTCTGGCACGTCACGCAGTAAAACAATTGCCTAATGACGGGTAGCTGAGTGTAAGTGAGTGTCTTTAGTTTTGGCATATCATAGTTAAACCCATACAAATGCATCGGCAAAGCGGCGGTTGAAATTATATTCAAACTTGTTTGGTCTCATAAAAACCACGTTTTCTGGTTCGGTTTTGATTTAATCCCCGCCGGGTTTGCACATGTTAAGAGCTTCAAAAGAAGTCTTTTTAACAGTGCTAAAAGAATTTTCTAGAAGGCTTTGTTAAACAAACCAGCAAAAGATTTCTGCTTGTAGACCAAAGATGGGTAAATGTCTAAATTAAGTTCTCTGTTTGTACATGCTTAAGATGGCTGAGGGTTGTACAGTCAGATAGGGATGCCTGTCCCCTACCAACACCATGTATTAGTGTTTGCCTTTTTTCCATCAGTGCAAGGAAAAATAGCAGCAGAAAAAAGGCAAAGACTTTCCGTCCAACCTAATATTTTCCGCTTTCCCACCAGCGACTTCTCATTTTCACAATGAACAGATCCTCGGTAATGCCATTTAATCCGCACGGCTTGGCACAAAGCAATGAAGAAGAGTAGTCGGATGATTGGCGACAACATTACAGACACGACCGATCCGATTGCTTTCAAACTTGTAATCATTTTTTCTCAAAATAGGTAAGATTTTCATATTTCGAAAGGACTTATGTTTCGTTAGAAGTAGGCGAAAAACCCACTCAAAAAATTTTTTACACGTTGCGTCCTATCCTTAGCCCAATTTCAAAATATTTTATGACGAATAGGACGTGGTGTAAGACCTCTTCCGTGGCTCAGCATGTCCCAATTTTAGTTCGTCCCAAGCTTTTCTATCACTTTCTAAAAGTCTGTAGGGAATGAAAGATCAAGGGCCAGCCAAGGAGAGCCAAGTCAAGGCTGCTCGGGACTTTAGCTGCAAAATATGGAGGTTTAGGAAAATTACGTTTGTAAATACACCCAAACAAATTAAATTGTACCGCATTCTGTAATGAAATAATCTATTTATTTCAGAATACATATTATATCCACATTTCACCTATTCCTCATAGATCTCTGCAGAACATTCGGCGTCGTCTCTTCTGATGTCATACTTTCCCAAAACAATATCATTCCAATCGATTCGAATCTTGTCGCTACGGTCGTTGTAGTAAAGCCGACATATACCGTCACAAGCATGATAACTGCACAAAATCAAACCAAAAACAATTGAATGTAAAAGAAAATAAAACGACTGGGTTGACCATTACTTACAAGTAAATTACAGCGTTGTCATTTGCAGTCGCGTTACATGAGACGTTGAACATTCCGCTGGAATCAATCGTATGATTTAGACAAACCAAATTGGAATAGAGAGCATGCTCTTGGACAACTTTGAAGAGCTGCAAGCTTGTAAGTACAGTATATCAACATAAAAAGGAGGCCAACTGCGGAAAATGTTGGTGCATGCTCAAAAAAATATGGTTCATCTTTTTGCAGGCCGTAGAATAAAAAAAAAGTGTTTTAACACAATTTTCACAAAAAAAAGCAACTGGAATTCTGAAATGAACGCTTGATGTCTTTTTCGTCTAGGCCAGTCAGCAAAAAGAATAAAAAACCAAGGAAAATTATAAAGCCAAGGTTTTAGCAGCTCAGCGCAGCTAGGGGAAAAATCTTTTGGAACCTGCCAAAAATGGCAATATGATCGTGAGTAGAAAATTTTCATCTTCTGGCCTACTCCAAAAATAGTTTTTTCAGGCTACGTCCGAACCTTGACTTGGCATCGCTTCGAAAGCCTTAAACAAGCAACAATTTTTGAATCTGGACAACTTTCAGTCGGATCTATTAAAATATTATTTCATCTGCAGCTTTCAAGAATTAAAAAACCATTTCTTGAGTCTGTGTTAGAACTTTTTTCCTACATAAAAATTTTCTGTTACCTACAATTTTCCGCTTTCCCTCCAGCGATTTCTCGTGCTCACATCGAACCTGGCCTTGGAAGTGCCATTGCGTAACTTTAGCGGATGTCAGAATGAAGAGTCCGAAAAAGCCGAGGGACCAAATTAAGGACCGCATCAAGGGTGCTTGAATAAACAATAACGATTTTCAAACTGCAAAAATAAAATTTACAAAATTTAAAAATACGAAAAAAGCAAAAATTATACCTTCCTTTGTCCTTTGGACAGCAAAAATCGACCAAAAATGGCCACTAATTCTTTCCCCGGTCGATTCGTGTGGTCGGAAAAATGGGTTCCCGCCGAAAGATCAACGAAATAGACGATTCCTTCGAACAGTTCGCCGCCAGCCTTCGTGAAGCTGCTGATGTGGACTCTCAAGACCAGATTACGTAATGATTCTACACAAATTTTTCCAATTTTTACCAATTCTTTTAGCTTGTATTTTCAGCTCCCGAGGCTACGAGTCGGAGGAGGGATGGAGCTGTCGCCTCAAGGACTATGTTTTCGAGTTCATTTTGGGAACTGGTGCCTTTGGCGACGTCATCAAGGCCCGGAATTTGGCGGAGAAAAAAGACTGCGCGGTTAAACTGCTGAACTACCGAGTCAGCAGCAAACGTCATATTGTAAGCCCCAGTAGATTGCTTTGCACACATTTTATCTTCATTGTTTTTAGCTCGACGAAATCAAAGCCATGTCTCGTTTGTCCCATCCGAACTTGGTCGGCAAATACTCGGTCTCTGTGATCAACCGGTCCACTATTTTCATCGTCATGCCGCTGCTGTGGAATCTCCGGAAACTTTGCGAAGAGAGTCGTGAGCTTCGGGTAAGTGGAGGTTCTCGCAGTGAGACCAAAATCAATTTTTTTATTTTATTTTTTTTGGGTTCGGCGTTGCAACGAAAAGTTGAAAGGCTTGCAGTTTCGTAATTCCTGAGCGATTTATAGTTTCGTAATTTCCTGAGCGATTTATATTACGTAATTTCCTGAGCGATTTATATTATGTATAAATTTTGGGTCTCGCCGCGAAATGTGTTTTTTTGAGCTCAAGATTACCCGAGTTCTTTTTATACATATTAATCGATTTTGAGCAAGCAAAGATATCGATTTTTGCTCAAAAATTGAACTTTTGTGTCCCACCACGAAAACCTGAAATCCCAAGAAAATTTTCCCAACCCTCAAAATTTTAGCTAAATATGGCCAGACTGTACGCAATGGCGTCGATTACCCAACTGAAGCCAGTAAGCCCAGTCAGTGAAAACTGTGCGGGCCAGATTGTCCATCAACTCCTGACCGGCCTGGACTTCATGCACAAGAATCGCTACATTCATCGCGACCTCAAAAGCGGGAATCTGTTGGTGAGCAATAAGGGAACCGTGAAGATTGGCGATTTTGGGTTGACGAAACAATTCGAAACAGGCCATTTCAAACTGGGAGAGATAAAAACTCCTGTTGGAACGAGCTATTACATGGCACCGGAGATTGCTTTGAGGTTTGTGAAGGTCAGCGAGAAGCCTTATGATATCCGTGCGGAGACTTGGTGAGTTTTAGGAAGGATACTTCCCAAATCAAAGCAGTTTTGTATGAACGGAAGTTTTCGTGGTGAGACCAAGCATTTTTTGACGGTCCTACAGCGAAACCCTTTGGTGACAAAATATTGAATTAAGAATGAGGTGCTTGTACTATTAGTTGCTATTATATCGAAAATGATGATTTTTAGGGTTACTGTGGCAAAATTAAGACTTTGTTTAGTCCCACCACGAAAACTTCTGGGACAAAAATTTTTTTCTAAGGCGAATTTGATTTTTTAACTGATCTTTTAGTTGATTTCCTAAATTATAATACTTTTTTTGATTTGTATGAGCCGTTTTTTAGATTTTCAAGTTGTCGCGGCGGGACCAATCTTTATTGTTTTTGTCCGCGGAAACTTCTCAGTTTTGAATCAAGAATTTGGAGCTAAGTTTTAATCTTGAATTTTACTTTAAGACTACTTCTATCGTATTTTAACTAATAAAATTAATTTTTGGTCCCACCACGAAAACCTGAAATTCTTCAAATTGGTTATTTTTGAATTCCAGGAGTATCGGGGCTATCATGTGTGAGCTTCTCTTGAACTGCCTTCCCTTTGCTCATTACCCAGCGCACGCCGAGGGGATGGTTAAGACGCTGAAGGCGGCAACCAAGGAGGTAAATCAATATAATCTTTTGGAATGTCGTATTGTATTTTACCTCAAAATTTGCGCTTCTTCCAGAAACACATTATTTGGGAGCTGATGTTCCCGCCACGGATTTATGAGGGTATTGCTATGGATTTATCACCCGCTTGTCGCGACTTTATCGACAAATGTTTGGTTGGGGACCCGGCCCAGCGAAAAACTTGTAGCGAGTTGTTGAAAAACAGCTGGGTCAAGAAGTTCAAAGGGAAAAAGGATGTGATCCAAGAGGAGTTGTTGGATGATGAGATCAAAAAAGGGGTAATTGGGAAGTTGAAGGCGATGAATGGAAAGTTTTTGGCACACAATGGAGGGGCCAGAAGGCCTTTGAATGTGAATATGCTGTTCAATCCGATGGGAACACGGGTAAAATACGTCAATTAAGGCTTGGTCTACATGCTTTTTTCACTTTGAAATTAAAAGAAAATTTCCATCGCACTGTGCGAGTCCCAAAATATTTTTTTTTATTGCACCGTGCAATTTTTTTTTCTTCTTTCTCTTTGTTGCACTGTGCAGATTATAATTTTTTTCTGCACGGTGAAAAATGTGATTGTTGAACTGCGCAGTGCCGTTGTATTGATTTTTTGATTGCACAGTGCGATGAGAAATTTTGGGTACTGCACGGTGCGGTTAAATTTTTTTTTTTTTTTTTTTTTTTTGAATTTTCTGATGTCGAAGCTTTGCAAGAATAACTTCAGATGTACTACCTCAAGTTTACCGTGGACGCGACAGCCGTCGGACGTCTGGAACGGAAAGTTCAGCAAGATTGTCGGGCCTGTTTGTTGATACTCACCAATAACCGACTGATCAGGTAAAATACGCACTTCTTAGGCTTAAGTTTATAAACTTCAAAATCTGTATAATTTTTTCAAAAATTTTTATTTTTTAACGCAAAAATTTTTGATGACTATTTTTTGATTTTGAAAAAAAAATTAATTTTAATATTTTGCCTAACAAAAATTTAATTTTTTCCCCTACTTTTGCAGCACCGCCAACTACCTCTATCTGTGTGAGCGCATCCCCGAACTTGTGGAAGCCCGGGCCGAGATTGATTTCAAGAATTCCTATATGGTTTTCCCGTTCAGCAGAAAAGATGACGCCATTCCGGACAAGGAAAACCTCACCGGACAGGCATTGATTGTGGTCACTTACAACAATTCGGAATGGGACTCTGTGCTCTCAAAATGCTATCCTCGTTTGGTGAAAAAATACGAAAAGGCGATGGATTGCAGAAGAATGCGGATGAAAATTTCTCAAAAAGAAAGGGAAGAGAATAGGGAGGACGTGATCAGATATGTGGAGTAAGATTTTTGGGATTTTTTAGGAGAACATGCGAAAATTTTTAATTGCACTGTGCACATCTTTTATTATTATTTTTGCACAGTGCAATTGACTTTTTCTCTCTTCATTGCACACTCTCGTTTGTCGGAACTTACTTTTCGCCCTTACGAGGGAATGGTCTGAACTTCCCCCGGCGTTTGGCAAAATGACTAGTACAGGTGGATAGAGCAGGTCAACTTTGGTAAAAAGAGCCATTTTCCAGCTGCGGAATAAGCCCGGCCGACGAGAAAAATCGACCGAAAGTTCCACAAAAATTTCCTCTTTCTTTTCCTTCCGAAAAGAAGAGCGGCGTCCAGTGGTCCGGTTAGCCGAGTGGATAAAGCATCCGCTCGATGTTCTTTTGGGGGTTGGTTCGATTCCGGGGAAGCCCGAAGGACCGTAATAAGACTTTGGTATGGGCGAGACCAAACTCTCATAAAACAAAAAAAATATTTTGCCGTTTTTAAACGTTTTATGGGTTATAAAATTTTTTTTTAAATAATACAAATTGGGGTACAGTCCTTTTCAAAAAGATATGATGGATACCTTTATCTATGACCATACGAGGATGACTTCGACGTTCCATCGATTTGTAGGTCTGGAAAAATCCAAAAAAACCATTTTTTAACGATTATCTGTGTTTTCGGTATAGTTAGTTCCATAAAACGTATAAAAATGGCAAAATATTTTTTTTTGTTTTATGAGAGTTTGGTCTTGCCCACACCAAAGTCTTCGGTCCTTCGGGCTGCTCCGGAATCGAACCAACCCCCAAAAGAATAACGAGCGGACGCTTTATCCACTCGGCCAACCGAACCATTGGACACCGCTCTTCTTTTCCGAGGGAAGAGAAAGAGGAAATTTTTGTGGAACTTTCGGTCGATTTTTCTCGTCGGCCGGGCTTATTCCGCAGCTGGAAAATCGTTCTTTTTAACAAAGTTGACCTGCTCTATCCACCTGTACTAGTCATTTTCTCAAACGCCGGGGGAAGTTCAGACCATTCCCTTGTTAGGCTTTCAAAATAAGCGCTTTCCCTTCGTGCAGTCGTGTCCGAGTGGTTAAGGAGATTGACTAGAAATCAATTGGGCTCTGCCCGCACAGGTTCGAATCCTGTCGTCTGCGGAGATTTTTTTTTGCAAAATGGGATAAAAAAAGTGTAAAATTGTAAAGTTGATTACTTTTTACGAAATCTTGCGAAATATGATAGATAATTTAAGAACGTCTTGTTTAAAAAAGCAACAAAAAAAATAATTTTTTTCGTGTTGTTCAACGTTTTTTCATTTTAGATCCGAGGAAGAATCGGATGGAGATTCTGGAGTTGCGAGTAACCACAAGACTTCCAGCGGTCTTTCGAGCGAATCATCAGTTGAACCAGAGGCGAGGAGAGGAAAAACAAATCTTTTGAAACGCGGCCGCTTGGCACTGAAAGCATTTTTCAACAAGGAGAAAGAAGAGTCGAGTGAAAAGCAAGATGATGATTAGTTCACAACATTGACCATATCAAACGTGATTCGAAAAAATAAACTGATTTGATTCGTTTTGGAAAATCGACCATGACTTGAAAAACTTATGTGTTTTGGGCTGCTGATTACTGTAGCGTGGCAAAAATTTAAGAAATCCGAAAATTTACAGGATTTTTTTGATTTTGCCTTCAATTTTTATGCATATAGTATGTAGGCGTCAGTAAAAGAAAATTATGGCCTATGTATACGATTTCCAGTCATTCCCGGTCACGTGCTGTCCATTCCAGACCTTGTGCGATAATTTCGGAACAGCTGATCGGTATTTGACTGATGGCCGGCCGAAACGAGTGTTAATGCCCTGAGGGTGGAGAGGGAACAAAACGAGGAGGCGAGGGTGGTGCCGGTCATTCGAGGCGCCAATCGTTATTTTTATTCACTCTTTCAATTTTGAGAACTCAATGATCAGTTTGTCGGGAAAATAATGTGGATTTGTCGCAACAAAAAATTTTCAGTCTGCATTTTCTTATGTTCAGTAAAACTGGTGATTTTTCAACATACTCAGTACAATACTTTTTGTTTTCTTATGCTTTCTCGCAGCAGCTAACACTACATAACAACTCTTTTTTCACTCATTGTCCCCAGTAAACAAGAATGATGTGGTTTGTAAGTTTTTTTTTATTTCTTTTCCCATTTTTCTCTCCAATTGGCCCAAATTTCTCTTCTCATCCGCGAATTGGGCGCGCCGAAAATAGAATTCCAATTTACTCGGCCTAAAAATAACCGCACCCCCACCGCAAATTTAAAAAACAGAAAAGAACAATTGGAAAAGGACCCCGAGAATCTTATTATTTTTGAAACCTGCGGGAAAATGTGCGGAAAACACGACAGCTGGGAAATCGCACGGTTTACTGGGTAAATGAGTAAAGCACAACTGACACAGGGTTTGATTTTTGATTTCACACCTAGACAGGAATGGGGAGCATTCGTAGATTCGTTGACCAAGAGGTTTGGCAAGCTTTGGACGTGTTTCATATTGCCCTAGGAGAGAAATGAGTAAAATCCTCATATACGATTTGCTTTCCTAATTTAGAAGTTGATGTTTTCTTTTACTTGGACACTCATTCAGAAGGGTTTACTTTCGGAGAGCAATATTTTTCCGGGCCAAAGTAACCCCCGTCCAACGTTGCAGCCTAAGCCCGTAAACACCTCGAGGGCTTAAGTTTTGACACAAAGAGTCGACGGCTTTTACGTAAAGGCCTCTTCCTGGACATGTTGATATTATCCTCGAGAAAATCCGGCAGAAAATCCTCGTGAATTAATGAATATTGGCTAATAATCCGATTTGTTTGACTCTGGAGAGGAGGGAGTCCGCTGTCTCCGGCTTTAAGGCAGTAATTTTACGATATTCAGTTTGGCACAGGTGGTTCTAAATCCGCAAATATAATTATATTCCCGATGGAACTACTGTTGTATTTTTTTGTGGAGAAAGTAAAAGTTAATTCAATTATTTTTTTCCAAGCAAATTGCCGATCTTTACCCTCACGTTGCTATAGCCCCGTATCTCTTGCAACCTTCCTATCTACCCCTCCCTCACGTGTCACCCATCAATTCCATTGTGTTCCGAACAATACACGGCTTCCCTCCCAACCAAACCCACAAACACACGCATACATACCATTCCGCTCGCGGCGTTCCCGGGGCAGCGGGCGCGCAGAGAGCGCGCAACCCGCGGAGAGGCGCAGACAAAACCCAAATGGGGGAAGAATTTTGACTGAGCGAGGGTGGATGAAAAGTAGAAGCGGCCGAAAAGAGCCCGCACCCCCAACCGCCCTCATTCCGCTCTAGCCTTAACGGGCAAACGTTCTTTCCCCACGCCTGCCTTCCGTGTGCCTTGGGGTTCTTTTTTGGGCGAGTTTTTGCGCCGCGACGATAGTACATTTGGAGTTCAGCTGTTGATTGTCTAGCTGGAATTTGAATGGGGGTAGGTCAATTCTGGCGGTAAAATACGACGACTGAATACAGAGTAGATGTCGTAGTGTGTGTGCGATGCTTGTGACGCCACAATTTGGGATTTTAGTTGAGTAAAATGCGAAAAATGAGGGATTTTTTGCACTTTCCTTGAATTCAATTTTTTATTAAATCTTAGGACAAACTAAACGCTTTAGAGGGTGCTACGCGGCACCGCAAGCCATCTTGTTTACTTGAACTTTCAAGAAGAGCAATGTGAAGCAACGATTTTTCTAATTTTGTCGCTTCCTTGGCCATTTTTGAAGACTCTTTTAATTTTCTTTTATAAAAAAAATTTTTTGAGCCAGACAGACGCTGCAGCGTTTATACCAAGGCGGTATGGCCTGCTTCATGTTAGCATTAATTTTTTTGTTGTAAAAAACTAGCTTGAAGATCGATTTATCATTTTTCCATGTTTTCTGTCCTTTTGTCGCCAAAAATAATTATCTCACAAGTTTTTCGCATTCCACCTGTACAAACAAACACGACGGATTGTAGTACTTTTGACATTGTATTTCTTTCATCCCATACTTAGGAAATCAAGTTTTGTAAATATTTTTTCTCCGAATTGTCATCATTATCCCCATTTTTGTATTCCACGTATAACATGCCGAATATTGTGTGCCATGCAATTTCTTTTGCATTCACGGAAGAAAAGAAATGACGCTTAATATGGGAGAAAATGAAGGGAGAGTTTGGCTGAGCTCGTTTTTTGTTCAGCTCATGGCAACCCCTCGGGGAATCCGGTCTCTAGGTGAGTCCAAGTTTCCATCGGATCGGCCGGTAGTATAAATTATTTATGGGTTTTTGGGGTGATTCAATAGGATTTACACCGTAAATTTTTGATTTTTTTTTGGAAACAATGTAAACTTATGCAGAAAAAACAAATTTCACAAAATTGTTGTTTAGAAGAAAAAGTAAGAAAAAAGGTACAAAATTAGGAAAGAATTTTAAGCCTCGGGCCATTTTATTCCAGTTAAACATTCAAAAATACTAGTTCCCGCCATTTTTGGCATTCTGTTCTAATTACTCTAAACCTTTTGAAAACCAATAATGTGTGCAAAATGCCATCTCCCAATAGTTTAAGCCGTATTTACCATTTAAAATCCAAGTTCTATCATTTCCTGCAGTTTTCATTATATTATCCAGCACCAGGAAGTAAGCCTGCCTAACATTCGCCCTTGTTATCCTATTTTTGCTATTCCGACTACCCCCGCAATCCAAACAAGTTGTCGATTAATCCCACCATTCCTGCTAATCCCGCCATTAATCACGAGGGAAAACTTAATTGCCTCTGGCGAAATTTGCGTGCTATGGCTTGATAATTCACGGGCCTTGAGATGTGGAGCCTTACGCACTTCTATTTGCGGCATATCCTATGATTAGCGCTATTTTGGGAGGTAATTTGAGGCGTTTTATGTCTTCTGTAGGGCGCAGCCTGCGGAATGGGAATTTTTGAGTATGGCTAGCTGCAATCGGATTTCGTCAAAAATCAGTAGAAGAGTTGCCGTTTGATCCAATCTGTGTCTTCCAACTTTTTTCTTTTGCAGACTGCGCCCTGACCTTGGTACAATTTGGCTCTCTGAAAGCGCCATGCCACATTTTTCCTAATTCGCGTTCCAACGCCGTTCTATAAACTAGTTTGTGTTCGCTGTATGTTATTGTCGCGGTTTCGAACGATCCCCGCAATGATTCCCGCCATTTCCCCTCAGGGGAAATTCTTTATTTTGCTGATTTTTTGGTTATTTTTGGCATAAACCAAACAGATAAAGGGACGAAAATTGAAAAGCAAGTCTGCCTGGAGTGGTTTTGAAATAGTCGCCAAAGAACGATGAATCCCCCGCTTATCGTATCTTTAATGTCCCATGGATTTTATGGCCAAATGTAATGCGGTTATAACGGGATTTTAGTGGAGGACAGGGATAATGGGAAGTGTCTCCGGAATAGGATGTTTTGAAAAGGAAAATGCGAACAAAAATAGGCTGATAATCTAAAGACCGTGTTAGAATCCTCATCTTTATCCATAAACATGTTGTTTTTGCCATTTTAATCCCCCCAATCCATTTTTGGTTTTGTAATCTCTTGCTGTCTTCGGCAGCCCCGATTACTGATGTCTCAAGGGCCTCCAGAGATTTGCGTTTGGGTACACAATCAACCATCCTTGACGTCTTGGCACGTGGAGGGATAAGTTGATGAATGACGATGCGTGGGGTTGGAGTAGGCGGCCATTTCCTGCTTGTGGGACTTTATTGGACTCGGTTAGGCAAATGTATTAATTAATTTTTTACTGCTTGATCCACGTTGGGCAAAAAACATTGTTTTTATCATTTTGCACCGTGCAAAAGTATTTTTTTCCGTAAGTTTCGATTGACTGTCAGCGATGACTTCAAGGTCTCGCAATAATTTTTTAACCTGTTTAAAACTAGTTGTAGTTGTTTGCAACGAATCCACCCTTCTTTCCCTTTTTAGCATAAACAGCTGATGTCAATTGTGTTATATTAATCCCACAATCCCACATTTATATCCCTTTCATCACTTCTTACTTACATCCCTACCATGTCACACCGCTTGCGGCACAGCGTCCTTTGGCTGATTAGAAACCGGAAATGGTCGGATTAGAGAAGACGCTGAAGCGGATTCCACTATGATGGTCGTCACCTCGGATTAGTTGTTGGAGGATGGCCGTAAAGTGTTTATACAAATGTTTGAGCAGACTCGGATAAAACAAAGATACATCCAAACATTTATATCACAATTATCCTACGTCAAAATACGTTTTAGTCAACCTTTTATTCGTTTTTTCGGTTTATTTCCCCATAGATTGTAATGGTTAATAGTGGACTATAAATTGGTTATATTGCATGTAATTAGAGGTATTTAACCAAATGAAATATGTCTAATACGTTCTCAAAGCTGAGCGAAATTGATTATGTCACGTCGCCCTTTAAAGGTCTCGTAATTGAGATTTGAGGTAGAGAGGTTGGTTGAATGAGGAAGTTTTATATGCATACA